AAATAAGTATTTTGGGGGTTTCTATGTGGTATATACTACAGAAATTATTCACCTCAGGGTCAGTAAAATTGATGGATATTTGCCTCCACTTCGGTGGATGATTGTTTATTATGGCACAATCAAGATACTAGGCTTTTAAGTTTTACTTTTTCCGTGGTATAGGCAATTGATTTCTTTCCCTGTTTATTTTTTTCCAAAATAGACGTGACGTTCGCGGAAATTTCTGTTTTGAAGATTAGCCTTATAGTTCCCTACAGGCAAAGTAAGAGTGGAGTAAGACCCAGCCCCTATTTTTCAAGGAAAAATTGAGCTAACTGTATTTCATTTACCTTCTTTGTAAGGAATCGTAGACATCAAGTCAAGAATTTTCTGCCCCTCCTCATCTCTCTCATTAAGTGCATCTCCGCTTCCGGAATCACTTCCAGATCCAGAACCTGGCTCATCAGCGGAAGTAAATGCACCCTTTTGTTCCTCGGTTCCTAGTAGAGTGTGTGATATTTATTTACAAATATTTACAAATTGACATAGTTTCCGCTTTTTTTCACTTCGGGATGAATTCTACATGTTGTAATTCTCGTTAGCTAGAAAATTATTGTAAGGAAGATCTTTGATTGCATGACCAAAACAAAGGTTTCTAAAGACTTTTGAGTGTCACAGGGAAATCTTTGTCATCCCAGTTAGTTAAGTCATGTTTCAATCATGCCATTACCTCATGAAAAAGTTTTTCGGCATCTCTTCCCAAATTTGTACCATTACTGTACAATCTGAAACGGTGAAGGGCATTGTCGAAACGTGCAGCAAAGTCCAATGTGTTATCATAGCCTTTTCCTTCAGCGGAAGAGTTAGTTTGACCCACTTCAGGAAAACTTTTCCTTTTTAAACAGTCGCCAAACTTCCCTGACCCAAATTAGCAACTTTGATAAAAAAAAAAGTGAAAAGAAATCAAAAAAGCAATCCATTTGGTTTTGCTCCAAGAAATTTCGACGTTTAAAGATCTCTTTAAATTTTGACGGTAGAATCGATTCCTTCGACAGTTTATTACTGCCGCTGGATAGAAAATTGATACCTACCAAGGACAGAGGAGGCGACTGTAAAGCCTATTATAAATAATGCGCACCAACCAAGACCGAACTTCATCTTCTATTTCGGCTCACTATCTGCAAACAAAGTATAGATTATGTGACAAAAATCCTGAAAAAATAATCCGTCACTGTCAGACAATGATTACAACTTCGGGTTGCGAGTTGTTACCTCGACAGATTGTTCCTTTCGTTTACAAATGTTATCAAACAACGGTTAGAATGGGTTTAGCATGATAACGATTGATTGTCAAGGTCGAGGCTCGTGTTATCTTTCGAACTGAGCCATGGGGTTCGGCGTGTAACATAAACCAAGGCCTTATTAGTTCTTGCCATCCAAATTCAATCATTTGTCTTGTTTGTTCTATCATGGATGCTCGGAAATGCTTGTTTTGGGGGTGATTTTACCAAAACACTGCCAACCAATTGGCAGTTGGATTCTTGCTTGCAGGCGATCAGAATCGGATAGTGACACAGATGCATGATAATTAATTAGCTTTTGATAATTAGTGAGCCACTCCTTCAGATGTCCTCATGTTGAAAGTTTTCTCTCTAAGACGCAAAGAAAGCTTTTGATTTATATATATATAAATCATTCTTCAGGGGATTTTAAAATCCCCTGAAGAGTGATTTAATCGCGAAACTGGCTTCTATGTATTGAGCACTGTAATTCGGAAAAAACCGAAACACAGACTTTCTATATATATATATATTTTTTTCCTTTGGGGGTGATGGGGGGGGGGGGGGGTGTGGAGGGGGAATAGGCAAACGTGCGGAGAGGGAGATCTGACACAAGAGGACAGATCTAACCACCTAAGCTATTCCGTAAATGTGTATATTCCCTGTTGTAAACCAGGGTAGAGAGATTTCCTCAAGTCAAAAGTAGCACCCGGCGAAGGTAGAAAGTTGGAAACACTGTCATTGCGAAAAAGAAATTGAGGCAAAAAATCTGCCGGTGGAAGGGGAATAGAATCGAGTAAGTTTGACTACCCTCTTCTATTCATGGTTGTCTTTCGTCTATACAAAGGTTGCTCAAGAATTAATGAAAAAACTAACCCGTAGTCAATTTAGTGTTAACAACTGAGTTGAAAAAATAAATTACCCACTGGAAAGAGTTAAAAGGCTAACGTTTTGAGCGTTAGCCCCTAGTCCCCCCCACTGACGAAGGGATAACGCTCAAAACGTCAGCCTTTCAACTCTTTACGGTAGCTAATTTACGTTTTCAAGTCAGTTGTTAACACCAAATTACCTGTTATACTCTCCCACTGACGAAACTTACCCCCTTAACTTTTTGTCAATTCTGACTAAGCGGACAGGCAGACAGGCGGACAAGTAAAACGCTAAGCTGGATATACACGTGGGTTTAATAAAGATAAATGAGTGAATATAGCAAATTAAGTTACTGTGATGTTTCGAACGTCAGCCCTTTGCGTTTTCTAAGGCGTCGCATCATTTCTTGAGTTCGCCGTGTTGGTGGACCTATCTTCATGATTCCATCTTAATCTTGAGCTCCATCAAGTGTTTCACAATTGTATCTAAATTTAAGCGATTCATGGAAAGGTCTTCTAGCTTTAATTAAACAATCAGGAGCACAAAGTGATACCACGAAAAATATTAACATTACACCAACGATTGCAACTTAATATAAATCGACTGACTTTAAGATGTTTATCTTTTTTGTCTTCCCATTGATAGGAAGATAAAATGAAAGGTATCTTGTTAAAAGGAAGACAAAGGTCTATTTAAGCAAAACCACTTCGACTGTAACAAAGAAAGCCTTTCGCGAACAAAACAGTAATGAGTTGTTTACTGATCGCTTTAAACTCAAGGGTTTTAGGCCCACCCCGAAACTCAACCAGTAAATAAAAATTTTTCGTTGCACTTACCTTTTTCGAGTTGTCTCCCTAACAATCAACTCGTAAAAATACTTCTTGGATGGCAAATTAATTTGCGATAGGGGAATATGACAAATAGCTAAAAAGAGCTTTGTCTATCCAAGCATATCTACAGAGTAATGGCCATGGCATGCAGGTATTAATGGCCGACAGTGATCACTTTTTAATGTGGGAACCATGAGACTCTAGCGCTCTGTTTTAACCTCTTCTTACCTAATGTCATAGACTCGACCAAGCGGTAAGTTGAAAACGACTAAAAGTCACTTGAATTAACGTTAAACAAAAGATTTTAATTGAAACCTGTCAAACCTGCATTGCCCTGAAGTCAAGTTGTCACGTATCGTTAGCGAGTGAAACAGAATTCTCTTTGGACAGGTATTTGCTCAAAGTAATCGCAATTGATAACAGCTTTGGACTACTTAGTTAATGCCATTATTATTGCCGCAAAAGAAATTTTTCCTTAAGTTTGCTTGCATTTAAGTTATAATGTTTAAGACTGTGCTATGCCTTAATTGAGCGGGAAGAGGTGATTAAAAAGGTTAGAGTAATAGCGTCATAAGACCGCGCGACCGGTAACTTGCGCGTAAGAGGCAGGGAAAAGTCGTATTGATTTGCGCGTAAGAAGCAGGGAAAAGTCATTTTGACAATGCTTTTCAGGTAAAAAGGAGTATTTTGGTAATATTGTTTGTCCCTAGGATACCAGTTTCTCCAACAATAAGTCCACAATATTTAAACTGGTTTTAGTTCTCATTCATCATTATATCTTATATCCTTGAAAAAGTGGCAGGTAAATCTTTTGAGATCAGTTTGTCTCTTGAGCTTTTCGCTTGTTGTCCATGACCCTGGGGTGTTTATATAAGAAAATCGTTCTCTTGTTTGGAGTGTGGGAAATAAAATTTCTTAAGGACATAACAATTTCCGACAATGTTTACGTGGCTAAATGCGTTTTCAGTATCATTTAGGCAAATTTCAGTAGTTTTCAAAAGAGAAATGGTATGGTTAGAGTTGGAACAAGATTGCACTTGCTGTTCTGATCAATCTACGCTGCATAAAACAGAGTAAGTCCTGAATCAATTTTTCGAGGCCACAGGAGTTAGAGGTGTTGGTATTTTTCTATGGCAGTGTCCCACGTTTGATTTAATTTCTTTTATGCCAGGTTTTTATTACTGTTATAGATCGTACTTTTTTTTCAGATCTTCCTATGCATTTTAAAGCCACCCTCCGAGGTTTACCTTCTTGCAATACTGTTCAGGAAAAAAATATATATATAACTACCTGTGTCACGTATTCGGATCAACCAGGTATAGTCATGTCAGTCATTAGATGTAACATGACTCATCTAGTCTCTCCCTGGGGCACATGTCCGTGATTTATGGCGATTTCTTTCTAATAAAGAGTCTACACCGAACAACCTCTGCATTGTCAGTGATTTGTCTGGCTTTGGTTTTCAGTTACTGTTTTCATTGTTTTCTCTTTTGTGTTCATTCCACTTCCGTCAACAACTGAACACAGAGGTAAAGCTGACGAGAGTTGAGACCGCATAAAAAAATTTTGTGCTTATCCAAGCTGAAATTTAGAAAAAAAAATTCGATTAATGTTTTCCACTCAGGGAGCCAGCTTTGCCTCAGGGAGCCGGTGTTAGGGAGGTAAACTTAGGGATAGATTAGAGCTCAACTCTCTTCCCAGTCCTCATATCCTCCTCCTCAATTTCAAATGAATACTATTCCTCTCTTCTCGGGCCTAAGGAACAAAAGCAAGTAGTCATGAATGGATTGTCGCTGAGCTCGAAACAGGGCTTTTGATATTTCAGATCTCCAATTTAGTCTCTGAAATGAACGGCCATGTAAACCACAGTTCTACGGAACATGCTACATTTTATTGACGAGGTGAGTGAAACGTTTAATCTCTTGATTTTATTGAATCTAAAAAGTCATCTTTAATTTTTTTCTTTTTAAATTAAGACATGTTTGGCTTGAGATGCAAATTTTATCTCTCAACAAGAGAGCAAAAAACTCATTTGATACCATATGCCGTTTTAGATTTCTCTATAGTACAACCCTGAAATTAAAAGAAGAAAAACCATCTGTATAAAGCTAAACTTTGCTTTGAGCATGCATAATCACGATTGTATAGGTCAAATTAACTACGTTTTGGTTGTTCATATCACATTTAGTACAAAACATACCTCTGGAATTTACATCTGAACCGGTTGATATTCCTGTCTACTATTACACTCATTTACAATTTAATTTCCAAAGTCATTAGCTAAAAACAGTAACATAGTCAGCAATACAGTGCAAGCTCACCCATGTTGGTACCTTTCACAATGTTTTATGACGTGGAAATGCCAAAATCTTATCTCTTTTCTTGTCCTTTGTCGTGTGTATTGAACTAATTTTGACTTATGAATGATCCAACGGCTTCAAACCCCCTATCAAATTTCTCAACTCCGCTTCGCCGTTTTAAGATCAAAACTACGTTTAACTTAATAAAAGGAACCAGACAAAATGGAAAATAATTGAGCATAAGGAAATGTCTATTTATTACTCTTCCAAATTAGATATTTAGGCTACCCCTAATGCTCTACTCTCCACTCCCAGAGAACGTTACATCGTCCTCATACTGGTTACTACCAGATGAACTGGATTCAAAGTCACCACTTTCCTGTTTATAAAGCTGACTGCCACTACGGATGTTATTTTTGGGAAAGCCTTGTTTGACATTGTCCTCCCGTCTAATTCCATCTGAGCTGGTCTCATTGTCATCAATTTCCTGCGCTGAATGCTGCCCGCTCCCAGAAATGTCACTTTCTGGAAAGACCTGTTTTACATCGCCTTCTTGAGTACTTTCGGGACTGTTGTACATCGATACATCATGTTGTTCTTCTGAATCCATCTCTTCGCCACTTCCAGAAGAAGACGTTACGTGTCCTTCCGTATTCTCGTGATAGTTTTCAAAATTCTCACCCGAAGTTGTTAGTTGGCTCTCGTGTGTTTTCGCGTGCTTCACTTCTTTATTACCTAACGGAAGCATTTCAATCCTCGGTTCGTGGCCACTTGAAATTTCATCATTCCCTGAAACTATCACAGGAACCTCTTCTTTTTGTTGACCATTTTCGGCTTCTAAATCCTCGTCTTCCTCTTTTTCTTCTTTCCATATTACGTCTTGACTTGATTCAGTCTTCTGAGCTGTTTGTCCATCAGCCTGATTTTCTTCCGCCTTTTTTCGTTTACCATTCCATGTCAGACCACTGACGGCTAGTTGTGGAAGAAGAGAGTCATACGGTCGAGGAGGAGGAGCAGGGGCAGGAGGTTCGTTCAACTGTTCTTGTTTATTTCCACCTGTAATTATGATACAACTGAGGGTTTTGCTGTGATTTCTTGATTATCGTTATATTTTTATCGAGAAGGTGTAAGGGGAGATAATTAAGGGCAAATCTCACTTAAAGGCTCGCAATATCATTAACGCGTATATCACAAAGCTAATTAGATTTTTTCGGATTATGCAATAGTTTCCTTTCTCTACGCATAACAAGCAACCGACAGTAAATTCTAACCTGCAAAATTGCCTCGCTAAGGAACTGGTTTAGCCGGCGTTCAGTTGAAGAAACGGAAGAGAGGTATATAATTGGAAACCGTAGAGACAATATTATATACGTACCTTGCAATATTGATGACTGATTTATGAACCCTTGTGAACTTGTCGAGTTTGTTAGCACTTGGGATCCGTTGATCTGTTTTCTTCCTAATAGAGTGTTGTTACCTGACTGAGCAGAGCTGTTCGTGTACAGTGGAAAAGAAGGTTGGCGTAGCTCTGGGTGAGTCACATACTCATTTTGCTTTTGAGTCAGTTGTAACAGTTTTGAGTTCCACCATTCCTTTTCGAGAACCGACTTCAGGTCGGCAGGAAGCTGAGTCGGGAAAATAAAACATAAATTAGAATTAAACTGTAGATTAAAATTCCCTTCACATGCAAATCGAGATTTCACTCGAAATTGCAAAATTTACAATCTTAAAGTTTTTTTTTGGTGAAGCTAAATGATGCGTCCATGAGCGAGGCGAAGTCTTTCTCCACCCAAGACTGTCGATAAAAACTAGCAAACTGTCAGAAAATCTTAAAGAACTATGCATGGGTTTGTTCTCAAGGGGTCAAGGACGAATGACAATATAGTACCGTACTACTAGACGCTTCATTCCTTGGAAAACGAGACAAGCTCAGCAATAATGAACTAAAAGGCCTGAAATGCCAATTCATTTTTTTGATGAGGAAAATTTCATGCACTTTTTCTTATGACTAACTCTGTCTATATCCAAGTCTTACCGATTCCAGTTCTGAATGAGGACGAATAGCAGCAGATGGCGGCGGGGGTGCAGCAAAATCAGTGACATTTGTGGCTGTTACTTGTGAAGTATTCTGAAAGTTGACTGTTATGTAGCGTTCTTCCATGGAATTTGCACCCATATAACCGAACTTTTGACAACTGTGCGGACATTTTTTAAGCAGGTCTGAATTTTTCTGGCACCAACCAGCTTTGGCCCAGATTGGACAACTGGGTTCCGAGTCACTCACTTTGTACTCGCTTTCTAAAGAAACAAGAATTAAAAACGATTGAGCCGTTTAATTTGAAATCGCAAAAACTACTAGGGATAAGATAAATTATGCTATAGACCACGAACGAATCAGGGTAAGGCTTAGATTTGGCTGTAGTTCCGTTTTTAATTCTTCTGAGAAAGTTGCTTAAATCATCTTCCTTCATCAATGGAAATGCAAACTAGCGGACAACCTTCGCAAACATTAATACATACTAATGGCCTAACATTCCATATCCAAGCGTAAGAGATCTAGAAAGCCATCCAATACTTCATAGGGCGAAGAATGTTTCTTGGTGCTACACTCCTAATCCGTATTCCCCAAAATACAAACAGTTTGAACATATTAAATGAAAAAACCTTCTTCTTGTTATGAATGAAATACTGTACAATCAGTCATACTCCTGGAAAGCGTTCCCAGACGCCAGTTTTATAGTTTTTTAGCGGATAGAAAACATGGTTGTTATTGCTATTCTGAAAAGAATGTTCTATGATTTTCTTTGCGAAAAAAAATTATTCACCGATTTATTACCATTTTGCAAGGAGCCCGCTAGGATCACGATATTAAAGAAACACCTTTGGATTGTCAAAAGCAACTCACCTGGACCACACATCTCGCAGCTCTTTTTGCAGTTCTGAGCCATGTAGTCTGGTCGCGTCGCGCATTCATTGTTTGACACCCATTCTGGACAGTGCTGATCGATATCTTCACATTTGTCAGTATCTCCTAACATGAATTCAGCAAATCTTCCAAGTTATTAACACGTTCAAGAATATTGCCGAATCATTGACGATTAAACAACCATTCATATGCATCATCCAAGGAGACGACAGAAAGGTTTTCCAGCTTGAGTCGCCCTTCCATACAGGGATTAACCCCTCAAAAATTTAACCGTTTGGCCCTTACATGGTTAGAAAGCGTAGACTTGGTAATTTTTACTCCCCTTTTTTTAAAATAGTTTATATTTCATCTCGCCGCAGAGGTGACATAGCTACATAAGTCCAGGTTGTTCATACGCACTCCACTTAAATCAAACGTATCATTCCTCTAATTTTTAATTCAGTGGAAGGAAGGAAGGAAGCCAGTTGGCCTTAGAAATATGCAGCCGAGGAATTTAGCGGGGACTAAGGAGAAACAAATCCAATTGGGGCAAACGAAACCTAAATTGTTGTAAATCCCAGTAAACCAGTTGGATATCACGTTCAACTGGTTTTCTTTACACGACCGCTGCAGAAGAGTTGACAAGGGTGCAACCGAGAAGCAGATCTATTTGAGCAGGTAGAAGAAAAAAATATTTGATCTCGATTCAAGAGTTGAATAGGGGCATCGAGATAAAGATCTAATTGAGAAGGTAGATGTAAAAAACGTTTGACTGTTGCCACTTTCCAAGTCAAACAGCGCACAAAAATCACTCAGCCACATCGCCTCCTGAAATTACGCTCCTTGTCTGTCTACTACGTTGACGTCAGCATCGCAAGGGAAGAATATCTTATAAAATGTATCATGTCCGGTCCAGTGCTGGTCACTTAAAAAATCTAGTGCCTTATCGTTTAATAATATGATCGATTTATTACCTCCAGCTTTTCTGCAGAACCGGCAGCTCCATGGACATCTGTCAATCATGTAATGATAGTTGGACGCGCAGAATCCATTTTTAGCTTCTTTTGAGCACGATTTGACCCTATCATAACACTCCAGTGGATTGATACGAACTACAGGGTCAATAAAATGGAAAAGAAGTTTTGACGTGACTACCCCATGTAACGATGCATATATAACGATATATATATATATATATATATGATTGATTTAGTAAAAATGTCAATCATTCATCAAGAGTACAATCAATAGAAAGTGTCTTTAGGTCGCATTTACTTAGCAACACGATATTATCATCTATCTTTCCCCTTTTCTGATACAATAATGTGATAGAGCGTATTTTTTAAACGTAGAAAACAGTACGGTTAGAGAGTTCGAGATAGGCCATTGTTAAAAAGCAAAACAAAACAAAAAAACAAAAGCAACAACAACGTTAACGATAGAACTCCAAAATGATCATCAGAGTCTGCTTTCGATCAAACCCACAGATACTGAGAAATTCAAAGATGAGCATCCATTCACGAAGAAAGGTTGTGAGTGTCGTTAACGACGAGAGCCTTATGACGCAATTAAGCTAAATTACTGGGTTTTGAATATGTCTTACCTCGAGAGACATCTAATGCTATCGGGGCACCTTGCACGGCTTCTTTCGTACAAAGATAAAATACTGAAACAACCAAACAAACACGAAATATGCTAGCTTTGAATATAACACGCAATGTAATAACGCTAATGTAAATGAAACTACTTGGGAAACTAGTCTTCTATTTGATGCACGTCCAAATGTTACAACATCCATGTGAGTGTTTTCCCATCAATTCAGTACCTCATTAAATAAACTGTATAGTTTTAAATTGTTGAGATGCGTAGCTGAAACAATCTTGCTGATTAATAACTGAAAAATTAAAAAGAGACAAAATTGTAATCTGCCATAACATTCTGTTCTCAGCAGCGAAAAGGTAAGAAAGAAGGCAGTTTGTAATTTGAATAAGCAGTTGGTTAATCTCCTCGCCGGAACACATTGGTTTATTTACAAGTGGGTCTACCACAAGACTTTTGCTTACACCGTACCTGAGACAATGACATATAAAATGATAGAGAAGACAGCATTTTGAGTGTTTTGTCCGCATTCAACCATCCCGTCATAAGTTTCGTGGTATCTGAAGAATTAAATAAAAAGGTTTGTATAGAAAAAAGCTTACGTTCTATTTTATTTCCATAGTTGAGTCTATGTAAATTGAATTCTCATCGAGCAATTTTATATATATGCAATTTTTTTATCACTCATGAAATAAAATTTGAAAATTGTTCTTAATAAATTTAAGAAAAGCACGTATTAGGAGAAACGTTCTGGGGCTGGAAGCCCATTAGTTTATTTAGGAAGAGAAAACTTACCGTCTATAGCTAGTTTTTACTTCATAATTTGTAGAACACAAATCCACGTCGAATTGAACGAATCAATGAAAGCGGTCAGCCTTGCGTGGATAGATTTGACAGGTGCTACATATCACAAAACTGCAGTGTGAAAGAATTTATCGTTTTGAAATAGACTCCTCGTAAACATTTGTTTGGTGGAACCGTGGTGAAGTGCTAGCCTCTTACAAGTAATGAGTTGAAAACCTCTCGAAGTTTCTTGTTATAAAAACACAGTAAGCCAATTTTACCTTATATTTATTCCAAAATCTAGGCTGTGTTTTTCTGGGTTTTAATAACTCCTGCTATTCATGACAAATTATTTTTCTTTCTTGTTTATATTCATTTTTTAAAGAAATTGTTTAGATTCTATGAAAGCCAGCAACTAAGAACACGCCATGTTTTTAAATCGTTTATCGTGAAAGACGAAACATAAGAAAAGAGCTGAATTAAGGCCATTGTCCTGTCTTGCTCCCTCGACACTTTGATTTAAAACCTGAGTAATATAAAGTATAGGACTCTTACCAGAAAACGATTACCACGGTTAAAAGTTTCAACATCTTCAACTGAATGAAGAAAATCTTTGCTATCGTTTTTTTTCCATGTCGACAGGTACCTCGTTGGAAAAAACTGGTGGTTCAACTTATTCGGATATTCTTCCAAAGCATAATTCAGTCACATAATAAATATCAAAGTCTTTCCCTTTTCCAAGGAAATTCATACTGATGACGGAGACGCGCAGCTGTCTTTTGACTCTTGATCGATGGGGTCAGGACTTGAGCCCTAAACGACATATTGCGTTGTTCTTGATCAACACACATTACTTTACAAACCCTCACTCTCCCCTCCCCCCCCCCCTCCCCATGAGTACGAATGAGTACCATCAATGCAAATTAGTTCACCGAATAACCCAGGTTTGGAGTTGAAGGATGGGCGAATTCAGTGCCATATCCGCTATCGTGTAGCTTAAAGCCCTGGTGAGGGACGCAGAGTGGGCGGATAAGGAAAACGTACTTCAAGCCTGTGTGGAGAATTTAGATTCCGATGCATATATCAATGAAGAACTCAAGGAAGAAATTAAGTTTATTTGAATTTATGCTTAGATTCTATTTTGCGAGTTTAAAAACAAAAAAAAGCCAACGTCTGAATTGACAAATACGTCTGGTGAATTGTTTTGAGCGAGACAGTGGAAACATAAGATTTAACGAAATGTGCAAGAATGCCACTGAACTCCATTTTTGTTGGTTGTTGAACGCACATAACAAAAATAAAAAAATTCTTCAGTCTTGGTGATTTATTTTTTAAAAGATAAAAGTAGTCTTTGAATCAAAAGACCATTCGTCTTGCCATTTAGGAGAAATAAAAATGACTGATAGGAATATAGCATGATGCAGCCGATCATTCATTGAGGCTCCTGTATATTCAAGTGTAATAACTTAATACGCATGCCATAATCGAGCTCTTTCTTCATCAGATGCAAAGAGAAGTCGCAACACTTTTGCGTACAGCGTCATAAACGATTAGCAACTCATAACTGAGTCATTCGTTGGTGTATCGCCTGAAAATAAACAAAAATACTTCAACTGAGTCTCATGAAAACGTGTCTAAAAATAATTTGAAGCGATCGATGCTAAAAAGCTAAGCTTCACACACTTAATGAATACAGGAGAATGTCTTGCCACGGACGCAAAAAAAAGGCAAGTTTCCAAGTTTTTAAGTTGTCTTTTTGATAAGTTCAAAATGCAGAAGGAGTTCACCAAAGTGAAAAATGAAGCAAAACCAAAGAATTCCAGATTACTCCAGACACTTATTCGAGGACTGCAATAGATAACACTTACGAGGCATATTTGATAAAAATAACTCTCTAAAGAGATCAAAACCCATCTTTCGAGTCTAAATGTTAGGTAATTTCAAATGAAAATCATGAATTCCTTTATAAAGCTTCCCTCAAGGTTATAAGGTCTTATAAACGAAAAGATAATTTTAATAAAGACCAAATGCATTTGAATACGACCGCATTTCACATATTAAAAAATTGCGGCGGAAAACTCGAGGTTCGCGATAAAGCGGACTATTTACCTTAAAAAGTCTAAAAACTTATGCCACTACTACTTCATCAGCAGCCAGCTTGAGATCTTTTTTCGGCTCTACTTTCTTTTGCTCTACACCTTCCTTCTTGATAGTGAGTGGACCTTCCGTTCCTGGCCAAGGATGTTGAATGACATACGTTTGACCTCCCGGTTGCGCGAAATCAGATTGTGGTTCAGGGGCCGCGGGACCAGCGGGTCCAGCCGCCGGACCGACTAAGGAGTTTTAGAAAGAGAGATGTTGATGAGTGTAAGGTACTTTAAAGCTATCTTAAATGAAACTGCATACAAGAATATGACTGAAGACCCTTCGATGATAAACAAGGAACTTTAGAATAGTATCAGAATTTGAGTCCTTTAGAGTCTAAATGAAGGAAGGAGGGCTAGGTGCTTCTAAGGAAGGCAGAAGGGGTATAGGAAGTTGGAGAGTTTGGTTGGTTAGCTCTATGGCCGTAGGAAAGGTGCAAAAGAGGGAAGGGGTAAACGAAGATAGAAAAATGGTACAAGGAGCGGGGAAACAGATGATCAGACATATAGACGCAGGTGGAAGGTTGAAGGGACGTGATTGTGTGGCAGGGCAAAGACACTTTAACCTACCGGGTGCAGCGGGCTGAGCAACAGGAGCGGCAGGCTGAGCAGCAGGGGCGGCAGGCTGAGCAACAGGTGCTGCGGGCTGAGCAGCAGGTGCGACAGGCTGAGCAACAGGTGCAGGTTGTGCGGGCTGAGGAACTTGTTGGACTGGCGCTTGAGGTTGCCTATTTTGTCCATAATATTGTTGTTGCTGGTAAGAAGGTTGCTGGTAAGGAGATGGTTGCTGGGCATAGGGATCTGAACCGTATGGATTGTAGGGTTGTTGGTAGCCAGCCTGTCCATATGCCGACTGTCCATAGGGTGGTTGCTGTCCATAGGGTGGTTGCTGTCCATAGGGTGGCTGCTGTCCATATGGTGGGCGGCCGTAAGGAGTTTGAGCTCCATAAGGCTGGTAAGGTCGGTATGGCTGCCTAGGTGGAGGACGGCGGGCGTCAACGGGAGGTGGCCGCTTCAGCGATCCTTCTTTCTCTTCCTTTCCTTCTTTCTCTCCCTTTTCTTCTTTTTCCTCCTCTTTTCCCTCTTTTTCTTCCGTTGGTGGTGGTGGTGGAAGAGCTGGTGGCTGGGGAGGCAGAGGCGCCTGTGGACCTCCACATGGGGGTTGTGGTTGTGGTGGTGGGCACGGTGGCTGACCGCAAGGTGGCTGAGGTGGACAAGGAGGAGCACAAGGATCCGTAGTCATTTGAGGTTGACCACAAGGCTGTTGCATCATTCCTTGTTGGCCATACGATGGCTGCTGACCAAATGATGATTGTCCATATTGGGGTTGTTGTCCGTAAGGTTGCTGTCCATAGGGCTGTTGAGCGTAGGGTTGCTGCCCATAAGGCTGTTGAGCGTAGGGTTGCTGACCATAAGGCTGTTGTCCGTAGGGTTGCTGCCCATACTGACCATATTGTTGTTGCATGTTTGGTTGTGCACCATATGGTGGCCTTCCATATGGCTGTTGACCAAACCTTCCAGCCATTGGCTGTTGTCCGTATCGTCCACCCATTCCAAAGGTGTCACCAAGTTTCTTCTCAGGGACGGATGGTAAAGCAACAAACCCTTTGCAACTAAATTTGCAGTGTTTAAACATATAAGGCTGATGATTTGCTTTGGCGCAAAAATCAGAACTCTTCCAGTTGCTGCATCTGCTGTCGTCATCCATTAGCATTTCCCCTACGATATGTAAAATGTCCAAGGATTACTTCATGAACGTAGCAGTGAAAGACTAAGAAAAAATGATTAGTCAGACCTCGAGGCTGAGAAAAAATTTGAGAAATAATTCTGATCCCTTTCCGTGTTCTTCGATCGTTTGTTACATGCTTTAGTTTCGGAACATATTTGCTTTTTTCGATATTGCAAACAATGTATACACGAGTGAACTGAGCATATTAAACGCATTTAAAAGATTACTGATGTAGATGGATAATAAAGAATTATTGAACCTACGACCAACTATAATAGTACGCTTAATCACCAAGATTGATAACTACATTAATTATACTGAAAAGCGCCCAAGCAGTTCAAGGCAATCTATGAATGAGGAAATAAATGGACGAATGAGTGCACTGCAAGAACAAACCAATTTTTATTTGCTTCTTCGTACCTGGAGAACACATTTTGCAGGCTAACTTGCATTTCCCTGACATGACTGAATGGCTTTTCGCACAGTAACCCAGGGGCGCCCATTTTTTGCAGAATCTCACATCCTTGTCAAAACACACGCTGTCTGAAGAACAAAAGCAAAAAGAAACCAAAACAAATCAAAGACTTGAACTTCTCATAACCATACCCTACTGCAAACTCTTGCATGTACGCGTCAAGTAACCTCAAATACAGACTTAACAACCAAAGCGTGTCATCTTGATGTAGCACTAAATTAGGTCAGCCTTACACAACAATCACGTTTCAGGACTTAGTATTTTCATACCTTTTTGTGGCTTATCCTTCAATTTCGCAGCCTTCTTTTTTTCAACAGGCTTTCCTTGACACAAGGAGCCGAGTATCGTCAACAAAACAAAAACCACCGTTGATTTCATTGCCACTTGCCTTCTATAAAGAAAAAACAGCAGTTGCTTATGAAGTATTTAGTCAGTTTAGTTAGTAAGTGAGTTAATTTAACAATTGCAAGCTAATAACTCCTCCAAACTCTAGACTCCACTTGGACAAGAAGAGTGAAAACTCGAAGCATTTGCGATAATCAGCAGAAAATTTATCTTTGGCGATTTAAATTATTCACATACAATTTTTTTGCAAAAGGAGAGTTGTCGTGAACAATCCTGGCGTCGGCGAAACTAGCGAGTACAGATGACTTACTGAGGACACTTGCCCGTGGAAATTTCAAGGCAGTCTTGTACAGTTACTTAGCTTTGAGAATTTACAGTTGCTGGCAGGTTTTTTTTTGTTTGTGGATACAACAAGCAATTTTCTATAAAAAACATACGACACAAAACAAACTTGCTTGTGGAAATTTAGGTTAGTTTTTTTTTTTTAAGAGGAAACAACGCACATTTAGAATCTTGCTTGATTTTCAGAAGTGCACCATTTTAATCATGAAATTGATTCGGTACCAGACAAAATGAACTTGGATCATCATATAATTTCTACGGGATGGAATTCCTTTTTATTCTCTGTAACCCCTCTTTGGACCAAAGCATTTCAAAATAATTTGAAATGTTTTAGTAAGAAAATCTAGTACATGAATCCAATCCGCCACCGTCGATTAGGTTTGACAGGTAGTGCCACAATTTGAATTTGAAACACTTTTATGTTCACAATTGAACATTTGAAAGAGTAATAGATCTCCGGAACATTTACTTTTTCTTTTAAGTTTCACATGATTATTACTATAATGAGGTCAGAGTTTCCTAATTTGGACTTAATAGAATCAAAGCAAGCAATTGACTCCTATATAGCATCTTAGAAAGGTTATGTCATTCACTTAATTTTGTCGAAATGGCCGAGAAATGATTGCAAGAGAACAAAGTAACGGTACCATCCGTGATATCGTGTATATTTTTCGTATTAAAGATATCATCTCACCTTGAATACACCCACAGCTTTTTGTTCTAAAGGCCTTTTGCTTGTTGTGAATTTTAGGTGTCACTTTGGACCCTTCAGTAGATCAATGATCTTATGCAAACGTCATCGACCTTCTGGGGGGTAATTACTCAAAACCAAATTTTCTGCGACAGTTCCAATATTTTTCCAGAAGATGACTTTGCTTGCTCTTCTTTACTTCATCTTTCTTTTATTTTAGGTGAAACTCAGTAACCGAGAGTTTCAAATAAGCGCCAAGTTGTGCGAACTGGGCATTCAACATTTCACTTTCTCAAACTTTACACTTGACTCTTGCAATAACTTATGCTCGAGTCTTCGAACCGTCAGTCCGTGATTAAAGTCCTGTACAGAAATTCTTTTACTCAGAAAATCACATAACACGATCGCATCAGCCGTCAAATGCCAAGAGACACCGGGATGTTCAACAGAAAACATGTCCCCTAATGTTTTTTCTCTGTTATTTTGTTTCTAATAGAAAGTTACTTCCATCGTAAATGGAAGTAACGATGTTTGAAATACTCCGGCCACCAGCAAAGCATGTAAGGCGGTCAATTGCTCGTATCATTTCTACCAGTCAAGCACAAATTTGTCCTGTTTTCAGCATTGACGTTGCTTGAATTTGGGAATTTTAGACCCCAAACTTGCATGATTTCAATGCGAAACAAACTTAATTTTGACTATCAGTGTCATAATACACTTATGGGTTTAGCGTGACCTTATGAAGATGATTGAAATAATCAGTCATTTTCCGAACAGGTACGGAGCGCTTTGAGTCCATATTATTTCATAAACGCAGGCCAACGGGAAAAGTTGTAGAAACTTGTTAAACAAGGTCGAAAAGCGTAAATAGTCATTCATGTAAGGTACATCAAATTCAAAGTCAGAACCTTATAAGCTGGTTTCTGGGCAACATTTTGAGAGAGATTTTAATCAGTTTAAGTCTCTCAAACAGTTCATCAGACCATCACATTAAAGTAGTTTGACTGATATCAACCGAAGCATTTTTTTCGCATCTGCTATTCAAAGCAATAATCCATGTTGCCAGCTGAGTGCGAAATTCGCTTTAAAGCATTATTAGATGGAATGCCAGGGCGTTCTATTTTCTTTCAACTTATTATAACCTAAAAATTATTTCGAAGGCCAGAATAAGTATTAAAATTAAAAAAGGAGAGAAAACGAAACAATCGAAAGCTCCATTTTGAAGTCGACAACTTCTTGAACTTTATCCCTGAGCACTGATGGCTCACTACTGCTAGGCAAATTTAACGAAGTAGATTTGCATGGTGTACTCGGAGGGTTTTTTGCCCTTGACGTAAAAACCTTAGAGTGCCTAAAATAACCGACCCAAGCATGCTTATTTAAAAGCATACAAAGCGAAAGATTCAGTGAGCGATAGATGACCTACCTGATTTTTTGCGCGTGGCTGCGGACAAAACAAACTTGTTGCAGTCAAAATACTGCCGAGGCAATCTCACTGAAAGAAGGATGCAACAACCCGTTTGGACATATGACCAGTAAATAATTAAACGAGAACAAAAGGCCACAAGCAAATTCCTAAAGGATCAGTAATTTTCGTCAAAGTTCACTGCGTTTAAGCTCTGGCTTGTTTGGACGACCAAGCAGACAAGTTATTTACCTTTTCAAGTTATTCAGAACCGAGGAATACTTGTTTAATTCTTTAGGCTATGACTCTGTTCATTGTGAGAAATGGAGCTCGAAGATATATCCCTTTTGCCGAAATTGGTCATCGTTTTTATGTCTTACCTAGACCTTAAGGTATTTGCTGACGCCACCTTCATATCATGGAAATAATGGGAAGGAATTGAAATGTCAAGTAGATCCAACAATGACGGAATTTCGGTCAAACTACAATGTTATCATTAAATGTCCCTGTTTCCACAGTTTTTCTTCGATCTCTTCTTTGTGAGATGAACTTTTTGACTGATCTACAAAAAATCGTAGCTTGTAAGAGGTTTTGGAAATTTTAGCAAACAAGCACTTTGAGACTGTCGTAAAATTGAGAAATTTACCATTGCGTGGTGACGATTAGTTGTTTTTTTTCACGGGTCAATGAATTGAGTGCCATAAAACCGCCCATTTCGAAGTCAAAAGTATCCAAATGTTTTCCTCCTTTTCATTTATCGACTCAAAACGCTATTTCACGGTTGGACACCATTATTGAAGAGACCTCAAACAAACCGGGGTCAGGAGAGCTATATTTATTCGAAAGAAACCTTCTACGAACACGTGATATAGGATTACTGGGACACAGAAAACAACTCAGGATCAACCCTCTCTCTGTTTCAGATGTCATAAGATGCACCATGTTCTCCAACGTGGCTGATTCTGTGCTATGTGATCGTTAGATACGTTACACGCTATTTATTTACCTGAACTGACCGAGCCTCGACTGGGAGATTTTCATTTAAATGAATGCCCTTTAAAATAAACAGCATTCTGTGTTACCAAATAACTGCAATGACAAAAAGTTATTATTAAAAAAAAGTACATGGCAGATCGTTTTACAAAGAAAGGAAAAATTTACAGCTACAAGAAATGTTTGTGTCAAGTTTGATAAACAGATACAATCCTGGGCAATTCCTTCTAATCTGAAGTAAAAGGCCTTTCAGTTTCCCTCCTCTTACGCTGATATGTTCTCAGCAGTTTCCGTACAAGCGCAGAAATGACCCTCGCAGCTGAACTACAATTTAAGCCATTGCAGAAAATTCAGGCTTCGACGACCTAAACACTTTTCAGGCTGAATTTTGAATGCGGTTGGGAGATCTAGGAAGGGTTAGTGTCCTGGAAAAGTTGTCTTTTTTATCAATATACTGCATGCTTTTGTAAATCTTTCCCTTCAAATCTGGCCCACTCCTTCTTAGTGGAATTTCTGGAAGACACCTTTTCGAGCAAGGAAAAACCATTGGCTTTTGGAACAACCGGTTATTTCAATATGCAACATCGATTCTTAAACGTTTGAACTATTCCGTTTTCAAGTTTTATTCATGGTCTTCCTTCAACACACCTACAAATACGGACTAAAATTTCTAAAAAAACTAAACATGCTCCATTAGTCAAATAAGTTTTCATAGGACTGTAATATGTTTGTCATCTCCAGCCGGCTGGACAAAATTGTAAACATGAATCGAATGTTTTCTAACAAGAAACTTTGACTTCGGCTTCATCGGTTCCCTGGCTTAGTTTCTACCCTGTGTTGTAAGTCAGCCTCACTTCAGTCTTGTTGATACTGTTTTGGTTTCCCATTGTGGCTCATTAGATGCTCTCCTTTACTTGAGCTCTATCTTCATATTCCCTTGTCTTCTTGTGGTTTTTGTTCTTTGCTTCACCTCCAAGATTAACGTTCAACTCTTTTTGGGAATCATCTTTCTTTTTTTTTTCGTTCTTGTTCGCCATTTTATCCACATTCCCTCTCTCCTCTGTAGCAGTCCATTTGGTAGAATCATCTTTTTTATTATCTTCCATTTTGGCCATTTTATCAAGTTTCTCTCTCTCTTCTACAGCCGTTTCCTTGGCAGAATCACTTTTCTCCTTATCTTCCATTTCGGCCATTTTATCCACTTTCAATTTATCGTTAGCAGCAGTCCCTTTGGCAGAATCATGCTTCTTATTCCCTTTCTTTTTGACCATTTTATCCTCTTTGCCTGCCTCCTCTTCAGGAGTCTTTTTGGCAGAAACATTTTTCTTATTCTCTTTCTTTTTGGCCATTTTTCCCATTTGGCTTGTCTCCTCCGCAGGAGTTACTTTGGCAGACTTTGACTTCTCAGGTCCCTTCTCTCGTTCTGTTGGTCCTCGAACTGTTCCGGGCTGAGGCTGTTGTAAGAATGGTTGATGGGTCTGACCTGTAGTAGAACATTGAATTACAGGCTTGAAACTGGCCTCTGGATCCCTAGTTTAGTAATGCCGAGGTTCAACCATAGCTCAACAGACCCGCTGCACACAGTATTTCCTCTTTATTGTGAGCGAATACCTCGCATACCCATCATATCTTATATTAGATATCTCAAGGTAGTTCCTGATGAAGTCCCATTTTAGTCCTTGTAATAAACCTTAGAGTTAACCAAAGTAATTAAAATAGGTTGCGCAAAAGTGTGAGAATATTTATCCTTTGACTCGTTTTTGACTCTTCGTTTGGGGCCATCACAGCCAGATATAAATAGTTTTCCATTTGTAATCACTAGAGATCACATTTTCTTTTTTACCTCCATATAAGGCCTATGAATTTAACCTTTGTTATATTCAAAACTATTTTACAATCCTATATAGTTTGCTGAGTTATATGGTATTTACAATAAAGATTTACCCGTGTTAACTTGTGCCTGATTAGGGTACTGAGATACACCTGGTAGAGTGTAAGGTTGCTGAGCTTGTTGTTGCACAGCAAGGGCCTGCGGTTGAATAGCTGGATTCACTTGGGGGGCTGCCTGTTGCACTTGTTGCACTTGAGGATAATTTTGGGAAGTCTGTGCTGCAGGGTTCACTTGAGGAAGTGTTTGTTGAACTTGAGGTTGCACTTGTCCAGGTTGCACTTCTTGGTTTATCGGAGGAGGTATTTGAGTCTCTGTTTGTATTTGATTGGTTCGTATACCTGGGTTTATCTGCTGAGCGGCGGCGACAGGTGTTTGTGGCTGCATGGTACCAGGCTGCACCACGGAGCCCACCTGACCAGCTTGAAGAGCAGAATTTAATTGTGGCTGAATGACCAGGCCAGGGTGCTGGGCTTGCGGCTGCAATTGCGCTGTTTGCTGTAGCTGCGTTTGAGCAGCTGTCGGGAGCTGTTGAATAGTTGGTAGTGCGGGATAATTAGCAACTGGTTGCTGAGGTTGCACTGCCCCGCCTGTTTGCTGTAGCTGCGTTTGAGCAGCTGTCGGGAGCTGTTGAACAGTTGGTAGTGCGGGATAATTAACAACTGGTTGCTGAGGTTGCACTGCCCCGCCTGACTGCACCTGGGGTTGCACGGCTTGTACTGATACTTGTTGGTTAGTATTAGCTCCTTGTGGTTGACTTTGAATATAGCTTTTACATGTATGTGGACAAATACTTCTCCATTCCCAGTCAGTTCGACAAAGATCTTGTTTAGGGTTGCACTCACTGGTTGTGTCCATCACAGTATTACCTAAGGAAGACAAAATTAGATGGGAAAAATAGTTCTTCATGGGCTTAAGACAAGTAAAGAATTCGTAAGTGCCCTATAAGGATTTTTTTTATTCGCGGTTGGGTGCTCTTCAAGATCGGTACTATAATCGATACCTTCTTTAAAAATCTCATGTGCAGACGGTGTAAGAAAGATGATAACGTTAGAGTACGGTTGATTGAAGAATGATACCAAGAATTAGTATATAACACACAGGTGAATGGTACTTTTCACGCACTTTGTTTGGCTGGTTCGTTTGTAATTATCACTATTCACCTCCGAGCAGCCAAAGATACGAAATCTCGCGTCAACAATTTACTTTCCGACCAATTTTTGGCAAACTGACAGAAGTGAACCAATTTCTTTTGCTTATGTGTGGTAGATACTAAAACAATTAATCATTTCGTCCTCGGTAAATAATTGTTATGAGCGAACATCAGCATTAGACACCTTTTGGCCGCCTCTATAAAACTAAGCCTTGAGAAAGCATCCTAAATTTCCAAAAGTTGACACTTCGGGAAAATGACAGAAAAGGTCCCAGAAACCAAAAAGGTCAGCAAAATGACTTTTGACCCATACCTGGAGTGCACATGGCACATGACAGCATACATTTCTCTGTCATGTACGCATGTTGTAAAAGGCAGCCATTGCGACTCGCTAAACTTGCACAATCTTGCTCCTTGTCAGCGCAGATGTACTCTGTAAATGGCAAAACAAACAAACAAACAAACAAGCTGGTTGAACGATGACTCACTTTTATTTTGGGTTTTTTCTCAGAGGAGAAGAGAACCTCACTAACATGGTCTACTTTTCAAAACCAACTGTTCTCAGTACGAGCGAATTTAAGCAGAAATTAACATCGACAATAAACAATGAAAGCACGCACGTGCATCACGCTCTTTGGGTCCACTATCGATGTCGTCACTGCACGATAAGTCGTGAAATTTTTTCACTGAAACAACATCAATTTAATGAAGTTGTAAAACATGGGGACGAGGAAATACTTACTAAAAAGTTTTACAGTTCATCCTGGTGGAAATATCATGGGGCGTTTCAACTGCCTGAAGCTAGTACAGGTAGAAGCCATACCCTGCCATCGAGATTCTATATTCCTTACAAAGTAAAAGGTAACTTGCCTTTGCATGTATGTGGACAGACTGTAGTCCATTCGTTTAGTATACAAAGTTCCTCCTGGCGCTTATCCAGCTCTACAGCACATTTACTTGATAAATCGAACACAGGATCACCTAAGAAGTAATATGAAAAGATTAATCACGGATCAGCTAGGAAGGAGAATCATCACTAAAGATTCACAGTCAGCACAATGGTACTGGGTGGTACAGGGTTACGGGGTCTGGGTTGTGCCTCGTTTATGTTGGTGTTCGCAAGTACTAATATTTTCATTTTCTCTGTGGAAATGAGGACCTGTGCGAGCGCAAATTCACGTAGAGTGCATTTTGATCGAGAATCGCAAAATTATAAATCGAAGAAATCTCGATGGCCAAGTAGAGCAAAGATTAACACCTCAAGGGACCGATGTAAGCACATGCAATCTACCTAAAGCTCAGGAAAACGCTCTAACTAATTCGCGAAAGGAATCACTTTAGCCTCTGATTGGTGGCGAATGAGTAGTAGAGGTGTTCATAACCAATCTCAGCACAAAGCTTCTGAAAGTCAAAGCAATCGAGGATTGATATTTACAGTCAGTTCATGAAAGAAACTTTGAAACGAGGCTCACCCACCTGGATGACACATCTGGCAGGTTAGCTTGCAATTTTGGCTCATGAACTGAGATCGCGTTAGGCAGTAAAATTTGAAATTCTTGCAACGTTCTGGCTCAGTATCAAAGCAAAATTCCACATCTAATGAAAAAGGTTAAAGAGCACAATTAAAATTATTCTTATGTGCTCTCAGATACCTTTCGCAATCCACAAAGATACTTAATTGAAGTCGGTTCTATTTTGGGGCGGGAACTAAAAAATGGCATAAAACGTAATCAAGTATTAGTTTATTATACCAAACATATATTTCAACGACAACTGGTCTATTGAGACACTTATAAACCCGAGTCCTATTAAACCTTCTTTCTTTAACCTCTACAACAACTCTTAGCATTGAGAGACAAATAATGCAGAAGACGACCTTATTCACCTTGGTTGCTGCACCGGCCTGAACTATCTGCTAGAATTGGCACAACAACTGAACGACTGCTTAGGGAATCTTATTCACCAGTTTGGGATTATCGTAAATCCTTTCAAAATTATTTCACCTGTGCGTCTGTTTAGTTATAGATTACAGATGGCATTAAAATGTGGTAAACAAAAAAGTGGCACACAAAGCGCAGTTGAGTATGTTACAGATGTTCTTACCGTGTTATGACGTCTTTTGTGATCTATTACCAAACAGACCCACAGCAACTTAGAATCAATTTGTTTTTTGCAATAAGGAAGAAAATTTTTTCATTGTTGATGTCATATATGCGTCTGTCTTCCAACAGATCGTTTAAATTGTGATAATCGTGTTTTCTTTCAGAATGATTTCACCATGTGAGGATTACGTATCTTATTCAAGTTTAGTACTTACAGCCGTTTGTTCTTCGCGAGTTTGGCTTTTTATTCACGGTCGTGGACACTGACTTGCAAACGAACAGCAGAGGCATGTACAGAATAACAACTGAAAGAACGCATGCGAACTTCAGAAGTAAAAGCATTGCCCTGTTAAAATTGTTAGAAGTATAATTTACCGATTTGCTTAACTCACTACTACGAGAAGTACAAGGAGTATCTCATGCGATCAGGATGATCTGGTGACCGCAAATTTCTCATTCTAGCGACACAGTAGTTCTATCAGTCTAACATCATTCCAGGCGGACTAGAAGCCCTGCATCCGAAGATCTCATGTGTCATAAATCCCGACGATAAATTCACTTTCAACGTAATCGTCTGTTGTAAACACCAACCAATCAAGAGCTAATTTATTAGACAAAAACTCAAAGAAGCGGTTATGCTTCGATAACGCCGTTACAATATTTAATATTGAGTGCTTACTCAAGCGATAATTTGATGTTGAAGTTAACTGTTCCCCAAATCTACAAACTTTAAGCTTGCAGTTTAACTTTTGACCTTTAATAAGTAGATCATCATAAAACCACTTTATAATTATGCGTCGCTGCTATCTCACGACACGATGGAGCGATTCAGGTGAGCGCAGACCGATGAGAGAATTTCATCCAGAACTCTAAGCCTTCAAGTAGGCTTCTTCCGTTCCATTCCAGGTTTTGGTTAGTTAAATTTTGTTTTAGTTTATCTAAAAGCATCAATTTCTTACCTTGATTGAATTAAGAAGACATCTGTTTCAACTGGCGTTCTTGAAGACAAAGGCTGTTAGACTAATCATTGAAGTAGCTTTTCAGCCTTTGTTAACGGCTTTTCAACAGATGTAAGCACATTTCTTGCAGGTCAACTAGTTAAACTGTTCTCACCTTATATTGTTTATAGGTTAATTGAATCGTTTCGGACATCCTACTCAAGTTTTCATAACAATTGACGCCTCAAGGAAATTTTGCTTAATTTTTTATTGCTTGCGACCTAAACCACCGGTTTTTTAGCCCTCGGTAACGTGAACTGTAACCTGTTGAAACAAGTCGTAGAAATACAGGAAATTATGGTTAAATCAAAGGTTATTCCTATGCGAGCTAGCAACAAAAAAAGAATGCGGCAAAGTTGGTCGCATTTTCTTTTATTTCCACATCCGTATTCTAGGTTTGAGTTTGCAGCTACTGACGAATTGAGTTTTTTCAGCTGTCGGCAGAGTAAATTATAACCTGTTGAGACAAGTCGTAGAAACACTGGGATTAGTGGCTCCATTGCAGGTCATCCCCCCTGCAGAAATTGCCAAGTTAGGCTCTATCCACTTTCCATCCCTCCTTATGAAAGTCTTGAATTTACAACTATTAACTGGTTGCAGTTCTTGTGATGAAGATTTGGCCGATGATTATGACTATAACTGGGAGGGAAGATTGATACTTGCCTAAGTTTTTAATGAGCTTGTCATTAATTGGCAAAAATGTTTAATCGTAGTGAAAGTGTTAACTGGTTCATTGGCTAATCGATATCGTTGAAATTACTTGCAGTTCATGGGCCCATTTCTGTGGTCTTGGGCACTAGAGACAATTTTCTTCAGAGTTACCCTAAATTATAGCTAAAACCAAAAATTATAATTTTATTATAGCTAAATTAGCTATATTATAATTCACTTTCCCATGAATAATTCTTCCTGTGGACTGGAAGCTAAAACGTACTTTCAGAAGTTTCATCCAGCCAAGAGTTCTTTTGCCCGAGTGAAGGGATTTTGAGGTGATAAAAGTTATATTAACGTCTGTAACTTTAAACAAGTTCAGTTCCTAATTTCTCTTTAGATTCATATCAAATTGCAGGGTCTACATGTAAATTGCAATTCTGTCCAAATTGCCATGCATGTCTTGACTAAGAACACAACACAATGACCCCGGCCAGGGCTCGAAACCGGACCACCCGATCTGGAGTCGAGTGCACTAACCATGAGGCCACCGCGCCTCCACCCATGCATTTTTGTGCCACAGGCGTATTTTTCCGATTAACAAATTTTTCACTTTAGAAGCTGCTTTGAAGGAGGTCCTCGTAAATTGACGGTATAATTTTCAAATCTCGTTTTAGCCTTTATTTCACTCCTTAAGTTAAAAATCAAAGCTGTAAATTACAATTCATATTTGGATAAAAAAGAAACACCTTCACTGATTGAAAATTATTATAACATAAGCTGCTCGGCACCTGGTCACAAGCCTTTGATATAAAAATATATATTAGCCTGTGATATGTAATGTGTATCAAAGACTTTCATATATATATATATATATATATATATATGATTTTCGCACTTTCTCTGACTGATGTTTGTTCATCACTTGACAGGTTTATTACGAGCCAACTTAATGACCAGCTCCCGGTTGGCTGGTTGACTCAGTTGGTAGAGCGCTGCACCGTTACTGCAGAGGTCATGAGTTCAAATCCTATACAGGCCTGAAACTTTATCAGGCCTTACATTCACTAATGTTTAAGTAATGTGCATTACTGCGAAGATCGCTTTCATATTCATTTCTTGATACGTAGTTCACATATATGATTTTCATATATTTAAATTCACTTGAAGACAAAATCATTTATACTAGAAGACGAAAGTTTTGATTTCCCAGCTTCTTTTTATTTAAACGCTTCTTCTTCCGAGGCAGCCACTTCCAAAGTGTCAGTTGTGGCCCACAATAATCTTTGCACCGATTAACAGCCGACCCGGGGGAAGAAAATTTGACAGCCGCGAGAATATTGTTGTCGGATGTGGTCGCGACCTATGATAAACACGCAACAATTGACAATTTGACATTAACCGACGAACAATACACGACCAACCGACTACCGACAATGGTAGATAATCGATCTAAAAAAATCTTCCGAAGATATTTCACAGAAATCGATCGATCCCAACAAGATAGGTCTTAAAGAAAACCCGAATGGTTTGAAACGTTTGCCGTTATAGCCTCACGAACTTTTTTTTCATTTTCTTTCATGTCTCAAACGCCCGAGCACGACCGCTAAGGGTGGTGGGTGTGCCCATTTTCGCACTCCTTTTGCCCTAAAATGTAATGGTAGTGCTCAAAATTGACCTAATCTAAACTTAGTTTAAGGTCTGCAGCTTCCTCTAAAGATATTCCTCTGTTTATTTTCCAGTGTCAGGATTTAACAGTCAACCTCGGTTTGGTTTATTCTCGATTAAGGTGTGCCTTTGGGATTTCGCGGTTTTGTGAAGTTTTAGTTCAACACATGCATGGGATGAAATGGAATGAAACGAAAAGTAAACACTAAACTGTATGCAAGACAGTTACATGAAGCAAAACTTCAACGAACTAAAGACTCTTCTAACCCAGGATTAATCGTGGACGAAGTGTGAATAAAGTCCGATCATCGCTTCAACAAGTTAATTACTAAATCTAAAAAAACTTTGTCATGCTGCCCAAAAAACACCTGCTTCTAATTTTTTTAAATCGTTATCATTTCAAAATACAAATGCACGATTTTGCGGTCTGCTGATCAAACATGCCGATTCAAAATGGTAGAGACTGTACTCAGGTTTTGGGAATCACCTCACGACTGAAGAGATGGAAAACAGCGAGACTTCTGACATCTGCATAACGCAAATTCACCTGTTTTTCTTTTTGGTTTCGCAAATTGAATGTAATATTTGACGTGCAACAAGAAATTCATGAAATTAGACATTTTATATTACATACTGTAATCCACAATGTTACCCAAATGTTTGCATAACTTAAATCTTAAGACAATACCTGAATCTATGAGATTTTAAGGAAAATATTTTATCTTCCACTATAACCAAACACGATGTTATTTCATTTCACATGTTTTATGAATAATAATTGTGCTCTGAGCCTCAAAGGATTTCGTAAAACGTACAGAAGTCAGCACGATGGCTTCGGCGTCAGCTAAAAGGTATTGCATCTATGGACACTTGAGATCAAATCATCCGTTTTAAAAAGTGTCAGTTCTATAATGCGGCTTCTTTCATATGGAAATTACCCGGTGGAGAACATCTGTATTTAAAAAGTGAATAAGCAGAGTCATTGGTGGACGGTGAATTTTAAGTCGGCGAATTATAATTTTTGGTTTAAATTGTTTACAACCTAAATTGAAACTTTTACCTTGAAACAATGCGCCTCAATGAATTTTTGGTTGAATTTTTTTTTATTATTTAAGACAAAAACGCTTGAATTCATTCTCTCCTTGCTGCCAACGACCGTAATGAATTAACTGCCAATCTCTCTAATATTTCCAATGCAGTTTGTTTTTGTCTCCTCTGACGGTTCAAATGCAAATTAGTTGGAGGTGGATAGTCACCTACAAGGAGATTAATATGCACCCTCAGACAAGCCTAATTGACATGAATTCAGAATTGTGACCACAAATAGATCAGGCATATTTCTCCTCAGTGGACAGCACGTTGAAAATCGACCTCTACGAAAGGGGGTTTTTGGTGTCTTACACGAATTTTTGTCTAATCTGGTTTAGCGATTGATGAGTTAACTACTTGAATACCCGCCGAAAAGAAATTTATATTCACAATTGGAAAGCTATAAAGACGGAAATTCTGCGTAAGACCTGTTACGTAAATTGGGAAAGTTTCGGTTCAAAAGAGGGAGAAAACACAAGATGGATGTTTCAAGTCGCCGATTCTGAATCCACACGCGATTCATTGCGAATTTCTCTAGTGTATGATTGTAAAAAAAAATAATTAATTTCGCATTGTAGCTGACATAGCTGGAAGCTTTTGTTTCGTCAGACCAGCGCTTTCTACGAATTCAGAAGAGCAACCTATCTGACGGAACGCCGATTTTGTTTCAAACCGACAGGATTACCACCAAAATAAATGTAAAAAGGCATAACAAAGAGGAAACCTTCGGATGGTAGGAATTTCATTTGTAAACAAGGAAACCTACGGCAGCTGAAAGGATTCGGGGGAAAAGCGAGAAAGACAAGACAGATTTCTAAGGATTTTAAAGGTAGTGAAAAGTTTATTTGTATATTTATTTCCTAGAACATAAGTAAAGAGCATTATATATCTGAAACACCTTTTTTTCAAATGAAGGAGGTAGCGATCTCGCGTATTTTTTCATTTCGACTGCATTTCATGTTTAAATAATTCGTTCATGTTAATAGTTAGACAGTGCAGTGTAATTAAAAAAAAGAATGTATATTTCTTAAACAAAACAAACGATAAATTCTAAATCAGGGAGATTTTGGCGAACGTTTTAGCCATGTTGTCTTCCGCTTTTTGTGCCTTTAAATCTGAGAGTATGTTCATTTTTCTTTAATTCTTTGTCTTCTGAAATCATCGCTCGATTCGAATATTTACCTCTCTATGTCAACATGGCTCCATGCAAAGAACAACTGAACCGAATACGTCATCAGCACAGTCATCGGTTAACATAAAGTTATAGTGTTGACCAAGGCGTTAATTTCGCTTTCCTCTCTGTAGCAAGACTTTGCAGTTTGGTGTGCATCCTACAAAATTCAGCGAAATGATTCAAGTTCGTCGATTGCTAACCCTTTTCAATTGTCTTCGTCGTTAGTTACTCTGGTTTCTTCTTAACTTATCACAGTGACTGTCTTTCAAAAATTGTTCTTTCCTGTTGAACTTTCAAGTCGGCAAAGGTCTTGCATCTCGTAAGAAATACTGAAAAACGAGCTTTTAGCGTAAACAGTTTGCCGTTTTCCTGCTTTAGATCTGGAAGCTATTATTATTAATATAATGAAAGGAAACATTTTGTATTTAATTTTGAGCGCTTCCCTCTTAGAGCATGGAAATCGATTTCTCAATCATTTTAAAAAGAGAAAGAAATCTTGAGATATATTAATTATACTGAGCTTTAAAAGTATTGACCTCCTTCGCACTTTTAACGCGTCAAATGATGAAAATAAATTAGGATTGACTTCAATTCAGCACAGCCGGCTAAGTGGTTTAGAAATTCAAGTGTAATGGCAAACCTGAGGATACAAGATGTAAATCTAAACACAATATGAAACATTTTCCTGCGTCTTTGTGTTTGATAGGAGACCTCGAACGCGCAAAAGCAACCGCAATTTAACGCGGGGGCAGCCCAGTTTCCCCCCGCATAGTATACTGAAAAATTTTTTGAAAGCAATGTTCCTGTGAAAGAACCTTTTCTTTGAAATAGGTTGGAAATAATCGCAAGTATAGTTGCAGCGATGTAATGAATCACGATCACTTGTTTTGATAGCGATGTACAGGATGAGTTTGTTCCATCGCTCGTTACGACGACAAAGACGAGGAAAGTGTCGACTGAAGTGATATTTCTCCGGCACAAGTCTTATAAATATTTGTGTGAAGGTCATTGTCTTTGTGAAAGAGTTTTGTTTCCAAAATAAGAAGCACTTTAAAGTTGATTGACGAGCGAAAAAATTTATAGGATTGCCATAGCATGTTTAGTGAGCTAAACACAGGAAGAAGTTCCGTTGCAAAGCCCAGTGTTTTTACCGTCAGGCGAAAACATCGCAATGGAATCTCGCTAAGTTGAAGCCTTTCGACCTCAAATGGCGCAAATTTCGGAATGACCAACTTTAAACTTACCAGCAAAACATTGCGATGTTTATCAATCATATGCAGATTCCTCGCCGCCTATCCACACTGACCGCCATTGTGTATAGAAACCGATTTCTTCGGAGATTAAATTGCTCTGAAATGATTTAAATCAGTAAAAAAGACTTTAAACGCGACCATTTTATTTTAATGGTACAATAGTCCCTTTCCTTGCATTTAGGATTGGCCTAAAGCACCACACTACCTGAAAGCTTGAGTGATGTGTTCGGCGCGCAACACGGAGATAAATTCAGGTTAACTCTAAATAAGACTCTACGCGCGAATGTCAATTTTGAGCACCAAGCATATGGCTGAGATATGATCAATATATCTACGGACTTTGATAAAACGTTTTTTAAGTGTCCACGAAACAGCTAATTTTTCATGCCTTGATTTGAGTGTGTTAACAATTTTACTTTACATTTTCCATTTCGGTTATGTAAATTCTGTTTTCAAAGGCCATTTTGGATTCTTAAAGGCCGTCTAGAGCGGAACTCGCATTAGCAATGCGTGCCTTTTTTTTCCATATCGACGTACATCCACAACACGCAGAATGTGAGTTATTTTTTACCGGAACATTTTTATTTACATGTAAGTAAGTTAAACTTGTGCTCGTGTCAAATGTTTTGGCGCGAGCACACGTGTTCAAATGATGAAGTGAAACTATTGTCACGTTAATAAGTAGTATACTTTTGCAATTGTTTGGTTAATTTGGTCCATCCTAGGAATATCATTATCTAGACTGTGCACAGCTTCCGAGAACTGACTGAGTAAGGAACGTGGAGGCTAAACTAAAACCATTTATGACTTGGTCGCCAGCGTTTTCCCGCGCTTCAGGCAATTTGGTTATTTTTGCTTTGACTTATCATTGGCGCTTAAAGTTCAAGTATTTTCCCTGCTTTCTTTGGATTGGCTGTTGTGATTACTTTGGTTTATCGAAACTCAATCAAAAAGTGCTCAAACACAACACTACTCTCTCATCCAATCAAAGGCAAAACTAAAAAAAACCAATCATGATTTGGTCGCCCACGTTTCCCCGCGCTTCAGGCAGTTGGATTGTTCTTACTTTGAGTTCTCATTGGGCCTGAAAGTTATTTCCCTCCTCTAATTGGATTGGCTGTTGTGATTACTTTGTTTTATAGACCCTAAATCAAAAAGCGCTCACGACAAAATTAACTGAAGGAAAATCTTGAAAAAAAATTTTGACGAAGTTTACTGCAGACTCTATATATACATATTCATCTGCCAGACTGACATTGGGTGTCGTAAAAACATTTGGGCCAAAGTAATCACACCAGCAAATCCGAACGATGGAAAATATCACAAATGGCCAGTGAGAATTCACATGAGGGAATAAAAAAGCAAGCTGCTCTTAGCGCGGTTAAAACAAAGGTGAACCAGTCCGTAAAAAAAAATACTCTCTTGATTGTTTTTTCCTTTGTAGAAAGAACTTCGACAGGACTTTGGATTAAGACAATGTCTTCTCCTTCGAAACAAAACTACTGCACGTTGCCTGCTAAGAAATCAGCTCTTAAAGAAACTGTAGACCTCCTTCGCAGGCAAGCGAAGATGCAAAGGATGAAAGTTTCCAGAACAGCTGAAGAAATAATGAACTATTGCCTAGAAAATGCACAGGACGATTGTCTTCTCCAAGGGATTCCCGCGGGCGGAAACCCGTACAAGGAAGGGAAAAATTGTCCAGTAATGTAGACTCTTGCTCACTCAAATAAAAAATTGAAGATTCATGGTATGGAGCAATTTTCAATTGAGCGTTTAGTGACTAGACCACGATTGCAGTTGTTCATTTGTTTGCTTTACACTCTGGTTATTTTAGAAAACTATTACGTTTCTCCATGACCAATTGGATACACGTGCATACTCAGTCACTGTGATGTCTTAAGAATTTTTAATGCTCTCCGTTAGTTTGCTCTTTTTACTTTAAGTTTTCACTAGTTCTCTAAGTATTTACTTGCGAGTATTTCTTTAAATACTTTGGTCCTGGTTTTACCACATTCAGTAAATAGAAAATTGCTCCATCTCATGTTAACAATTTACAAATGGGTCGATTTGTTTATCATTACTTTTGTTTCTTACCAAAAGGAAAAAAAGACTTATGCCACGTCAAGAGTGAGAAAATCTCTAACGAGGAGGTCAAATTATATAGGCTTCATCACATAAATAAAGGTATTCTATATGGAAAATTTTTTCTGCGAAAGCCACACGAATTTTTGGCAACATAGAAACAAAACCTTTCCAATCCAAAGCCTTTATCACAGTTACAAAACAAAAGACATGTTGTAACACGACCATACAATCCAATCACATTAACCATTATCAATACCGCTATTACAAGTTTTCCATCAAGTAACCTGGGAGCGTATGAATTCAAAAGAATGGATTAAATCACTGAATGAATCTTAATAAAAGGCGAAGCTGTAACCACTGATATTCTCTGGAGTTCATCCCAGTTTCACTCAAAGCAGGTCTCCTTCCTCCTGCCCCCCCCCCCCCCCCCCCCGCCAAAAAACAGAGCTCAGAGATCCGCAGTGCGGGGAGATTGCTTCGCTCATGCACGCACACGATGAGAAGGCCAGAGCCGAGGTGTTCGAAGCCCGATAAACATCAATTCTGGGATACTTGCAAACAAAACCTGTACCCTAACTTGTGAGTAAATTGAATAGTGCGTAGCGTGATTTATTTATATCATTAATAGATAACAACAAGAGTGTGTCTTGTCGTTATGCTTTTAATAATTAGTAAATTTCGACCAGGCACTCTCGATTTCTGTTCGTAAATGTTCGTTTTGACTTTGCCCTCATCAACTATCGCTAGAGAAATCTCGAGTTCAAAAATCTAATCATAGAATATTGGATTATGGAAAATATAAATATCAAAATTATTTTATAGCCAATGTATCTCAATTATTCGTGATCCCTCAGCTGTAATAAAAATGTAACAACGATAAAATTACTAAAGAATATGATGTTTGTTCGGGATTCTAAAGAAGCACTGCTGTAAACTCCCCACCCTCCCTACCCCTAGCATGAAAATTTTACCAAAGTAATTACAAAATTCTGTGAACTTTTACATTTTCTGTGCTAATGACTCGAAAAGGAACTCAAAACTTCCTAGTTTTGGCTCAGAGCTACGTTTTCTTTTGTGTCGGATCGCTTGTCTGCAATACACGTAAGTTAAGTTGTTATGGGTTTATGTTACCGCTGGTGCATAACAGCGGTTATGCATTAGCGTGCGAATAATGTACACTGATATGGACAACAACACTCAGCTACTTGTCTTTTTATACAAAGTATAGGAATAGGTCAATTAAAGGTGTAATTTAGATTTAAAGAAATCTGGTTCATGGCTGCCAGACATAAAAAAACATTGAAGGGCATAAATTTTCCTTTCGAGAGAGGTGGATCTTTAGACTCTAGCCTATGCACTATTAATTGCTTTGACCAGGTGACATATTCTAAATTAAGCAGGTAGTAGCAGATGCTACACAGATAACTTGTTAAGTACGATGTTTCCCTAGAGGCGAGGCCTTTTCAGTTCTCATAATGTTCTTTATAATCTTCCGGAGATAATCCGAGTATCTGTGGTCAAGAGTGATAGCAGACGGTACGAGCTGGGAAATTGTGAGAGGCGTGTTTAGACCTTACGGCCAGGTAAGTGATATTGGCCCGTACGGGAATGTAATGATACAAAGCCTTTCCATATGTAATTACGCCTGTCCACACACATGTATATAGCAAATCGACTCGAGAGATTGTTTCAAAACGTTGTCGTTTCGAGAAAAAAAAATAGTGAAATTGGCGTATTTTTAGGAATATAACTTCGACTTTTTTTGGCTTTTTTTTTTGTATGTAAGGAGTTCAGACTTGATAAATTGAAGAAAACAAGAGATTTAATTGGTTTGAAACGTTTGGTTAATTTTGAACATCATCAGTAGCACAATCAAGAGTATTCAAATCATAAGTTAACATTTTCCTACGGGATACCACTTGAGTAAAGTTGTGAATAAAGTGAGGACGCGGCAATTTAACCGAATATTAACATAGATTTAACAAAGTCATTTGACTGAAAAACAAAGGGAAAATGGAACAAAAAAAAAGGGGCCAATGGAACAAAAAAAAAAAATATTTTCCCAAAGATATCAAAGGAATTCTAAACCCCCACGAATCTTTTTACCTGCTTGGTCATTGAATTGCTCGAATCATAGAGTGACAAGGTACCACCCTCTCCGAACAGTTTTCAAATGGCCCCACCATTCTTTTTTGATTTAGTGAATAATATAACAATTTTGCGGGATTAAACTGCTGTTGATTGTCCTTGATTTGCCAAAATATGTATCCCCAGGAAAAACATTCCGCGAAAAAAAGAAGTAAAAGATGAAATAATTTACTTTCAATGAAATTGACAATAAATTACTTTGTTCTGGTGTCAGTTATTCGAGACCGTTAGTTGTCACTGAGCTTCTGAGAGCGTTTAATCTTTTATCTCCTAAGGCAGAGAATCTCATTAGCTGATTTATATTTTCGTGTTTTTTGTTATTCTCAGCTCTTTCTTGGTTTAAAACATTCCAAAAGGGCAGACTTTCTTTTCTTCCTTTAGATTTCGATTTTAAGATAAAGGGAAATACAGATCCAATTTTTTTTTACAAAATTTTAAAGTAAGAAAAATGATGTTTCTATAACATGACGTAGCGTATTTCCTCGAATAAGCGCCCAACCTCTGATAAGCGCCCTCCCCCGAACAAGTGCCTACCCCCCCCAAGCCATAATGTCAAAAAAGCCCCCCCCCCTCCCCCCTCCCCCTTCTCTCACTCTCTTAGACAGCAAGTTTCCATTTCTTTATCTTCAACTTTTTAGGCTTTAACTAGAACGGAGTCAGTACGGGAAAAACCTCTCTTTTCTGTGCCAGTTTATCCATGCCCATGTGATCGCAGAGTTCTTTTATGCGCGTCATCTCTTTTTGTTAATTTTTGTCCTACACTACTACACTAAGTCGATAAGTCCCTCTTCGATAAACGCACTCCTTCCAATAAATGCCCCTCCTTTTAGCCGAATCTTTAAATAAGTACCTGTGCACCCATTCCAGGAAATACGGTATTCCCTTCCCCACATATTTCCTTCGATATATATTTATCTATTTCTTTAGCAAAATATCATAAGTTCAATTTAAAGATGCTTAAATATCCCTCAGATAGATTGTTCTGCATACTGATCGAGGGAATAAACTTTTGTTCACAGAAATATTGCTCTCACTCTTCTGTATCCACATGAAGACACTCAACATATTCTTCCTTTTCAATCCTGTGTTGCTGTTATGGGGATTTTTCTTCAGTGTTGTCGAAACGAGGGCGAAAGGTGAGATCCTAAAATTTAAAATTATTGTAATAACTTTCCCTTCTTGTAACGATCAGTCGTTAGACAAATTATCCCGAGGTCATATTCGCAAATACATTTGACAGCAGTAGGATTCACAAAGATAGTGCGAGTGGTAGCACTGAGTCTCATATTTTTCTATCTTCTTGTCAAAACATTCCATCAGTGAGGTAGCTTGGCACTATCAACTAAGTTGATTAACGTAAGTTGGCCACTGTTAAAAGTTTCAAAGCGGATGTTCCGAGCGTTAGCCCTTCGTCTTTCGCCCTGGGGAAGGGCTAACGCTCGAAACGTCCGCTTTGAAACTCTTTACGGTGGCCAATTTACGTTATCAACTCAGTTAATAATACCAAATTACCCTGATATACTTTCCTACCGAGGTAGCACCACAGTTTCTTTAGAAACTTGCCCCATTTATTCAGTACTCCATGTATGGTTCGCCACTTTTCAAGCAGTTACGACAATTGTTGGACACTTTTTCAAGTTCCTGCATTCTGAATCATATAATTATGTCTTTGAAATCCGTACATGATGTAGTGCATCGTTCAAGTGAACACCGAGTGTCTCGTCACGATACTTCCGGCTCAGTTCTTTATCAAGAAGGTCGGACAAGCGTAGGTAAGATCAGATTAATTAAATATTAAATATCACATAACATCATCATATCATTATCATATTATTTGACTCAGTCTTGTGAAAGGTGTAAGAAGTTTTTAATTGAATGTCGAAGATGTTCTAGGGTTGTTTTAGTCTCGCTTCATTGGCTTTTACGATTGTCCTCAATTACTTGCGCCAAACTTTCAGCCAATCAAATGGAAACCAGCAGGTAACTCCTGCGCTTAAGGTAGCTGCACTGCGCTTAAGGTAGCTTCACTGCGCTTAAGGTAGCTGCACTGCGCTTAAGGTAGTTTACTCTGAGTTCTGATCAGCTCAGTGTGACATTTAGGCATGTTCTGATTAGCTCTTTGAAAGCGCTCGATCATTTTAAAGTCTGGTTTGTAATTTTGGAAGGGATGCGGAGTAAGTCTACAGTTTTAACCCAAAGTTGGTTTATCCAGAAAGGAGGGGCTACCCGCTTCCAAGTTACAATTGAGGGTAAACGTTAGAAACCAGTTGTTGGTGCGCTAGACTTCGCATCAAAATGTTCGGGTTTGAACGCTAGTCAGGGTTGTCGGGCTGTTCTTGAGCAAAACAATTTACTCATCCTTTTTGAGTCAAGATTGGGAAGGTGCAAAACTCGGGAAAACTTGAGAAAGTGCTGAAGAGCTCAGCATTTTATCCGGGGAGAAGAAATTAAAGATTTCTAGTAACACTACGTCAGTCAAAGTGGGATAGACTTTGGCATTGTGAACCATTTTCCTCGTTTGTGAGACTTTCTTTATTCTTTGCAAACGAGACATTGGAAAGTATTCAGCTGCTTCAAAAGATAACAAATCTGTACCAAATAACACTATTTTTCTCGCTTTTTCCAGTCTACACATTATCAGGAAACGACCACAACGCCCCTTGCGTTTTTCCATTTTACTACGACGGTAAGAACTACACATCATGCACCTACAAGGACTGCAAACATAACCTGCCTTGGTGCGCAACAACCAACAACTACGACAGAGATAAGAAGTGGGGTCACTGTCAGACAGACAAGGACGTAACCGATTGCATTGACCTTCACAGTCGTTGCGGAACTTGGGCGATGGATGGCGAATGTGTAGTCAATGCCCCGTACATGTGTAAAAAGTGCCCACGATCTTGCGGCTTGTGCACCCATGGAGGAAATGGGCGAGGAAAACCTTGTAAATTTCCGTTTTTATTTAAAAACAGACTCGTGTATAACTGTCTACGCTTTAATAAAAAAGCATGGTGTGCGACAACAACTGACTACAACAAGGACAAGAGATGGGGCTACTGTTTTCCTAAATGTAAGTTTTGAAAAATAAGACGCATTTTATCGAGAAATGAATTGCAATTATCTTTAACTTTACCCATACCCTAAATGATAGATATATAAAATTAATTTTTTAGTATATCGTGATATAAGAGAAGTGAACGAGAAATTTTTTCATTGGGGAGAGTGTGACGATCTAAATGATGATTGTCGACAATGGGCAAAGCAAGGATTATGTCAAAAGGATCCTGAAGAAATGAAAGAAACGTGTCCATGGAGTTGCCACAAGTGTGCGCCTATGAAGTTAGGTAAGTACGAGGCTGTAGGGGCTTTCTCAGGGGCTCTCCTTCCTTTGGTTTTACTTAATTTCGCTCCATGATTGGTCCCGAAAACTCACGCCACCTTCTCATCCAATCAGATTCAAAACCAAAACCAATCGTGATTTTATCACTTACATTGTTCTGCGCTTCATGCAACTTAAACTTTAAATATTCATTGGCTAACGATGATGTCGGCCTTCGCTCCGATTGACTGCTGTGACTATATTGCTTTCGGTTTTTCGAAACTTAACTAAAACAACTCTATATGGGAATCGGCATTGGGACCAGATTGAGTTTATATAATCTGCTGTCCCACTGAAAATGAAATTCAATTTGATTTACACTTTTGTGTCATGGTGCGTCAACTTATCAATTTAATCATGAGTCTGAAGAAAGCCTTGAAAAATTGTGCCTTTAATCTGAACTTGCAAGGGCATCCCCTATCAACTTATTAACAGTATCCGAAAATCGAAAAAAACTTCCGCAGGTAAATAGAGGATTTATCAATCCAGTGGCGAAAGTTATCCGGGATCATTTTTTGCTTTACTTTGATTCCAATTGGTCCTGAAAACTCGCATCATCCTCTCAACCAGAGAGAGTCAAAACGAGTGTAAATCGTGGCCTGGTTACCCGTGTTTCCCGTGGTTTTGGTAGTTTACCTGTTTCTACAGTGGGTTTTCATTGATAAACTACATGAAATTATAATCTCCTGCTCTATCACAATGGCTAACGGGAAAGGCAGGTGACCCAGCTGCGATTGGTTTTTAGTTTTGCATCTGACTGGTAGCGAGGACTGCGCATGTTCTCTGGACGAAAACGGAGGCGTTTAAGAGCAAGCCTAATGCGATCGTGGAATACTTTTTAAGCCTTTTCTTAATACTAACAGCTCTATAGAGACCTAATTTTTGGGCTCAGCGCTATTCCAGACGCCAGCCTTGGGTCATTTCTCGAAGCCAAACCTAGCGGTAACATTTATCGTATATTTATTAATTTAATGAAACTCAGGCTCATGAAATGCCTATACCTCATTCCATCCCAGTAACCCTGAAAGGATGCCAAGATTACAGCTCAGCGTGTGCAGAATGGGCCAGAAGAGGAGATTGTGAAGATAACACGGTGTTCATGTTTGCCTTCTGTCGTTGGTCTTGTAAACAATGCGCCAAATCAACAAGTAAGCATCATTTTTAAAATAAGAGCCGGTCATTATTTATCGCTAGAAGGGGGGGGAGGGGGGAGGGGGGAGGGGGAGGGGGGTGGGGTCTGAGGATTTTGATTGTGTCACAATGAAATTTACCTGATCTGATTCTCCCCTCCCCCAAGGCCTTTTAGTAATCTTATGACCCCCCTCCAGTTTGCAGTCATATTTCTATACTCCCGGGCGCGTCCCCCTTTATACTCTGCTAGCGACGATGGTTCCCCCTTCGTGAAAGGACTGAAAGAGGACTGAAAGAGAGAAAAAACTGAAATGTGATGGACCGAACGATCCTTTTTGAAGGGAGGATTTCTTTTTCTCTTCTTTTTTTTTACTTTTGTCATCTAGATATTTTTCGTGTAACATCGCTATAAGCCTTCAAAGTTACAACTGTTAGTTGGAAAAAGTCTCAAGGTCCCAAGGTAGAGGTTACACAGAAAGGAAAGATAGCAGAATTTAAGTGAGATTAATTACTTTTAACAAATAGTCAGCTGGTGACCCTGATGGCCTGTTCTATCAAAGAAAAGGTACACGCGGCGCACTCAGTGTGTCACTGATACTTCAGAAGATAAAATACAAAATATCGTTAATGGTGACGTCATCTATGCGTCTGTTAGTCATAAGTAGGAACCAGACCACATAGATGTATGATTCAGCTTTTCATAGGACTATTAGTTGAATAGTCGAACCTGCGTTAGAGTGACGCAACTTCGGTTTCTCTTACTAAATAATGTATGAATACTATTTTTAGTTGAGAAGACAGTACGTGATAGAATGCCAAGAGGATGCAGATCGTGGGTGCGGAATGGTGATTGTTACCTTCACCAAGAGTTTATGTTGCAAAACTGTAGGGAGTCTTGTATGGCAGGGGGATATAAAAACGGTAAGTAAACCAAGAACAAATTCACGTTATAGTCCAGTAAGTAACTTGCGCTTCCTCGAAAAAAAGTGCGCGGCTCCTCACGACAATCACTGTCTACTTGTTAGAGAAGAGTGCAGAGTGACGTCAAACCGAAACCACACAGAACTAAAAAATATTTGAAGCAAGAAGACGCAAATGAAAAAGTTAAGATTAGTTTCAGTTTTTAATATGATTGGTTGAGAAAATTTCGCGAGTTATCTGAACCAATCATAGAGCAAAATCAAGGGAAGGATAACCACCAAAGCAATTCCGGGTTACTTTTGACACTCGTTTGAAAATTTCTACTTCAAAAAAGAAATATAATCGTTTGTCTGACGATGCGGTCACTTCGAATGTAGATCGCGACGTTTCGACTGCATACTGCTGGTCTTCTTCAGGCGAAAATTTCTATATTTTGTTTCAGATCATTGATTCAGTTATGTGTTTATGATCATTTTCAGGACGCATGTGCTTAGATGAGGTGGCAGATTGCCATAACTTAGCTAGAGAAGGACTTTGCAAAAGCCGAAGTGCTATGGGTATTATGAGAAAATACTGCAAATACAGCTGCGGATGGTGTTCTTAAAATGTACAGAAATTATGTCAAAAGCTGCTCCAAAAGGCCAAAAAGTAATTTAAAACAGTGCGTGTGGTTAAAAGCCAATCCCTTTTGCTTGTCTACAATATTTCTTAGGTATCAGTCTCTTTACTGCGGGAGACCTGGGAACCGGAGAGCTGGCTTACAGTAACTTAGGTCGTATTCTATCGATATTAGCCGTTTTATGGTCTTTCGGTTGGTTCCCTCATTTTGGTTTTCAATTTTCCAACAGGGAAAAACCGTTTTAAGTGGATTTGGTTGATCAACTCTTTCAATCGGTCAAACCAGGTTGAAATAAAATGGGTAGCAACCGTTGTCGTCTCATGCTTATATAATGGTGACCGCAGGCTTTATTTGGCGGCTTCCGCGCTCGCTATGAACGTGAGGGGAAAAAAAAGAAAAAAAAAGTTTTGTTATCGTGAAAACAAGTAACGAGTAAAACTGAAAGAAATTCGGAATTAAAGGAAATTCAAAAGTGTGCAAATTAGCGAAGAAGGAGTAGGAATCGTGCCACAAGAAGAATAATGATTGGAATTTTTTGTTTGATAATGACTTTTACCACAAGCTATTTTCAACCGAAAACGTAGATGGTCAAGGGATTTATATTTCGAGATAACAACCACTTCAACCTTTATCGGTTGCGGTTGAAACGGTTCATCCTAATTAGAACACGGCCTTAGATTGTAGTTTTTTATCCACTTCTATGAGATGCAATTGGCCGCATAAAGCCTTAAGCAGTGTATTCATTCTTATCGGCTTCGCCCCGGAGTAAACGCTGCATCTAAGAGGCCGCCGTCGCCTAAAGGTGAGGCGCCTTTTCGGTTAATGTAACCGTCTCTTCATTACCGCTGAGCCCAATATATATGGAATTTTCGCATAACTTATTTCCGCTTTTAAGGCCGATAATTTCATCTTTGACAACGGTGTACTGCCCCGTTACTAAAAAAGTTAGGTTACTTTTTTTCTCCTCCAAGGATAGAAAGCGAATGCTGTGTGTTTGTTTAGAATAAGCTGTTGACATCATTTGGGAACTCGAAATCATTTAAACAGCGCTTGCATTTGAATACCCAAGCAATATTTTTTATCTGATAATGGGTAGAAATGATAAAAAGAGTTAATATTTTACTGTATGTGAACACAAATATTTTAAGCCACGGATTCAACGCGTCCCAAACGCATAAAATTGTTTATGAATCATGCAGAGAGATATGCTATTAGCAGCCTTAGAAGGCGAGTGAAGAAGCAGTTATGGCCTTGTATGCTATTCGATTCTACCAAGAACTCGAGTATTTGTGCCTTCGATCCATATTTTTTTTAATTAGTAAAGGTCAAAGCGATGCTTAAATCTTGTTTATGAATCATAAATTGACCAATGCAAGAAGTGTTCGCAGATACTCTGACTCCTTGACGTGATGCCCTCCTATCAGTAAAATACATTTCCCTTGACCCCTGAGAGTATCTAGCATCTAATTTCTCCCTAAAGAAGCTCTTGATTGTTAAATGAATTCTCCGGGCGAGCACCTAGGGAAATGTATAGAGAACAGTGTGGAGAATATGCATACTGATGCTAGGATGTAAAAGGTTGATAAAGGATCTTCTTATATCACTGCACGTTTAATAACTTGAATCACTCAGTGAGCTGATCACCGAGTCTAATTGTGATCTTGTCAAAGAAAGTGTTATTCATCTCGTCACGAGCGTAGAACAAATAAAATTATTAAAGTCCTCATTGAGAAATCGAACTTCAGACCTTTGTTCGACGTATACCGCGCTCCGATGCTCTACCTTGAGCTACAGAGAGCAGTAAGAGAGCTAAGCTGTTACTAGGTCGATATTGATCAAAGTTGTGAACACTTGCACATGAAATCGGGGCAAAGAGCACTTGAGAAAAAAGGGTTAGAATTATTTTCCATTCGTCGCGTGTGTGCTTTGATTTGTCGACTATTGGAAAAATATTTATCTTGCTCAACAGAGAGAATTTTTTGCACAGTGCGTTGAATATTTCTTCCTGACATATTTTGCATCTGGACAAAGAAGACGTGGCAGTACAAATATGCAAGTGATGGCAAACTGTCAGAGACACTTAAAGCCATTGTTGGATGAAATTGCGATGATATAAGATTATCATGCCATTCAAGGGGATTAGCATATCAATACCCGTTGTCGCCTCGTGCCCTAGAAACCGTGAAAAGCTCCAACAGGATGACACACTTATTCAAAAGCATGCCATTTACCCTTTTTTTTTTTTTAACAGAACGTAGGTCCGATGTCTATAAAAACCAAGGTCTCGTTTAAGGTGAAACGACAAAATAAGTGTTCGTGAAAGCTTTGTCATAATCATCAAGCCGTCTAAATGTCATTGAATCGTCTCGTTCTCAAACATCCCGCTGCGATTGATCATGGTTTATCACTTCCTCTTTGACTTTTTCATCGAACATCCTTGCGCTTTCCCAGCCTCCAGGGACTCAAATCGAACTTTAAGAACTGATTGATGAAGCGGCGTCGAATCAGAACTTTTGCGAAAATTATTAATTTTTCTTTGAGCAATTCGCCTGATGCCGTTATTAGCCTGGTTGTGTTCAATTTGGGCAGTCGCCGGAAGTAGAGAAGAAAAAAAGCCGAGCTATTAAAATAATCGTTTCGAATAGGCGCCGAAGAGATTATTTTACATCACATTACCCCAAAATGAAAGAAGATCTTAAATTGGAAAAGACTCGTGCTTTTATAAGCATGCAATGTTTTTTTAAGAGACTTGGGGTTTTCACCTGTGGGCGGCAAATGATTCGTAGATTGATTTCGTTCTATTTTCAGCTCAGAGAGAAAACCTTTTTAAACTGGGAGTCACACCAAAGTCGAAACTTGCTAATTTTGGAGTTATGTTACCAAACAAATGAATTGTTTTGAGTTCGAAATTGCGACGAGTCGTCAATTGGTCTGACCATGGTAATATAAACACATTCCTTTAACGATCTGATACTGGTTCACTGACATTCCCAAAGCACTGAGTCGGCCACTCCCATAAAGGGCAAATTACGTACAGCGTTCTGGAAATGATAAAGGGGATTTAAACCTATTGAAATTTAAGAAGTCGATGACAAAATTCCTCTTTTTGCGACAACTTTCCTCGATATCTAATCATAAGGAACTCTTTTCTTTACTGTTGAGAGACGACGTCAATATTTGAGTGCAAAAATTTCCAACCCCTTCGTCCTTGTTGTTCTTCGGATCAAGTTTGAATGAACCAAGCGGCAGGAATAAATTAAAAGAGAGATTATGACCTCTTTGACCTGGGGTATTCTATATACCATTTATAAGAATTACTGACAGAAATGAAAAAGATGCCTAGCTTGTTTGATACATCAGAATAACAACATGCTTTGTTACATTTCTAGACTCCCAGACTGTAGAGGTATTTTGTGGGAAGTAAACTTGAAGTATATATACACTTTTACAATTAGATGAGCTAAAGCTTATGACGTCAGATGATTTCCGAAACCCGTTCGTCAATTGTGGAAAGTAATCGGGCGAATATAACAGTATAATAAGAACTGATCAAAGGATTGGGAGGGCGTTTCAATCTCGCGCGCCTGTAAAGAGGCCATCACGCGCTTATCACTCTCTGCCAGTTAAATTATTTCCGCATATGGCACTTAAAGTATCTTGTCGATCCATTTGATTACCTTGGCCCCACTTTCTGTGACGGTAATCTTTTACCTTCAAAACCTTGGTGGTCACTAAACATAAACAGTTATTCATTATTTTTTTTCAACCGATCTTGGAAGAAGAATAATTTTGTTCTTTTTTTTCTTTCAAAAGAGTCTGCCTGAATGTAGGTCTTATCAATTGAGCAGTATTAGCGGCGATGGGCCTCTGGTCGATGACATCTGCTCCATTCTCGAATAAAACCACTTTTGATTTTTCCTTTCCCTGTCATTTCAGTCACAAATTAATTCAAATAATTCTCTGGCTCTAAAACAATACGTTGCTATCATTCTTTGAGGTGTTTACTCTCTTAAAATAAAGTTTATCCAATTAATAAGTTTCTTTTCCAAATCCCTCTAATGTACGAGACTTTCAAGAATGCCGCGGGAACCCATGGGAATCAAGGCATGACAAAAATAAACAGTGACGTCACATGGAAGGGAAAAAACCCGAACACACTCACGTGGGGTCGACCTTCAAAAGATTGCCGAGCTTAGCATTTTCGCGGATCGAGGAGGGACCAAAGATGGTAGCGCGCTCTCTCGCGCTTCTGGCGACTATTTTCGGGAGCTCTTTGCTGATTACGGTAGGTCCTTCATCTTTTTGAAGTTGTTTTCTACAAAACATAGCAATTTCTTCGTATCATATTGGCTTCGAGGCGTCCGCACTATGAAATCTAGAATGGTTTTGATTACCTTGCTTATTTCATCGTCTTGGCGTTGGACGACCGAGTCGCTTTCGAAACGTTTCAGGGCCATTAGCGTTCAGATTAGTTCTATGAATGACACAAAAAATTATGTTTTCACGGGGTTGTTTGATGCGAATAATCATAGGATGTTTTTGAAAGCAGTTATGATAAAATCTCCCTTTGGTTGCTATTTATGCTCGTGACAACACACAGTTCCAATACAAATGGAAATTGACACGATTCACATCTCACTCTAGCTTTTCACGAGGGATTTATTCTTCATTCTTGCGCTGTTGTCGTTTCAGCTGTGGGTTCTACACCTATTCCTTTCGCTGAGAAGTTTTCGTGTCTTCAGAGAGCGCACAAGCACATGCTTTTAACAAAGTATCACGTATCATATGTTCTGGAGACCACCATGTGAATGCGAAAATCGAATACAGCTGCTATCGTCAGGCGACTAGCCGTCTTGAACTCGATATTTGTGCTAAATTAGGATATAATTCCTAGTTCTCTTTCGTGTTGAGTAGATTCGTTGTTTATTTTGAAAGATATGTTTTGATTTGGGTTTTGCAATAATTAACTTTCAACGCGGTTCCATCAATGTACAACTAATTGCTGTGTGGTTTGAAAGCAACTGCGAGATACAAATATCCGACTTGTTTGGACTGCAAAACATAACAGCGACTAAAACACTCGGGCAAAGCAACCCAATACTCGTTACTGGAAAGCAGAAAAGGAAAAGGCGTTTGACAACGCTTCATTTGGGGCCTTTGCCCTGCGGACAAAATTTCAACAAATCGCTTTACTTCGCTTGATTCACATTAGCTAGCATTACGCCGTCTTAAATGTTGGCGGCACTTTTGGCTTCGCTAGAGTTTCTTAATCCATTTCAAGAGTGTTTTCTTTTTCTCGCATCTTTTCGGCAAATTAAACATCTAAAATGATGGTAAGTAGCATTCTTTGTCGGCTCGTGTTAGCCGGCCTGTATGCTCGGGCGACTTGTAAACTGACCCTCCTCCCTGCATCTGTTCAAACTTGCCTCACGAAAACAATACGCAATAAATAGAGACCACAATTAAATTTAAGATTCTTTTCATTGCTGCACTTTGCGGTGTCAGTCGAGTGAAAATTGCACAAAGCAGAGCATTGAGCGTGTCGTGTTTACCTTTTTTTTTCTTTTACGAAGATATAGCTTGCTGTGAGTCTCGTGTATTGCGGGGCGCCAGTCGTAAGTCTAATGTTGGCAAATATGTTGTAAAACAAAACATCATGCGTTCAATGCCCGTGGCAAAATGAGCTAAATTGCAGACCGCAATTATTTTGACTGTGGAAATCGCGATGGGAGAGCTACTAAAGATCGAAAGGTCTAATCGACCCTTATTTACAACAAAACAGCACCAGCATAGTTGAAATAATTCACCTGTAAGGCGTACTTGTGGAATGGTGCCTTAGAGTTATTCATTTTCGTCGGCGAAAACAGCTCTTTGAAATGGACAAAAATATTTGCAAAAGCCAAGGTGGCTTAAGTCCTCGGGGGATAATTTCGTCGAGGAAAACAACTCTTTCGTTTTTGCAAGATGCTCCCATGTTGTCAAGTGGTGAAGTGGCAAAACAAACTAAATCGCGTCGTAATCTAGTAATTCATTACTTCAGTAAAGACGCATCGTTGTCGATATGGATTAAATACAAGATGTCAAGGAAATTCCATCGCGAATGTATTAAAATTCCAAACTGTTTCCTTTCGCCGGAAATATCGCTCAGTCTTACGGATCTATCGTTCTATCGCAATCTAGGAAACGATGTGTACTTTCAAATTTACAGATTTTTTTAAAACCAATTTTCCACTCAAAATTGTTTAATGCGCTTTTTCATTAAAAAGCCCTGCATACAATATAGATAAAAGCTTCATTGGGTTGCGTGTTTGACGGGTCTGATTTCAGGACCGGAAACCGTTCGATTTGTTTTACACAGCTGGAACTCTATTTCCCATCGGAACGGCATTTTGGTTAAATACTCTTCTCCCGCACAGTTTTTCGTCGCCTGTTTTACCACTTCACAGAACTCTTTGTTGTACGTGTAAAACGACGCATACAGCGCTTTCAAGTGTAATATTGTTTAGCTCACATGAACAAATCACGTACTATACACATTTCCTTTCTTGCTTAACGCTTTGTCGGACACAAATACAAGAAAATAAACACTTTATATGGGAGGTAATGCTTACTGTTGTAAAACAAAACAGGAAAACGGAGAAAATTAGCATGATGTTTTAACTACTTGAACGCGAATTCATACCAAAGCAATATAAAGCAAACAGATTGAATAATATGTCGTGATCTGCTAGACAAAGCTAGCGCCATAGTGTTTCGCGCGGTCTACAGCGCTGCGATTAGAATGCTTTCTGTTTCTAATAAACGAACTTCTTTGAAGATTATTTAGTGGATAGTGCACTTGATTTTTTTCGGTCCAGATGCCATGTTTCTCACTTAAAAATATTTCAAGTAAGATTTTGCAATGATACATGCTTGCGTGACCTATTTCTGGCAGGCTATTATCTGAACAAGGGTCACATTTTATCTTAAATAGCTCATAGGTTTTAATTATTGCTCGTAGCCAAAGAAAATATTTTACCTTTGGCACTTTCCTTAAAGATATAAGTATTAATATAAGTTCTGTTTTCTACGAAGAGGTCTGATGGCAACTGAGGGGTATTAACTCGAGAACAGAAGACAAATTATGTTCACTTACAATAATTGAATTCTACTGAAATTTATTGCACGTGACTTAAATGTGAACTCAAGGCGGCATGTTCTATAGCCAAATTTTTACATATTCGTTTTTCCTATAATGATGCGTTATTGTTCTTGTCGCAAATGTTATGTTAAAAGTATGGATCGTCTTGAATCTTTGAGAACAGAAGTTTTCATTCTCAATAATAAAATATATCCATATTTAAGTTAGTAAAGGGCGTCACTCGTGCATGAATCGCTCCTCAGTAAGGAAAAGGCGTTTCTGTATTGCCTTTTGGTGCATTTTTTCAAACCTTCGTGGGTAGAATCGGAAATTTAGATGGTAAACATTTGAATTGTTGCGACTAACTGTCTCTTTCTGTAATTGAATGTCGCTTAATATAAATTACATAGAAAATGGACTTCGTCCCTCGAATATTTGTTATCTTTTAAGCTAATTGTTTGATGCGTTTGTCTACACATGTGTGGAAAAATGGCTTGTCATTTCGGCTTGAGACATTTTCGGTGGAAAGGAAAAGAAATGAAACTTTTTTCATTGAGAGCTAAATTTGCTCCTAATTGTGTATTTGGTACGTGAATATGGGAAATTGTTCCTGCTTTACATAATGCTATTTTTAACACACACTCTTGGCGGAAAATGATGCGATAAAAATGGAACATAGATTTAAAGAAAGTTAAAACCTTTTTTACAGCACAATTCTATCAGTGGTCTTTTCAAATATGCCTGAGCACGACATTGAAAGTCAAGACGCATTTTAAGTAAATGATTGGCAGTGCTGGAACAATAGCCCCATATTACGCCCGGCGAACTTGACATTAACTCATGCATTGCCTAGCAGGAAAGTTGCGTTTCTTCTGCACCGTCGTTAAAAAGCCCAAAATGGGTTTTGGAAGCTTTGAGTATCTTTGGTGCGTAGTTTTATTATCACAGGGAATGCCGTTTTCACGTTTTCACAGCGTACAGGTTGGAGATCGTTTTTTATATTTGTTTGTGTTTATTATGATGTCGACAGAAGACATCGTTTGTAGTAAACATATTTACTTTCAATCGACTGATAAAATGTTCATCCGTGCGCGATATGTCGGGCTTTCTTCAGAATTGCATTTTTTAAGCGAAATTTAGAATTATTCCTACAGGAATTTAGTTCGCAATCGCGGTGACCAACGAGAAAATTTGGTCAGTATTACTAATATTGTGTGTATGGTCAAATTGCACAAGTCATACGCCTACACATGTTCTTTTAAAAAAAATATCAAGTGTGAGCGAGGGAGAAATCTGAACTGAAAATTTAAGGTTAAGCTCAGCTTATCAGATGCGTTTTAGTTAAATGTTTCTCCTTATGAGGTAATCTGCGAAGAACTTTCAAACTCCGAATTTCCGTGGTACATAACTTGCTTCGCGAAATTTGGTTATTTCGACGCAGGCGCCAAAGCAGCCATGATATGTTTGTTCAAGTTATTAATGCGAGTGGTTTTGAATGAATCCGCACGTTAACAAGGTGTTGGTGAATTTTCATCGTAAACAGAAGATATTGTTTGCGTTTGTAGATAATTTAAGATTACGAAACCACTCTTGTTAAGGAAATCGCCAAGGAAACATTTTTTCAGTTTAAAGGTAAAGTTTGTGGCTTGGTGTTGCTTCACCATGCTCGTCCTGCGGGAAATTGGCATTTCAAGTGGAGATTTATGTTATCACTGTACAAGGCGATAAACCATTCTATCCTCTCACTTTGTTGCAGGTCATGTTTAAAATGTAGAAGTATTTTGTGCTTAAAGGAGGTGCACCCGTTCGAATCCAGCGCTTGATAAACATTTCGTGACCAGCCAAAATCTTTTTGCCAAGTCAGCGCCTTTTCGACGACGGAAATATCATTGTCTAACATTTGAATTTGTGGCGTTATTTTTACAATGGAAAGCGAAATCAACTTTTTTATTCCACTGATATGTTAATTATTTTACTGGTTGTCTATTTCACATGTTAAAACGGTTGAGAGGACCTTTTTTCGTACCTTTTTCCGCCAAACATTAGAATGTAAACCGACTTAAGTGTTGGCGGAAACCACATAAAGCCAAGCTCGATTAATTGGCTTTTCGTGCTAGCTCACGCTATGTTAGGGCTCATTTCAGCGGGGAGGATTTTAACTGGGTTCTGTTTTGTGGACTTCCGTTGAAACTTCGTCTTAATTTAAGTATAAATCACCCTTTTTGGACGGTTAATTTTGCTCTTTCGTAGACCGTGAAGTGGTTAGTTTGTTTGCCGTCTGATATTATTCGCGTGTGTTATTTACCGAGATGTCTGTGTAAATTACCCGTGCATGAAGTCAAGCACGCAACGCTGTAAAGGGCAATTTACCTTTCACTTCGGTGTGAAATATTTTATTAGAACTTTTTTTACCTCCTAGGTCGAAGAGTACATGTCACATGAACCCTGTAAACAAAATTAGAAAACATAACTGAGCGGTCAAATGAAAAGTTGCTTTAAACCCCCAAGACGTGACCCTGTGCAATGTTTTTCTGACTTCAATTAAGATGTTTTCAGTATCATGACAATTACATGGAAATTAGAGGGGTTTCAAAAGAAAAGCACCATTTTTTGCCTTTTAGTTGTAAAGTTTTACTAAATTTTTCATTGAAATCTGACGTGAGAAGCGGCGTTCAGGGTTCATTATTTGCGATTAATGTGGGCTTGCTTGGAGTGGTGCTTCACTGCGGTAAACATGAGGGATGTAAACGGCGAGTTCTTTTAGATGTTGTCTGAAGATTGATTATGACGCGAAGATAAAAAAAATTTCCTTATTCCTCCTGCAAAGAAGAAAAAATGCAAAAAAACACAGAACAAAACAAAAACGAAAAAACAAACACAAACGAATAGAGACCCAAAGAAAGAAACAAAAAAACATAAAAACAAAAAACGGGCAGTATGGTGCAGCTTCCTTGACAAATGAGTGATTTCTCCTTACAATATTAAATACATTATCATGTAAAAACGTGAAGAAGAGGAAGAAAAATTTACTGTTTCCCTAAAATTTTTAATTCACAATAAAAAGGCTTCTATCATTTTCTCCTGACCTTAAATTTTGATTGAACAATGACACTTTTAGCAGAAATAAATGTCGAACGTGCGTTAACAACGTGACGAGACTTAGTACGAACGCTAAGCAATGGACAAAGTAATCGCATGATAAGCGTAGCAAGTCAAAACATAATTTGGAATAATCCTTAATTTTTACTGTCTTTACTTATTTCTGCCAAATTTTCGGTTAGTGTCAAAGACTGTTTTGACATGGGGCCCCCTTTGTATTTGCCCATGATCCGGATTTGCATGCATCACGGAACTTAGTCACATCGCCAAAGTTCTCTATCCCAGTTTTCCACGGTTTGGTGTTGTCGCGAATTACATGACAGCCGGTGTTGTGAGAGGGGAAAGTTAAGACGCATTGTCTTGTATGTCTTGCTTAGGTGGCTCTCGCAAATTGAACTGAAACTCAACAATACCGGGCTCAAAAGCTGGCCTGAGCAAGTTTTCCTCCTCCCCTTAACGAAACGGAAAATGTGTTTGAGTAGGGAGGGGTTGTGGGGATTTTGATGTCAAAGGGGGCCTGTTTGGTCATAAAAACGGCTTGGTCGCTTGTATTTATTGTCAAATTTTCACTATCGAATTAAATTAAAAATAGCTTTATGAGGATTCCTTTTTATCAATACTATCATGATAAACCAACTTACAAGGACTGGAACAGCAAAACCTCAAAAAAAAAAAGAAAGAACTGATTTCACTTTCTCTTCGCAGACAATCGCCGTGGGATGCGGTCCAGGAACCTTTCTTAATTCAACTGCTTTGGTTTGTCAGAAGTGTCCAAATGGTACATTTTCGGCTCACGAAAATGCACGAATGTGTTCGACGTGTAAAAGGTGTATGGGTAGGAACAACGTGATGGTCAAAGCATGTACCCCTACCTCGGACACGAAGTGCGAGTGCCTACCTGGTCACTACTTTAACGGATTTCTGATTTGTCTCAAGTGCCAGCCATGTAAACGAGGATATGGATTTGTGAAAAATTGCACAGCAACGACGAACACAGTTTGTGAACGGTGTGAGAGGGTAAGTCCTAAAATACTCTGATCTACCTGTAACTTCTTCCTAAATGACCGATGCTACCATATTTTCATCTTGAATAACGAAACTTTTGAGTTTTTCAAGTTTTTTCAAGTGCAATCGTTGGCAATCATCCCTATTCATAGCCATCCTTGTTTCGTTTTGGTTTAACCCTTTACACTACTGGATCAGTGCGTATATTCTCCACACTGTTCTCTCTCAACTTCCTATGATAGCGAGAAAGAGAATTTGTTTAACGGTCAATAGCTTCTTCAGTTCACGATCATTTTTTTATTCTCACGACCCTAATGTTTAATTCAGCTGTGATGCTGTGAGGAGAAATTAGCTGCCAATCAGTCCCAGGTGTTAAAGGCTTAATCTTACCTCTTTGATGTTTTTTATCCTAGGAAATGATTATTTAAAGCTTATATTCCAATTAAAAGAACAATTTTATTACGCTAACCTGATTACTACCCAGACGACCGTAGCTTCCTTAGCGATATGTTGTCATAGCGATTAAAAATGAGCTGATGATCAGTCGGTTGCGCCACGTGTTGTATTAATCAGTCGGATGGGTCTCCAATGTATTGAAAGACCAGTGAAATACGTATCCTTGCAGATATGTCTCTTTTCATTTATTTTTGCGGAAGGAAAATTCGTTCGAGACTAAGTATGTGTGGGATACGTCAGAAGCTTCGATAGCGCGTCTTTAATCAAGTGTCAAAAATAATTAGTTATCGCTTAGGTTTTGCTCTACTTCACACAATGATTGGTTCAAAAACTTAACCAATCATTTTCAAAACAGAAACTAATGACGTCTTATTCAACCGCATTTTTCTGCCTGTTATTAATTTGAGCTCTTTATGGCACTTAAGGGCGTTTTCCTTCGCTCTAATATATTAGCCGGCGCGATTCCTTTAGTTTTTGGCTTTGAGACGCTCGATGAAAAAAAACACTCTACCGATACGAAGAATAAGACGGCATTAGAATTAGACGACCAAAATATGCGGACGACGAATATATTTAATGACACGTGTCTCAAAAGCAGTACGTCAAAGTAGATTCGAGAACCATGAAACAGACAAACGTCCGATACAGATGACCTCAGTGATCAGTGAAACGCGATACTAGAAATGATCAATATCAAATAAATACGGCCATTGAGGTTTCATACGGAGCCCTTTGCTAATTTCTCCTCCAAATATCGATACCTTATTCAGTAACATTGTGACGAGAAAAGACAAAGTTTTTGTTAGGAGAATTCCCCATAGATAAAATTCAAAATTATTTTTATTCATGGTACAAAGATACTAACAGCCCTATTTTACTGATTTCAAATCAAGTTTGTGAATTGTCTTTTTTTTCTTATCAGGGAAAAACATTCTCAGTTGGCAAGGGCTTTGATTCTTGTAAACCATGTAGCAAATGTCAGAAGGGAGAGGTTGTTAAAGAAACCTGCATAAGAAGAAGAGACACAAAGTGCACACCGGAAAAAGATTTTAATAATTCGAAACAGAAACCTTTTTTACTTGTACCCACCAAATCAAAGCCACGAACTAATGGTGATACACGGATAGCGAAGGAAGAGCCGTCAAAATCTTCATCAGGATCTGAATCTTTTTCAACTCTTTCCAGTAAGTCTCTCTTTATCAATTTTTTTTTGGATATAGGTTGCTTTAAAAAATTATAGATAATCGCTTAGGTGCATAATTTTTAATAAAATAAATACCACTCAAAAATTTTGATCAGATTCCTCCACTGGAAAGAAGAACACCCACGAAATGAACCCAGCTCGCAAAGTGCGGCTTCGTAGCTTAGTTGACATGTAGTAGCCCCCAACTCCCAACTAGTATCTGGGAGGAGGCACGGGTTTGAATCCCGTCGAAGCCTGAATTTCTTTCAGGCTTTTTTTGTGTGATTGCTTAAATTGCAGTTCACCTGTGAGGTGCAGTGCTTTAACCCTTTAACTCTCAGATCAAATTTGTAATTCTTCTCACTGTCAACCATACAATTCTTATAATGTTAGTTCAGAGAATTTAGTATTGGATCAACTACTTATCCTCAAATTAATATTTTTCTTTATTCTCATCACTTATCTGGATGATATTATATTGATATTGTGAGGAGAAATTCTGTCTTGATCACTCATGGGAGTTACTTAAGGAAAAAAATTTATCATCAGTGGTCGAGAATGCGATTTTACCGCCAAAATATAAGAAAGTTTTAGAGATTATCAATGAAATGTGTGACATTTTAAAATGGAATGATGAAAAGGCACACCGTAAGGTATAGGCAATCCCTAAATTGTAGTGAAAATTTCTTAAAGGTAGTCCTTGTGACTGTGTGCCCTCTGGCTAAAGACAACCTCGTCACTGGGGTCCCCTCCCTTCCCTTTCTCCTCCCCCTCCCCCTGAAACGTTTCAGTGGGTGGGTACACAAGAGAGACTCTGGGAAGAAGGTGCAGTTCAGGCAACTTGGACGCCATCCTCACGTCTTTCTAATTCTGTTTCAGCGATTATATCGTCTACGACGGCTGTAACGGGGAAGCAGAAAGAGTATGAATCTTTGGAAGAGGAAGAAACTAGCTTTCAGGCTATCCTGTACTCTCTGGTCGCATTGCTGGTTTTAGTTATGATTGTTGTGATCATTTTTGTCCTGCGCAGGAGGCGGAGCAACAGAAAACGCCCAAAGAACAGGGGCAAGTCGGGTATGATTAACTTTTCTTGCTGTTTAACGATGTTTAAGGTACAGATCGGTAACCTGCTGCGCTAAACTACGAGCAGTTCCTACTTTTCGGCGAAGTCCGTCGTGTAAAGTAAAAAAAAAAATTTATAAAAAGGATAATTGGAAAATTATTGATGTTAGCGCGGCGCGCGGAACTCTGTGAGTGAGTCACACAACTAGTTTTCCGAAAGTTCCATTTAAGTTTTTTTTTACTTGCGTTACATAATTTGCCTAATGAGAGAGACTGCTCGTAGTCTAGGCTGCGTAGAGAAGTGCACTGAAGGTCGCAATTGTTTATTCAACGTTTTGGTAAAGTGAAAGAGTCGTGTCATCAAGGTTATATATGCGTTTTATCTCAGTAGATTCTTGCGAGGAACCGAGTACGAGATCAAACTCAATCGAAGTCGTAGGAGCTGTAGAAAATCCTTACACCTCTTTACCTTGTATTGGAGGACGACAAGGTTTGTGGCATCGTTTGTTTTTATTCGTTGTTGCTTTTTTTTATACAACTTTGTTTTTAATCATTCGTATTTTTTTGGCGGATGTAAGCCTTTCTTCACTTAACTCTAAGATCGTCCCCTTCTACTTCTCCTCCAACCAGAGGGCGTGAGAGCTTATTTTATTCAATCTTGAGCCACAAAGAAATTTTTCAGGTGGGATTTTGTGGTAAAAGGAGACCTTTTTATGCCCTCATGAGAATTGCCTTTCTTTGTCCGTTTCAAATTCACTATCTTGATTGTAATACCACTTTCATTTCTTTGTCAATTCAGGTGATAAATTGCTACGAGAAGCTCCTTACACCCTTATTACGGAACTATCGCAACATTTAAATCCCGGAGACAGATGGAAACAGTTGGGGGGACGACTCAAATTCAACAGCACCCAGATCAATAATTTTGCTTTGGATAGGAGAACAGCAACTGAGGCTATGCTTGTGGAATGGGGCCAGAGAGACACTTCCACTGTTGCAGCGCTCAGAGACAATTTCAGGGCCATGAAATGGTCGAAAGAAGCGAAAATCACCGCAATGTATGTGTAGCAATTTTTTCCGTGACCAAAGTTGCTAATTTGTTCGTAAATATTGTAAGTAAGATTCTAGTGTAAGTACTGCAGCCATCTTTGAGCTGAAGTATGACATTTTCTCGGAGAAACTTAATATCTAGCGTCAATTTGCCACGAATCTAGTTTGAGGAATCCTGTGGTAGTGAAATAATTTCTAGAATTTTGAGCCGGAAATCTACAGCCCAATCTCGAAGACGTGGGTGCTAATAAATCGAAGTCCTTCGTTCTGTAGTTTTGAGAGAGGTTATGCTATACTAGTGAATTTTTAGGTTAGTAAGTTGACAAATTTAGTGTGTTTAAAGACTATTTAATTCATAAAATGAGGTCAAACCGCGTTTATGACCCTTTCAATCATTTAGAATTATTTTGACGAGATTCTCTTAAAATTATGTTAAGAAATGTTTACGATGGCTAATTTTTTCGGTTTGGTATTTTAAAGTGTTATCATTCCATTAATTTATTATCGTGGAATATTAGATCCAACGATCCTTAGGGGAGAGAAATAGAGAGGTGGGGCGTTCGTGAGTGAAAGAGGAAAAAGTGAAAATAACTGGATTTTAAAAACCAGTGAACCATTACAAAATTGACCTTTTATTCGTCAAGAGGTGCTTATCAACTGAACACGCTTTTGGCGATATAGAGAAATGAATTTGGTATTTTATGCCATTTAGTAGTCACGTAGTTGACGGAATTAATGTGCAATGTTAAATATAACGCAATGAAACACTTTCGCTTTATTTTGCTAAAAGTAAAGTTTTCAACATTTTAAGTGCGTTTGTTCTGAATTTAGTGAAATTGAATCAGACCACAAAATGTCTTTTTGTTTTGATGATTTACGCAAATATTTGTCGCCGAGTAAGAGACACGCTGCGTTTTTCTTTCAGGCCGCAGATCGATACTATTTCTGAAAGAAACTCTCTGCAATTTTTAATTTTTTTTTAATTTTGGCGTCTTCAGTCAATAATCCGCACTTTTTTTTTGAAGAATTATTTGGAAATTTTCACAATAATTTATGAATCGTACAAAACGTAGAAACCATATGGGGTTTCTCATAGAGTGTATATTTTTGTATACAGCTGTTAACGGAATCATTTGTTTGAAAATATATTTTTTAACGCAAAAATTAAGATGAATATTTTCTTACTTTGCTGAGAGATAAGCTAAACTTAGTTTGAAAATAATTTTGTACTCTCGAGTAAAAATTTAAAATAACTGAGCACAAATTTATAATCGCTCGAGTTCATGGGCAATATTTTGACAATTGCATCTTGGCATTGTTTTGTATTGAATGAAATGGTATTTAATTTATGGACAATTTCATACAACAATTAAAAGATAATTATTCTAATGCTTGACGGCCTTAAAGTACGTGATCATATTAAGGAATTTGACATAAGATCGAAGCTTTTTACTTTAATTCTTTTTGAATGAAAGAGACATTTTGATGTTTGGTAAAGGCAAGTTTGGTAAGTCGGGGAGTTGTTTTTATTCAACATCAGACAAACCTCGCGTACTTTAGGACCCGAAACAATTGAAAATAATGTTTCTTATTGATTGACAGGTTATATATGTTGCTACTAATTTTAGGAAGGATCAGTTAATGAAGACATTATGATCTTTAGTTAAATCCCGCAAATGGGATGAAGAGTATGTGTAATCTTATCGTTATTAATGGTCGACGACTTACTAAGGGATATTCCTGGATGAAGTTTAAACAATTTGTTTTGTCAAAGGTACTCAGTAGAGAAATGGATGCTGTGGTCAAGCTTGTTGTGCCAGTAAACTGTTGGCCTAAATATGCATGTGTCAAATTATTATTAAATAAGTACTGGCTATGTAGCGAAAAAACTGCACTTTTTTTAGCCAATAGTAAAGCTGAGATACGGGTAATCATACTGAACTATTAAAATTATTAATTTTGGGAATGCGCTTCCTTCATGCTCCAAGTTTATTACTTTCAATACATATGAGTTAGGACAAGGGATCGTATTTAAGGGGGGGGGGGAGAGAGATCCTATTTAATGTATAATTTATTCTTCTGTCTCGTTATTATTTTAAGCTTCTTCTTGAAGGGAATGTATAATTATTTTTGTGACCTGTTTGTAATAAATTGAGAAATTGGCTTTATTGATGAACATCTCGCAGTCAAGCTTCTCTATTTGCTATCTAAAAATACGCTTTTTGACGGCGTGTGTGGTTTGGGGCTTCGTAAGTTCCTTATACCCCATTCACACCAGCAAAACATGTTTTGTTAAACTGGTTTTCATTGAATGAAAATTATAAACAGAGAACTGAAAAACTTGATTTTCCATTGGATTCAAGTACTTGCTAACTTGCATTTCCAATGTGCTACATTCAAGTCGGTTAAATAGTTTCTATGAAGAAAAAAAAAATTAAACTGTGTTTAACAAAACAACTTTTAAACATGTTTAAGCTTTGGTGTGAATGGGGCATTAGTCTACATAAAGAGGAGAGCTGTTTCTCCTTCAGGAGACAGAGAAATCGCACTCGAACTCATGTTATTACTTGATAAAAATTTGCATGAAAAAACATCTTAGAAAATGAAGACAGACGACATATTGGCAGCGCGCGCTATTTATAATTTTGAAAAATTTACTAGTGTTTATTACACTAAATTGCACTCGCAATTATGTTTGTATCTGTTAATAATTTACATGAAAAACAGCACAGATAGTCCAAGACAGACGAAATTTTGGCAGCGCACGCGCGCTTTTTGTAATTTGCATTCGTGTTACAACTTTGTACTCGTGTTACACGAGAGTGCACTCCTTTATTACAGGAACAACAGTGATAACAGATCGTAGAAGTTACGCTTGTTCTGCAAACTGACAGTGCCTCGTGCACTGTAGTCTCTTCATTCCAATGCCGATATCGAGCATTTCTGTATCTACTTGACCTCCCGCGGTTGACCATTGGTTGCCAGAAGTCTAAAAACATTTTCGCAGCCGAGTGCGTGACAAGTGCGTGACTGACCACATTTTGACGTCAACTGTGATTTATCACTCTGAATAGACGCCCAGCAACATATGGTCTTCTTGCTAAATATCTACGGTATAAAAAAGAAAAAAAAAAGGTTTCGGTGGTGACGTCATCTGATAGATCTCATGTAAAAACCAATCAAAATTTGTTTTTGATTGAAAGTTTTTAATTTTTAAATTTTTTTAAAGTTTTTATTTACTGAGTTGATAATGTAAATTGGCCATTAATTAATGGCCTTCGTAACGAGTTTCTGCAAAGGCTGACATCTCGAACGTAAGCCCTTCGTCATTCGCTCTGGCGATGGGCTCTAAAAGTCACCCTAATTATAAACTCTTTCCAGTGGCCAATTTACGTCATCAGCTCAGTTCATATAGCCAAATTATCTTGATATACTTCCCCAGTGATGCATTACAGTTTCTTGGGAAACTTACCCCCCTGATTAAAGTTTGTTGACCATGTTGATTCCTACACCATACCGGTGTTTTCCCTTTGCGTGACCTTCGTGGAGGGTCTGGCGTGACGGACGTCAAATGAACATTTTTCCAGGCTCTCGTGAGGAAGTTGAACGCCTGTGGAAAATTGACCTTGAAATTTATATTGCATTAGAAATTTCCGACATTAGAATGACTCGTGCACATATGCTCTACGACAACAGACCGTTGGAATCGATTCCTGTTACTCCAATTAGATGGGAAAAACGTTGGGAACCGGAAGAGTTATTTCGCTGGCAAAGGTTTGTTTGATTTAAAGATTGCAACATTCTACCAACTCAGCGACATATAATGCATAGCATGGCACTCTTTCAGTGGTTGTTTGGATTTACTCATAATAACTTTCCCTTCTATCTCTCTGTAAAAGGACTGGCGGCATTATAGTAGAGGGTAAAGTATATGGCCGACTAAGATTTACCGTATCAGATCCCTTCTCGGGTTCTCAGAAGGTATTTTCTATTTAATCACCGTATCGTTTTGTTAATGTTTAATTTTGATTTCTGCTTCAGCCATTGGTTACCAATAATGCATTCGATATATTTTCACAATGAACTAACTTTTTATTTGCGATATAGTGGCGCTATGTAGTGCTACATATAGAGATCTCAAAAGCCCTGAAGAGGAAGTTTGATTCCCTCACCGGGAAGGAAATTGACCCTAACTATGGAAAGGACAAGAAAGTTAGCACTGGTTATCTAATGTCTTCTTACAGTAAGTTTTTTTTTACTTTTAGTAGAACTGTTTTGTTTATTGTAGCTACACAGTTAGAGGTTTGTACAGTTGTTTGTCTCTTCATCCAAAGACACTATCGATAATTTTTGTATTGTGATCAGGAATGATTCTGTGGTATGCAATATTGCACATAAGAATTGGTTCATCCTCACTGTGTGTATATTGAGGTATGGATGCACTTGGGAGGTTTGGAGAGCACAAGAGAAGTGTAAGAGTTGATTGAGGCATAACTTACAACTTCCCTTGAGTGCTCTCCAGACTTCTTGAAAAGCTGGTTAACCTGCAGTTGTTTTCATCAGAAATTAGTCCACAGTCTTCCCTCCTTACTTTGATTCTAAAACACTTTATTTTTCTAAATTTGAGAAATTTTTTTCCAGAGACATCTGCTTCCACAGATTCTGATAAAATTGATGCAGCTGAGGCAAAAAGAATGATAACAGTGACAGAGTTGACCAGACTGACAGAAAACAAACTTCCAGAGACTGGAAATGTGATCAGTCAAGCATTCTGGTGTGCAGAGGAAGACATTGAGAAAATGGAACTACTTCAAGGGGATCCCATCAGATTAAAGACTAAAGGAGAAGGTCCATTCATTGGTAATCTCACTATTTTACATTATTTGCAGAATGGATTATGTTTGGGTTTGTCTTTTTGACTATTGTTGGCTCCCACAACAATAAATCACTCGCTGGTCTGCAAGTTACACTTGTCTTCACCAAAAAAATTTTATTTTTCAACACAAACTTGCCAAACAACTTCTCCAAACTCACCTAATCTGGGTGCATGTGGCCCACAGCAACATACATGACTGTCAGTCAAAACCCAAACAAAGTACTAACATGATAAATGTAACATATGTAAAGCAAATTACAGTACAAAGTCATGAAACACTAGAAGCAAGAGGCACACTACTGTCATGTTTTTAATAAACCTGAAGTTGCCTAATAATTTTATTCTCAAGACTTAATCCAGTTTCTCAGGTTATCATAAAGCTCTAAATGAACTCCCCACTTTTGTTTCTGCTGTTTTGCACAATTTGGGCAAAGGATTGTCTAATGCTTTAAAATTTAGAAGGCAGTCATTTTGTATGTATTCAGTGCAATCAAACTGAAGATCACTTAAGAATTTAAGACAACTGAAAAAAAGTTGTATATAGTGACCTTGAAGTTCACAATCAGAAATTAGACCCACAAATACTTTAGAAATGGTATAAAGCTTATCCTTAGCAATGTCCCCTTTTTTTTGTTTTTTTCTTCTTTCAGCATTGTCACACCAAGTCTTTTATAACCAAACCAAATTGGTTTACAATATGATAATGTTACTTATGACAGAAATGAAAGTATTCTCAATTCTCCTTCCTCGTGACAGAGTTTATAGTCAAACTCAACAATGCAGGTAGTGCAACAGCTGCAAATTACACTGGAGGTGAAGGAGCAGGCAGCTCCTGGACAGACAAGGTGATGTCTTTCAAAGGACAGCAAGATGTTCCACAAGATGAAGGAGATGGTGCTGAGGATGATGAGTGGGTGAGTATCAGATTGGAAGTTAAGGTTGGAGCCCTAGCTACTTCATTATGGTGTGTGTCTTCAGGGAAGACAGGTGTACTAATGGGGATTGCTGATCAATCTGAAGAGCAGATTAGAAATGAAAGGGTTACCTGGTGTGAACTAGTCTCCCTTTAAGAAGGAGTGATCATGACCCAAGCAGCTTTAATGATTGAGAATCTTGGGATGATCAAACTTAACCCTTTAACTCTTAGAAGTGATCAACATGTAACTTCTCCCTGTAATATCCATACATTATCCAGCAAACAGGTAGTGAGAATACTTAACTTTATCAGGTACAAGATATTACCTTGATTGAACACCAAATTCTTGTAACCAATTTACAGGGAAATGTGTAGCAGCTAGTGGGGAGAATTAGCGATCAGATCTTGGGAGTTAAAGGGTTAAAGGCAGCAGTAGTGGGTCATGTGGCATGTAGGTACCCCATTCCCCCCTCCTTCTTCCTCCCCTGAAAAGGATTGGTGCTAATGACTGGACTTTTGTCATCCTTGGAAGTCATCATCAGAGTCAAAGTTGTCAGAGTCAAATGGTGCACGACTTGTTTGTGAAATACTTATCAGTTAGTTTTGGCAGTTTTATTCTTTGTAAGATTCAAGAACAGCTGTCCCTAGTAGTTATTGGTCAGTGGATAGTTCTGAACTTAAGGTTAAAAAAGTATGGCATATCTCATTGGTTTGTTGATGATATCCCTTTTTGCTGTTATTATTATTTAATTTTTATGGTATTAAGCCATTCCCTTTACTTGTACTAGTCAGTAAAGTCGTGAAAAAGACAAAAGCATGAAATATACAATTAAACATTTTGTGTCTTATACATTTCATCTTTCAGGATGACTGAGTATTACTGAGATGGATCAATGCTACATTGTAAGTCATGTTAGCCATGATAGGTTACTACAGTTATTGCAGGTACTGTCAGCTACCTGCTTTTTTTTGCATCAGATGAAGATGTCACAGAGATGAGGTACTTCAAGAAAACCCTGTTGCAAATTTGTTTAAAGGGTGTTGATGGTTGGATGAAACACCAAGAAAATAAACACTAAACTACTATTTAAACCCTTTTGGATCGGATCTAAACCTAAACTTATCTTGAAATCCTTCTGAATGGCTATGGAACTTGAGAGAACCATGAAAACACTCTGCTACTGAATTATACAACACTTTAAAATAACTACTAATTACAGATGAAGCTATTTTGGCAAAGAATGTCACTGGGTCACATATGTTATGCAACAACAACAAAAATTATTATGTAAGTGTCATTGTTCTATTTTTTTACAAGTTCTTGATCACCTTCCTCACAGTCCTTTTTTGTAATCAAAGTCTTTTATACACATGATGATGAAACTAGATGTATTTTGAATTCATTGGCTGTATTTTACAGATTTCTGATTACAATTTTTTTTGTCATCGGATTTCTTACATTTAACCCTAAGAATGGTAAGAAACAATGTAATAAGTACATTGTATTACTAAGTTAAACATAACAGGAAAATGGAATAATTGAAATCCCATGAAATGGGTTTGTAATGACTGAAACAGAGCAAGTGATATTGTGTTACATTTAATTCAATAAACACAGTGAGAAAAATACACTTAGTCTAGTTCTCTGACTCATTCTTGTAGAGATAATTCTTACTTTGATATTGATGTATTGAAGTTATTAGTTATGCCTCTATCAATTTGAAGGGTATTTTTTTTAAAATTAGTATTACCAACTGAGGTGATAAAGTAAATTGGCCCTTGTAAAGAGTTACAGAGCTGATGTTTTCAGGGTTAGCTGAACATTTGCCCTGCACTCTAACGCTCGAAACTTCTGCTCTGTAATTTGTTATGGTGGCCAGTTTATGTTATCAACACAGTTGATAATACTATATTACCCTGTTATACTCTCCCACAGACAACACCACAGTTTCTTTAGAAACTTACCCCCTTTATCAGTTAGAAGCTTCAATGTCCTCCTTCCACAGGCATTAAAATTGGTTTATTCAAATTCCCCTCCACTGGGCAAAAACTGTGTTCAAATGCCTAGCACCTTTACTTCTGAGCTATTCACTCACAAAAGTGAACTATGTACCTTAAACACTCTCATATTCTGCTGGAAAGACTTGACACTTCATACTCAAATCCCCACCTGCCCCTGTAATTTGCCAGGGTGGGAGTGGGGGGGGGGGGGGGGGGGGATTTTTAAGCTTTGAACTTAATAGTGTATTCCAGTAATATTAAAGTAATTCTCCTGCTCAAATCTTTAGACAGTTGACTTGGCTGTTAATTTCAACAAGACTGTCACTTCCTTACACTGACAAGAACTTTTAAAGGATGGAGCTGAAAGGAAACTTCCACTGTTGTTAAGTTGTAAAATATCAAAACAAAAAGAAAGAAGAGAAAAAGACTTGATCTTCAAAATAAAATTGAAATTTTTTGGGGAGTGAAGGAAAAAAAGCATTTGGAGTCAGAAACAATTGAAAGAGATGTTAGAAATTTGTTAAGGTGAATTTTGTGTGCAAGGCCATTTTGAATCATGCAACATTGTCTTTGATTTTCTTAGGAAACCAATCAGGAAAAAAGAGAACTTTGTCTACAGCTTGAAAGTATGGTGACAACCTTAATATAATGACCAAGTACAGTAGAACCTGCTTATTTGAACACCCAAGGGGAACAAAAATGGTTCTAGTTAATGGGGTTTCCAGTAAGGTGATAGTACATAACTGAAATCAGATCTTGTTTGAGTTAACAGGAGGGGGGTGGGTTAACCACATTGCAGTTACAGTAGTGGGATTCTACTATATATGCAATCCAAAATGGTGTCTATTAAAAAATTAAATTATTTTGACATTGAAACAATATTTTTTAATTACATATCATATATATTTCAACTTAAAAGAAAATGGTACGTTGTTCATACTCAGTTGTTATCAGTAAGATACAGGGTTAAACCACTCCACTTTTTTTTAGACATATTCAACTTGATGTAGTTGCAGATAGAGAGGCACACATAATCCTACATGTTTGCCTTCAAACTATAAATTTGTATTCACACCATAGTTACACAACCTTGTAAAATTATATTACATGTAGTTACCTCTTCAAAGATTCATGCAATCATAAAAATGAAGGATGATTTCCCTTCCACTCATCTGTTCAGTGTACATATAGGTACAACTTACAATAATCTTGTAATAATTAACTTGTAATTCATCACAGCTGCAATAAAATTCAGGTTCTTAGGCACTGTGAATCATTTCATAGACACTACTTAAAAAGAAGGTCTTCATCCTCTGCATCGTCAAGTAGATTTGCTGTTTGATCTGCCACAAAAAGAAAAAAAAAATTTTATGACACATTGTAGAGGTTCAAATATAGTTCGTGCACATAGCAAGGTTCCCTTGTTCTTTCTTTTCAGTTAACAGATTGTAAGATGATCCTCTTGAAGGACTAGGAGTATGTCCTCCAGGTATCAGAGAAATTGTTGTGGATTTTGCTTATAGATAAGTATACAATTCTTCTGTCAGTGACTACTATCATTTGATCCTGTTGTGTTGTCCCCCCAGTGAGATTAGTTCCGAGAAGGATATTTGTTGAGAGTCTTGACTGATGTTTTGAAAACCCTAACAGAGTTGAGTAAAGAGCAGTTGTTGGTCCAATGTTATAAGTTTGGTTTGTTTAATCTAATTGGTCAGTTTTGCTGTCATGTTACTGGCTGTAAGACTCAAGTAGTGTAGGTTGGTCATGATTGGCCAGTTCTGATCTGTCAGTAATGTTAGTTTGTTGTGTAAATTTTGTAAATAAGCTGTTTGTATGGTGCCTGTAGCACCAAAAGGCACTTTGCATGAGGTGTTTTAAGAATTGTTGTAAATGTTCTCACCATTAGTTATTCCTTTAGCTTTCTTTAATGCTTCTGCCTTTTGTTTATTAATCTTCTTCTTTTCCTGAATTTTCTTTAGCCTATACAAAGTACAAGCATGAGAATTTTATTGAACATAACAGTACAAGTGAGATATTTCACTGATGAACAAAGCTACTGACAGCTTAACACATAATATGAACATTTGGAACCAACCTGTAATTAACAACAGTAAAATAAATTACACATTCAATTTAAAATACTTAAAAAATTGATAAGCTGAAATAGAACCTTCTATCACATGCTCTTCATTGACAGAACCAAAGTAAAGACCCAATCCATATAAAACTGTCTCAGTCTTGGCAAAATGCTCCTCAAAATTTCCCATACAGTCGCCAACTAACGAATTTCTCATAGACGCAAACTGGCTTTCATTATCTTTGTTGCTTTGGTTAGAGAAATCATTTGCAAGTATATACCTGTAAAATTCTTCTCTCTCTCTTTCATCCAATTCCCCTATGATGTAGGTTATTGTTGCTTCAATTTTGGGTATGATAACTGAAAAAGATTAGATATTAAGTTAAGACTTTTACCAGACAAAAAAAAACATCATTCAAAGAGGTTTGAAAAAAGGAAATGCTGAGGATCTTAATAGAGAGAAAATTAAATTCTTACCATACTCAATAGCATTCACTCTTCTGTTTGTGATTTTGATTGCTTCATCTAGAGTAATGAAAGCAGTCTGAAAAAAAGAAATACATTGGGTTACTTTGGACATCTGACATAATTTACTCATTATTTTGCTTTGTATTGGGTTTAGGGCGTCTTGTACTTTCTTTTTTAACACCAATCCATACACAAAGCAGGAACTCTTACTTCAATGGAGTGGTAACTTGCTCAAATGTAACAGCACTTTCACAAATGCATTAGCTGTTACATGACTTGTACATTTTTCCAAAAAAGTCTATATCAATCTAAATTCAACTATAAGAGTGTCCAGTTCTGAGAGATAATTCTGGAGAACTGGTAAGGAAAAGTCAGGAAAAATAGTGACTTCCATAAGGAAAATTGCCTTTGATTATTTATTAATATCAATACTACATTACAAAGGAATAACCAAAAAGAGACAAAATAACATTGATTTTAGAACATTCTTAAAGAGAGGCATTTACCTGTAAAGAAGCCAGCTCAACAAGTAGTTTAACAGCTTTTGCATAGACTTCCTGGCATTTTGAAACTTGTTGACCACCACGTGATAAGCCAGTCAACTCATAACCTGTGAGGAGAGATGCAGGAATATTTTTCAAGATGACAATACTACACACCACTGTGGGTTGAGAACTATGCAAGTCATAAAAGGCAGCATGCTGTTACAGTAGTTCTGTCACTGATTAAAATTTATATTGAATTTCACTTATTACGGGTATGTTAAAAAAGGTATCTGACCAAAATACTTATAAGTGAGCCACAAAAATGCATTAGGTACATCATATTCTACATTTTAAGAGAGAAATCAGCAATAAAAAGGGCCTATAGACATGACTGGAGAATTCTGCAATGTAGATTTCTGTAGAGACCAACTTACTATTGGCGCCATCTGCATAAGTTTCAAAGATTGGTAACTGGACACCTAAATTTAACAATAAAAAATAAAGTTACTAACACTAACAATAAAAGTTAACAATAGTTGGGACATGACGAGTGCATATCTCAAAGTTAGGACCATCAATTAAAAATAATTATGTGAATTTAATATGAATTATGCAATTTATTTCACCACAATTGGCAGTAATGTTGCAATCCAATTGGCCAATTTGCCATTGTTGACAAGACTACAGATAACAGTGACAATCTTGGTCATGCAATAATGAAAGCGTTTTATTTTACTTCAATATTGTGGTAAAAAAACAAATAAACATTTGTTATGGACTCACTTGGCTGTGCCTCATGAGTCCACAACATTTTGACCATTGTGATGACAAATATCATTGTTGACAAATGAGTAAAGACCACACTAAACCACTGAAAATTTGTTAAATTTTTCTTTTCCCTGTTTAGGAATTGTGGTGGTAATTTAACAAGAGCAAAGGAAAAGTACAAATTGCATTTAAATTACCCATTTTCATTTTCAGAAGAAAATGTATGTTACATGTATCCCTTATACCCTCACATCATTAAGGATATTCTCTATTTACTTCCTGATGTGATCATTTCCTTTGTTCTCTTTATCTTAATGAATTATTCAGCAATATCACTGTAAGGAGAAATTAGATGTTGGTCACACTAAGGGTTTAAAGGAGTAAAACAAGAGAAAAACATGAACCACAGCAGATTAGCTGAGAGGTTCAGGTAAGGTTTCATGAGAAAACTCGAGTGAGCTTTTAAGTAATGCTGTTGAAAAACATAATTGTGATTGAAAACTTTACCTGCAACATTGTCTTTTCTGAGGCGAATCTTAGTTTGGGCCTTGTCAACATTCTCCAAAACTACATAGCTGAAATGGTAAGATGGCATTTAAAAACATGGATCACAGACTAAAAGGGTACAAGAAAATTTTCATTCTTTCAAAAAAAAAAAAAAAAGGACACAAAATGAGAGTCTATATGCAGACTGAGTTCCAATACAAGCATTACATGGGATTTTAGGATAAAATTCACTTCAATCAATGACAAAATTATTAAGTCTGCAAAGTGAAAGTAGCTATGCTTACAAGACATGGCATTGAATTTTGCACAAGATTCTAGGCACATGGAAAGGAGATGTCATAAGGAAAGGATAAATCCTTGCTCTTATGATTAAATTATAAACAAATTAGTTTGGTAAGTTAACTGAAGGACTTCCATATAACCCCAAACTATTCCAAATCAAAGCTGTAGTCCCAGAGGTAATCTACTGTTTTCCCAATTTTTAAATATTTTATTTCATTCAAGTACAGTGTGTATAATAAAGTACAAGGTTTAAAGGAAATCTTATCCACTGATTAATGATATCAAAACAAATAATACTACCTAGGTAGTGGATAAGTCATTTAATTCTTGTCAATTGTTTCCTGCACAATGTATTGGTTATAAAGGGAGAAGCTAACTAAGAAATCATCTCTAAGCATTACAATTAATGCCAATCAATTAGCCCTATAACTCCCAAGATCTCTTTAGTAATTCTCCTCACTGTCTGCCAAAGGATTCTCATTACATTAGTTTAGACAATTTGGTATTGGATCAAGTAGTAATCCCATAATTAATACTTTCACACTCTCATCACTTTTCTGCATGATATTGTATAGATATAATAGGGAGAAATTCTTGGTCACTCATGGGTGTTAACTCTTTAACTCCCAAGATCTAATTAGTAATTCTCCTTACTGTCTGCCATAGAGTTCTTATGATGTTAGTTGCAAGAATTTGGTATTAGATCAACTAATAATCCCCTTATCAATATTTTTCTTTATTCTCATCACTTGCCTGCTTGATACCGTATTGATGTTGTAAGAAGAAATTCTGTCTTGGTCAAACATGGGAGTTAAAGGGTTAAAGGGTTAAGGCGAAATAGCAACTGAATCACATGATCAAGGTACAGTCGACTATCAAAAAAGCCTGAATTCATTACGTAACGAAGTCCTAAGCCTGCTAAGAATTAAGGCACATTAGAAATTGTTACCTGAAATCCCCAGCAGCAAAATTTGCCTCGGCCAAAGAGAAAGTAGCCTCTCGCATTACATCACCCATCAAAGTTTTGGTCTGTGGTACGCGTAAAACAGGGAAGCGTCATAAGTAACATAAAAATATTGTTCTAAACAACATTCTCAAACATCTCAGTTATCGCTTTAAATAGTTACCTCTATGATCATTTTAAGAATTTTTCTGAAACGCATCGTCAAAGCGTCGGATTTCTTTTTTAGAAGACTGTGTCCTTTCTGAGCTCCTTTCAGTCGAGCTTTCATCAAGGTTAGGGCCCTAAAGAAATAACGAAACAAACATCTTCTCTCTACTAATTCTTTCACAAAAAAGACTGTGAAATGTAAGTTCGATTGTTCTTCTTACATTCTTGAGGGGAAAATGTTCAGCCTATCCTTTCCTCCTCCTGACATCTTGAAAAAAATTAGGACAATTCTGACTCTCGATCGCAAAATTTCACCCTCCTGAGAAGCTCACCTTTAAAGAAACTTTGTTGTGTAAGTAGGCACAAAACATCGCATTTTCCTTAGAAACCAGGCCTGCTCATCTAATTGCCCGTGCTTGATCAGCGGTCTGCATCAAACAAAAGAATTCCCGGATCTTCTTTCTCCCTCTTTATGCCACGTCGCCCTCCATTTTGAAAGTCGTATTGATGCCCGAAATCAAGACTTTTATTTAGTCTTGAAATACTCTACGTTTCTGAAATGAGTCCGTTATCAATCTTCTTAGTTCTACCTTTTGTTTCGTTGGAATATTTTGCCTTAGTAAGCTCTATTTCGTTCACTTTGCCGCCCGGACAAGAGAAGTGTCTGAGAGAGGAAGTACACAAAGATGTCTTAGTGACCGGTGAATATAAGTTATCGGACGCTCCACACATGAAAACGCACTTGACGGTGGGTTTGAAGACCGTAGAAATTTCTGCATTGCATATGGCCTCTATCTATGAGCCTGTGGTGCTTTTATTTTAAAATTATTTCCGCAGGTTAATTTCGTGCATTATGTGCATGGTAGATCGATGCTAAAGGGTTTTCATGAATGTACGATCCCCTTTAATTTTTGTAGGTGAGTGATTCAACTGGACATGTCTTATACAAGAGAGAAGATGCAAGCAAGGGGAAATTTGCTTTTACAACGGACGACTATGATATGTATAAAGTTTGCCTAGAAAGTGAAGGTACACTATGAATGATACGGCATTGAATTTTGCACGAGATAAGGCAAATGCTAAGGGAGAGAAAATGTCATAAGGGAAGGATAATTCCTTGCCCTTCTGATTAAGAGTTACTCTCTTCAAGTGCCTTGAGTCTTAAATATTGATGTTGACTGCTCATCATGAGACAAATGATTAAACGTTCATTCATTCTTATAACTGCGATACAATGAACAAACAGATTTTTTCTACAGAAAGTAGTATATACATGTAAAGAGAAAATTTTGAGAGCAAGATTTTCATATTCCTTGAACTTGATGATGCCATTAATGTATTTCAACAGTTGCACTTGTGTCTCTCCAAAGCACTGTTGAGGTTTACATGTACACATTATTTATAACTTGATCAATAATAACCTTAACTTTGATCTCAAACCCAGAGCAATTTGATTACTTAGTGGTCTGCTCAGGTACATGTATTTAGAAATATTACATTAAGTCTCTGTTAAAAGTATATGTAGATAAAAAGTGATGGCAATTCACTCAAAAAAATGGTAATACACCTTTTTTGTCTCTTTTCTACTAAATTACAGGGACAGCCGGAGGAGGAATTGATCGTGAGGTTTTCTTGAGTGTGAAGCATGGAGTAGAAGCAAAGAATTATGAAGATGTAAGCTATTATTACTGTTAAATGTTTGTAGACTTCCCTTTTGTTTCTATTTGATAATATTATGAATCTCCTCCTTTGAACAAAATGGTCCTTCTTTCAAATAAATGCTCTGGAAGGGTGTTTTGCTTTTACTAAATCTGATTTCAAGATTGATTCTGACTACTGGATCCAAAGTTGTGAAAGAAATCTTCGCAGTAGTTTGATGTACACATAAAACAGGTTTTTGAAAACAAGTTGATGTTTCATAATACAAATTACGGTATGGTACTTCATGAAATAACTGAGGTTCTGCTGCACTGATTGGTTAAAAAGAACTATTGTTTATTGCATTCGTTAACGCATAGAAAATTGAAGTTTATGTTTTAAAAGCATTAGATGGCACTTTCTCTTGGTTAACTGGCATTATATCCTTCTTTGACTTGAAAAGTTTGTAAATTGCTTGTTACTGACTGATAGGATTACAAACTTTTCCCATGTTCTCCTAACACCCTCATGATTTATTTATTATTGGTTAAGAATGCAAGACAAAAGTAAGTACAATTGAATTGTGTTCAAAGTTTTAAACCAACAAGAAATTAGAATCATGCTGCATTCAGTACTAAAACTACCAAAGCTGACTTTATCTCATCAGTGGGAAATGCTTCTTTGGGATAAAGTAGATATTGTAAATCATTAGCTGACTTCTTGTTTTTCCCAAAAAATAGTTGGCAAAGGCTGAAAAGCTCAAGCCCATGGAAGTGGAACTCAAGAGGCTGGAGGATTTAGGTGATGCTATTGTAAATGATTTTGCTTACATGAGGCAAAGGGAACAAGAGATGAGAGATACCAATGGTAAGGAACTTGAACTTGCTTTCTAAAGTATGGACACCTTAAAAGGTGTTTCTTTTATTTTATAGTCAGATATACAGTATTTTCTGTTTATGGTTTCTTTTTCTTTGTCTTCATTGTTTAAGCTTCAGTGGATAATAATGTTGATCAATTTAAATTTAGGCAAATATCTCTACTAATACTACTACTAACAGATATACCTGTACATTTAGTTTTTCTTTGTTATGGAGTGTCTGTGAAGTTTGTATTGGATAATTTCTGTCTCAGTTTTTTTGTGATATAATAAGCTCCTGTTCATACACAAAAACAGACTCATGTCAAAAGGTAAATCACAATGCACTGAACCTTCCTACTGCAGACATCTGATTGTTCATTCATCCCTCTAACTGCTACAAATTTCCTTAATCAGTTACGAGAACTTTCTTCTATGTTATAGGGAGAAGTTACTTCTTACTCAGTTCTAATTAGGTATTTTTGTTTTTACTTTGCAGAATCTACTTATTCCAGAGTGTTATACTTCAGTATTTTCTCCATTTTGTGTCTCTTTGGTCTAGCAACATGGCAACTTTTCTACTTGCGACGATTCTTTATTGCCAAGAAGCTTATAGAGTAACTTTTTAAAGGATTTTAACAATTGATACCACTTCCAAGTTTACTTCTGTGCAAGATCCTGATATTGTGTGCCATCTTGAAAATCCCACTCGTTGTCTGGAAGTGAACAGTTTTTCAGGGGTTGTTTCTTGTTAACCCCTTTTTATACTTGACTAACTTGAGTAAAAAGTACTGTTTCAAAGTGTGTTATATGTTTGAAGATCTCTGCAACTACCACTATGGAGCCAGTACCATTTGAACTTAAATATTCATGATGGTTGCACATTTTGGTTTTGATCTGTGTGTGGTTTTGCAATTAGAAGGAGGTGAAATAGATGGCTTATTTACTCATTGATTTGATTTAAGGCAGTGATGGCCTACACCAGTAGGCATTAAAAACAGCAATAACCTGTCATTAATGATTAACCATGATAGTAAATTTTGAGAATAAACCATTTATATGTGGCTAATTGCTTCAAAGAGGGACCAATCCTCAGAAAACTGCCATTCCAAATTTCTTGTGGCTGGCAATTAACCCCAAACAACCAATTGCACACAAGAAAAATACTCTCCAGGTGTCTAAAGCAAGTTTATTCCTCTGTTAGGTAAGCAGATTTTGTTGGGTGGTGCTTGTGTGTACTAACCAATAACCCTGTAACCCTTTAACTCCTAAGGTCTGCTTGTTATCAACCCCCTTCAGCTACAACACGTCTATTTGTAAATATGTTATGAGAATTTGGTGTTAGATCAAGATAACCTCTAACTGATAAGTTTGAGTATTCTCATTACCTGTTTGCTGGGTAATGTTTGGATTTTTTAGGGAGAAGTTACATGTTTATCACTTCTAGGAGTAAGGGGTTAAAAAAGAAAAACAGTGTTAATAATAGTGATCAGATATGATACATTTATTGATACAATCTCATACCTTTTAACAAAGTTTCATTGTACTCAGATATGCTCCAGATCAGTAAAGTGCTATTGATTAAATACTAGGGAGTACCCTGTTAAATACAAATTTTCGTTGACTTAAAAAATAAAAATATAGGATTTTACTTGTTCCACTTTGATTTTCACAGAATCTTCATGAAACAGCAGAACTTAATTGTCTCTTGCTAAAAACAATTTGATCAAAATGATCCATTGTCATATGATTTGACATTAATCTTACATAATAGTCATTGAATAAATAAAAAATTTTAGAACAAAATGTAAGAACAAAAAGGAAAGAGATGGACTTGACAGGAGAGAATAACTCTGAATTCTGTTTTTGATAATTTTTGGGAAGGTTATTGGAGTGGCAGAGTCAACATGACCCAGTTTTCCCAGCTCACGTGATAGCATATTGAATGTGCATGAAAAGTAAGACTGTTTTTCTGTAGATTAGAAAAGAATTCAAAACAAAATTGGTTGAAGTACTGCCCTGATTGGGCTTCCCCATTTACAGCTTCTTGTGGCATATTTCACATCTGACACTCACTGCTCTCACTGCTTCCCCCCCCCCAGTCATATTTCACATTTGATAAACAAAACCCCCTCTCCCCTCTAATCTCTTGCCCCTCTAAAGATTGATCAACAGGAGATAAACACAGGGTCTCCAAGCTTGATATTTCCTTCACAATCTGGAGCCATCTGAATCCCAAAGAAAGGAGCATTACCATGTCTTGGGTCTCTGTCTTGAGGCAATCTTGTCCTAGAAAGAAATAAGATGCTTCCTCAATCATTTCTCCTCAGTATGATCTTTATACCCAGAGCAATAGAAAAATGAATTAAAACTGGATTTTTCACCCCTCCCCTAACCCAACACCAGTCAACTGATAACAAGTTAGGGTTGATGTTGGGTTAGGGGAGGGGCTGGTCCCTAATTGCTCATATGGTGACATTGATTCAGATTGACTTATTATCAAATTACTTTCTCATTTGGATTAAATTTCTTTCACTGGATTACTTCAGAGTTGTTGGTCACAATTTTTCTCTGATTCCACAATGACAAAGGAATATGGTCCTTGTTTGCAAACATTAGTAGAGGAAAAAATAATTACATTTTAACCCTATTGATCACAGCTGACACATCAACATAAAGTTGAAAACTCTTGAATTCCACAAGGAATGTTTAACACTTCCAGGAATTGTGCCATGCCCTTGGACAAGTGCAATGAAGTAACAAGTTTCACAATAATGATATTGAGTAAAAGGAAAATAATTTGTTGGTTCACCTTCTCAAAGTTGAGAGTGGTTCAAGTCCATTCTTTATCCCAGTTTCAGGATCTATGGTGATCTGGGTACATCTTTGGAAAACAATGTTGAATAACTCATTGAACATACAGAATATGGTTCTCCTCCATTGCCTTTAAGTGCCAACCCCCCTTAGCCATTGAGTACCAAGTACAAGTACCTTTCTTAAACAGTGGGGATACAGAGGAGACCTGTTTCTATTGCCAATTTAAGTTAACATTTTAAGCTTCAAATACAGCAGGATCAGTACAGGCTAATTCTTTCTCAACAAGCCTCCCCCCTCCATTAAGTGCCCTTCCTCAGAATAAGCACCCCTCCTTATGAGCCGAAATTTTGCACCCAGGTGTTTATTTGACAAAATTTGGTTTATAATAAGTGAGACTAGTGATGGCCTCCAGGAAAATGCTGGCATACTTTTCCATTTTAAACATCAAACTCCATATCTACTTAGTGATTCTGAGTTTGAGCCCAAGTCATAGGCATCTTACCCAAGGCAACAAAGCTCATGCAACCTCATCTACTTCTTGAAAACTTGAACAAATATTTACCTTCCACAGTCCTTGAGAGTTCTAAACCTAATATCTGCTATCTTGAGATATTTTTGGTGCCAATGATCCTTAAAATGAGTAAATAATTTACAGTTAGCTAACATGGATGCACTTACCCTGAGTGCTGTACAACCCAAAACATACAAGTTTTGCACTGAACATTACACTGCAGTTCTACAAAACTGTTGAAATGCAATTTTTTATCTTATACAGATCTTCTAGGATAAAATATGGTATTATGTCCCGAGAAGACAGTCAACAGGTTAACCCTTTTAGCCCAAAGAGCAATTGGTAACCAATTTTTCCATGGTGTATCACCCTTGAATCAAACAATAAGGTCACAAGAATAAAGGAATTGACCACAAACTAAAGAAGCTTTTGATCGTTCCACAAATTCACCTAGACAGCACCTTAGAAAACGTATGGTAAACATTATTATAGAGAATATGCTTACTGATGTTAGGGTGTAAAGGGTTAACCCTTTAACTCCTAAGAGTGACAAGCATCTAATTTCTCCTTACAAATTATCACCACTGTATCAGACACTAAGGTCATGAGAATAAAGGAAATGATGACAACCTACAGAAGCTCTTGATTGTTAAACAAATTCTCCTTGTTCAATTAAATCTTATGTAATGTATAGAGAACAGTAAGGAGAATGTGCATACTGATGTTCACTGTAAAGAGTTGACTTTGTTGTAATATAGTTACAAAGGAAAAAATCTGAGACAGGAAATTTAAATTCATTAAAGTAACAAACCTCGGCAAAAGGCTCAGTGCCCCCAATGATAACATTAGCACGGAATCTATCCATCCCAATGGGGGATTTCAAAATCCCATTCAGTTCCACTAGTGATGACTCTGTAGTCATATGATATGCTGCAAAACTTGCATAACCCACCTACCCAATAAGAACATTTAAAGAGAGAGTGAAACTGAATTGCGATCAATATATCAGTATCAGAGACTACACACCTACCCCTCCCCTGATCCAACAACAGACAACTGAAAACAAATTGGCTTTATTGTTAGGCCAGGAGAGGTGTAGGTGTGCAGAACTTGCTCAGATATTGATATTGAACTCTAAATTCTACAACATTAATTTGGTATAATTTAATTACAATTAAAGATAAATGGTCTTGGGTGAAAAAAACCCTGTGCTGAACACCTCTTGTATAGCCAAAATAAGACACAAATTGGTCAATTTGATATAATCTAATCATAATTACCAGTAAATGATTTTAGGTGAAAAAATTATTGTCAGTGCTGAAAACTCATGGCATAGACTAAAACACAAATAAGCTGATAGAAAAGTTGATAGAAAAGCCAATAGAAAAGTTTACTGAGCTCTAGTATTATTGGAGATAATTAGATTTCGCAAGATTGAAGGGTGAGGTTCTCAGTGACTAAAATGCTTCTATTGATTGAAAAGCTATAAACTTAGGGGAAAATAAGAAGTAAAAGTTATCAGGTTATTAAAAGTTTGCAAGGGTTTTACCCAAAGAACCTGTTCAATTAAATTTTATAAAGTTCACATTCAAAAAGCTTCATGTAATAACCCCTCCCCTCCTCTGACCCTCTCTTACCCCTTACCTCAAAACATCTTTCCACCCCCCTCTCCTTAAATACACTGTTACTATTATCTCAAAAATTCAGCTGCTAGGTGTAAAAATTGAAAAATTTTAACCAACAGTTGAAAAAAAATTATACCACAATTTTGTTTTCTTTTAAAAGGGAGAAAGTTAATGGTCAAAATTTTAACCATAAGCCATGAAAGCTATCACTTTGTTGAGACCATCTCCTGTGTTTCACAAGGAATAGACCATTTGAACCAATAATATAACAATCTACCTGAGATCTTTCAGGTAGCTTGTTTGCCACATACCCTTTCAACTGAAGTATCTAAAAATCAAGTTGGTACCTGAATTTCACAATTTGACAAACCAGAACAAAAATGGACAATTTCTGAACCTACCTTGTCTCCAGGTGATGCTAGATTGCCCCATTTTGTATCTTTTGTGGAATCTCGGGGTTCATGAATTTGATACATTTTGCAGCCTGGTTTGTTCAGCAAAGTTGAAAACCATAAAGAAGCTTCATCTCCAACATAGCAACTCTTGGATGAGATTCTCAGTACCCTAAAGTTAACCATGAATAATACATACAATTATAATATTTGTCATCATTATCATCATCATCATCCATGAATGAGCCAATTGCATGTACAAGGTTGATATTGATCCTGAACTAATTATGCAGGGGTCTTCAGGAATCTTAGAGAGATTGCCGATTTTCAGTGCATTAACAAATCCAAGAAATGTGAACCTCTGCAAGAATATTGTACAATAAAGGTAAAGTTTAATACTTGAGGTCTTTAAACTCCTTGGTGTCCAGCTGAATAGGAATTCTCAGAGTGTCCATACTAGGGGCATTGAGACAAAGTTTGCCATCTTCAAAGTGTGGAACCACTTGGGCCAACACTGGTTTGTCCACCGAAGTAAGGTACTTGTCATTTCGGTCAACTACCACCCAATTCCTATGAGAGAGAGCCAAAAGTTGCCATTTAACTACAGATTGCTTTGCGTTTTCAATGGTAACCAATAACAATCAATGACAACAAACGATAGTCTCAACAATTAATCGATTGAGATTGGAGATCATTGAAAGCCAATGCCGCAGGGTTGTATGGTTTTCGGATCTCGTGGATTTCCATTTGCTTTCATTGGTTTTCTTCTTATTGTAATTTTTTTTTTAAATCAAGGATCTTTTGGATAACTTGTTTGCGCGTGAGCTATGTTCACTAGAGGGATATTGTTTTCGATTGTCATCAGTCGCTTTATGAAGGAATAAGTGGTTATTGAAAAACAACTTGTAAGAGTCAATATCACAAAAACAAACATAAATAAACACGGTGCAATGGGGATGATCTAATGAATTCAATATACCTGTCAAATTGTATGCCTTCTGTAAAACACATAGCATTTTCCAGCTCAATTCCTGCGCATGATTTGACGGGATAGATAAATAGCCCGGACACATAACCTACTTGCCTAAATAGTTCGATCTTTTTCACTTGCATTTGCCTCCAACGAAGATACGCAAATGCAAGTAAAGGCAACGAAACGGGAAGAGCAATTTTCCACAATCGTGAATGAAATGAGCCCATATTGTAACGTTGTCGATTTGCGTGAATATTGCGTAACGTTTATGTCACGTCCGGGCGATATGGTACAGTTGCGTGACGCTATCGTTACTTCTGGACAAGGGAAAATGACTATTAATTATCAATTAACTATTTTCTCTTGTTCTGGGTAAACATAACGAAACGCAGCCTGGACAGAGCTTCATGCATTCTTGAGACCTGACATACATCAATGTTAACAGCCTCTTCTCTCCTTTTGTCTCTCGGTCAAATAAAAGACAAACAGATAAGATACTTTAGGATTTATTTTAAGCCGTCAAGAACAGTGTTTCTCAAGATCCTCAAGCACGTCTTCACACAATCAATCGTCTACCCCGTGTAAGAGTAAATAGGAAAATTGAATAGATAAATAGTTGTGATTTTACTTTTCCTTCTTCGTACTGAATTGCTTCAAGTCAATAAACATGCTGTCTTGATAGTGCACATATGCAAACTTACGCCCAGAACCAAGAAAATTTGGAATTTTTGTTTCCCGGAAATGGAAAGCAAGTAATGGGGTTCATGCATCCGTGTCTCCTCCAGTCGGGAAGGGGTGGAAAGGTAGGTGGGGTGACGCGATCCAAAAGCAAACATTTACATATATTTGGTCTTCTAGGGTTCCCCTTTGAAGAAATTAAAAGATTTTCAAAATGAACGTCAACTATTCACTTTTTTTAAATGTTTTCTTGAATGATTTATCTGTAAACAGGAGCTCATTAATTGCTGTAGGATTGTAAGACCATACATTGCACTTTGTCCATCATAAAACAAAACAAAAGCACCCGCTCTGTACCCAATTACGTTTCAAACGGGTAACGGAAACCTCGGTAACCGGTCAACACTTCTAAATCAAAAAAATTCTGAGGGGAAATCTCAAAACCAAGGCCAGCCCATTTACCACTTACCCTCTCCCCACCCCTCCTACCCACCTCGAGACAAATTAAATCCAATCTCGCCCATGCCCTCCGATTCACCACCCTACCAGCCGGTGCTTTTACCCTGAGCTTGCGTCTGAATTCGAGGTCAATACAAGATGGTTCCACAATCCAAATATCTGTTGATTGGTTTGCCTGTTGTAACTTTAGCAGGCATCGCTGCACTTTGGTGGAAACAGCATGTGAAAAGCCGCTCCTTCAAGGAAGTGGGGAGTGTTACTGGTCTGTTCGTCTACCCGGTGAAATCTTGCAAGGGTATCCGTATGGACAGCGTCAAATGTTTCAAAGAAGGAATGGAGTATGACAGGTGAAATTTAAGTTCTTGATTTCTTCTTTACCTCAGAAAGTTTATCTCAAAGCCATGTGCCTCTTTATATTCGTTTCTGGAATATCTACGAGGTGCGACTGATTTGATTCGACGCGCCGTCAAATTCAGGTAGTTCTTAGTTCTAATTATTCGATCAACCGTGCACTTTGCACGCAAAACAAAACTACTGGCCTGGGATTACTCTTACTTAAAAAAAAAAAAAAGTCATCGTATGGATAGATTAGAACTTCCTCGGTTTGCTAGGGCTCGACTAGTTCTTTTAAAACGTTCGTGGCGGACGATATGTCCACTAGAGATTGATTGTTCGAATCGCGTGACCAACAACCTGCAATCAAATAACATTAGGAGATCATGCATACAGTAATCGATACACGGTAGATAGAAGCAAATATAGGAGATGGCAATGGAAGCATCGAAAACGTGGTATATGAAAGCATTGGAAAAAGAAAATTTTAAGACTTTAATCTCTTCGGAATTCGTGTGCAAGGATTAAATAAACCAATAAAATGAGAGATCAAATTACACTGACGTTTGGGACGTGAAAGGTATTATTTCGTTTCATGAAAACAACTTCGTCTCTTCGATCTCAAATGCTGCCGGTGCTGCATGCTTAGAGTACAACGTTTAACTTGTTAATTTATTTTAACATGGTACGCATTCAATTTCCTAGTTACTTAAATCAATAAAATAAAATGATTATAATACTGGCATTGTGCCAATTCAACGCTAGGTTTGTTTTGAAATGATGTCACAACAGGGTCGGTTATTACGCAACTTTCTCCATCAGTTGATCCGTTTTCTCCGAGAAAACAAACAAGCAAACAAACAAAGACAAAAACAAAACAACAACAAAGAAAAGAAAGCGGTATTTTAGAAAGCTATGTATCGGTGTCTAATATCGACCGGTATGGTCAGCATCGGAACGTGACAAGCAAAGATTGCATTTGCGTGACACCTCGGCATTCTTGAGTCACCCATATGATGAATGTTTGAACTAGAGACGCCCAGTTTGTAATTTGATTGACATGCTGTAAGTTTACGTACATGGCGTAGTTGGAGAGCATGGGAAGGAAGGGAGGGGGATAGAAGCGGAGGGGGATAGAAGCGGGGGGGGGGAGAGAAGGGTAGAGAAAAGCCGAGAGCTCTGAATTAGAGTTCTATTATTTAATTATCTACGTTCTAAATTTTCAAAGGCATTGGATCGTTCTGGATGCAAAAGGGAACTTTATTACACAGCGAAAAGATCCAAAATTAGCGCTTGTTGTTCCTCATTTTGAGGATGGCAGATATCTATGCCTGAATGCTCCTGGAATGGAAATGTTGAAACTGGAAATACAGCTACCAGTGGATCAAAGGGAATTCAAACGAATAAAGTGAGTGCAATTAAAATATTTGTAATAATTCTTAATTTAAAATTGGTTATGTACTTACCTAATCTACCCATCATTCTTCCAACACCTTAAAATAATGTATTATAGTAAATAATTATTTTCACAAACCACACAGAATATTTGGAATGGAAGGAGAGGGCCAGTATGTAGGAGATGAAGCCTCAGAGTGGTTTTCTAAATACATGAATAAACCTGGTTATAAGATGTACAAGTTGTCCAGGACTCGAGTGATAAGGACACATGATGAATGGAGTGACATTGGAGAGGCTGGAGACCAGGTAATGAAACACAGTTTCTTTTTTATTTTACTGATAGTAGTTAACGTCATCTCTTTGGAATCTAATTAATCAAACTTACTATTGTTCAGTTACTTTTTAGGTGATTTGGAAAGTTTTTAAGACTTATTAAAGAGATTAAAAAATACTTCCAAATTTCTTCAAATCATTGCCAGGTGCTTATATGTAAAAGGTGCTCATTGGAAGGAGGGTACTTAATCAATGGGGCACCTGTTATACCACAGGAAGCCCAGGCTCCAGCGGTCAGATGATCATCTTACAAAATGGGAGTCATTGCAAAATTATAAGAGTTTGTATGGAATATTTATGACTGCTTTTAGGAACAAAAAAACACAGCCAAATTCTTAATAAAATTACCTCATCTGACCTCCACAGTGCATTGCTTGTTATCTGACTGCTTACCATGTTGGAAAGAACCCGTTTTAGCATGTTATCCATTTCAAGGTTTACTATGTACATAGGAGAAGCTTCTCTTCTCTGGGTGGCCTGTGGTTATTCCTCTGTGCTGATTCCGCTGTAGATTAAGCCTAAAAGTTTATAAATGAAGTGGTGACAGACACAGGTTTTCCTTGTATCCCTACTATTAAGAAATTGAGGGAGGTGTAAGGGAGGAGCTGCAGGGCACTTGTTTGACATTATGGCTGAGGGAGGATGCTTATTCGAGGGAGGGCCCTTATTAGAGCATGGGTGCTTTTTCAAGAAAAAAACAGATCTTGAAGTTTTGATGATAATTTAAGCGTTCAGGGAGGAAAGAATTAAGTATGGCATGTGTTATGTATATTTTGACATTAAATCTTTGCCAGATCAGTTTACTTTTTGTCTTAAATTAACAGGCAACATTTGGGGATTTTGCTCCATACATGATTCTTGCTGAAGCTTGCTTGGCTTCACTGAATCAAGAACTTTCATTACCTTTGGAAATGGAACGATTCAGGCCTAACATTGTGGTCAATGGCTTAAATGCATTTGAGGAGGTCAGTTTTTCAACAAACCAATTTTCACCTTACCTCTTTATAGCTGTGGTCATAAAATCATCATGAACATTTACATCAAATTTTTGAATTTCAATGTCCTGATTCTTAAAAATGCAGCTCGATCAACTCAGGGTATGCTTTCATTCGTTATGATTATTTTGACCTACAATGTGACACCTCATAGAAAAATTTCAATTGACATGGCTCTTAACTGTTTGCAGACATTTAAATGAAATGTCTTGTTAGTAAGCTGTAATTAAATTTTTGCCATCTTTAGTCAAACCTAAAATAAAATTTTAATTCCTCTTCAGGACAAATGGGAGGGTGGAAGAAAATTCAAAATAGGGGATGTGGTGTTTCGATACCTAAACAACTGTGCAAGGTAAGCTTTTCAATATGTTGTACGAGCCATATTTTTTATATTCAAAGCTAATGCTCAATAGGTGATAATTTCCTAAACACTGAACTTGTACTTGCTACAAAACTAGAAATTATTGACATTACAATATTGATTGATCACAACTATCTTTCTTTAAAAGGTGCAGTCTGCCAATTGTTAATCCAAAAACAGGAGAGAAAAAAGGAGAAGAGCCTTTGAAAACTTTGCGAAGGTACAATTGAAATTCAAAATCCAGCTATGCTCTTAAAAAAAGCATGGTACTCAATTCAATGTTTTGTTTTCCTCTTCTAAATTTTCTTAAGAAAGAAAGGTGATTGGTAGAACATATATGTGGGTGACAATTCCCAACAGTTTTCACCCTTTCTTTTGACATGTGGTGATCGCTACATGGAATATCAAAATCAACTAAACCTTATGGCATATTTCATTTGTTTTTTCAACTTATTCCAGAATAAGGCTTCCTGAGGATAGAGATCCACGATATGACAGATCCCCTCTGTTTGGGATCAATGCTGCTCCAGACACAGATGGCATGGGGGTCATACGCCAGGGAGACGCTGTCATGATTTGGTCTTGAGCCATCAGGGAAGGAAACATTCCTTATCATCCTTATGTTCTATAAAAAGTTTGATTTCAGAAAGAGCTGCAAAAAATGCATAGCTTTTAAAAAGTAAAGACAGCAACTCAAGTCTAAGGTTGTATTGATTATACTGTAACTTTATCTGGGTGTTCAAAATCACATAGTTGTCTACCTTTCCATAACACACATTAAAATCAGTTGAAAACTGTTCTTTCTTGTCTGGTGGTAATTTTTGTAGCAGAGCGATACAGACCCTTGGACCCTAAGCTGTGAATACAGTAAATTTATTTTATCAGACATTTTGGTGTGTAGTACTGCTGAGTATTTTTATGAGTTGTGTTGTGTTTTGACAAGCCTGCAAGGCTTTTTCAGTCAAAATACAGGCAACGAAACATTGAATTTGAAAGAAGGAAGCAGAAGGTCCAGTTTGTCAAAGAATTAATTCATTTTGTGGTAGTTTCAATTTTGGACATCTTTACCGAGACCTCAGTAAGTTTATACCTGTCAATGCAAAACAAACAATATTGGCAAATACAATTTTTATTTATTGGTAGTTCCCATAACTTTACTTTCTGCACGAGGAAGTATAACCAACCTCACTCCATGTTTTCATGAGAAGCTGGACTATTCCACAATACAATTAAGCTACCTGCCCTTTTTTCTCGTATCCCCAAGTTATTACAAACCCAAAAACCATTAAGATACTTCACATTTAACATGTTTGCATAATTAAACCATCAGATTTAAATAAGAACTGAACCCTTCATTTTAATTAATAGACCCACTTCAACCATGGCTTAAATATTAAATAAGAACCTCTTATAGCAAATGCACTATTCCCTCCCCTGTAACAAAAATCAGTGAATAAATCAATCTATTAAATTAAGATTTTGTTTCCACTTCCTCAAAGGGAAAAATAGTGAGTGCAGAGGTGGTGTTCATTCAGTGACATGCTCATGAAATCTGAGAATATGAAACAAACAAAACAAAACAAACAGTTCTAAATAATAGGTGAGTTATTGTCTGAGCGAAAACAGTCTGATTGGAACAAAATGTAAATACAATATGTTAATGATAAAACCTTTCAGCCCAAATTTGCATTCCTACTGAAGGATATTATCAGGTAAAAAGCTGTAAAATAATTTTGGCTTACTGTAAAAAAAAATAAATAAATAAATAAAAAAAATAAAAAGGGACATTGTAATACCCCAAATCTGCCACACTATAATGCTTCTATTCAGAGCAACGCTTTATCTACACTTGCAAAATTAAATATTAAGCAACACAATTAAATATTTATTGTTATTATAATTGCAGTTATTCTGAAACCATGACAGCATCTCCAATCTTTATAACTCCCACTGTATTGCCATGAGGGGCAACAAGAACTCCAAAAAGAGGGGCATTTCCTTGTCTTGGGTCTCTGTCTTCCGGAAGCCTTACTCTGAAAATAAATTAAAAGTTGCATTTGTTAGCAGAATTAAATGTATTCTTAGGCATCAACTCATCAACAAGGGGTTGACTAGAAAGCAACCAATCCAAAGCAATGATTTCATCTTAAGATTGCACATTACATGAAATGATTAAACCTTCCAATACCAATATCTCAATCTGTTTTCAATTCATAGTAATTCTCCTTACCGTCTGACATACATTCCTTATAATTTTAGCACTGAGAATTTGGTGTTGGATAAAATATAGTCCCTTAGTCGATACCTACTGTCTTCTTATCAGTTATGTGAATGTTGTGGATCAATGTCTGTATGATATGGATCAATGCCTGTATCTGAACAACTCCCCAATAACCCATCCCCTGGCCTAAGTTAAGGTTAATGTTGGGTAAGGGGAGGGGTAGGTGTGCAGATTTTGTGCTGACATTGTTCCTTTGATTATGTATTAAATGTGGAGGGAGAAGTTATGTCTTGTTTACTCTTGGGAGGGAAAATAAGTTTGATAAACGTAGCAACATACTAATTTTTCTCCATGTCTCAAAATTAACAAAAAAGCTCTCCAATCTTAAAAATTAGCCAGAAAATTCTCAATAAGTAGCTGGAAAGTATCCAATTCTCTGATGCCTTTTGATCAGTTCCTGCCAGATTGTGGTTAAAAGCCATATTGTTGAAAAGAGCACAGTCCAAATGACACTACAAAGTGTCAATGGTCAATCAATTAAATATGAAAATCATTTTAACCTCAGTTGGATTTCAGTGCTGACATGAACCGCCAGTGGAGTATGGTATGCATTCATTTCTGTATTGTGGAATAAGGGCTAAACCCTTGCAAGGTAAACTGTCAATTTAAAATTCTGCTGACTCAAATCTTTGTTAATCTGTGTCAAAAAATTGTTGGTGATGGGATAGAGAAACAATTACCTTCTTAAAGTTGCCAAAGGTTCATCTCCTTCTTTTTCACCTGTGTCAGGATTCACTGTTGTTAACTGACACCTTTGTAAACAATTCAGAAACTGGAAATCAGAAATATTGGGTAACTTTATATTGAAAGATGACATATAAGATATGCAAAATTTTTAGCCAACATTCACACAAACTGCAATTGAGTTCTATGCAACCAACATTACAAAGCAACTGTTAAATAAAATGCTAGTTTATACAATATAAGCCAGAAAGTGCATGTAGATTCTTGAATGTTTAAGTGAGCTTGTAAGAGGTTCCTCTTTGTAATATTCATGGCCCAGGGGCATAACTGGTAAAAAGGGAGATTTCATAGAGAGAAAAAGGTATGGATTGATAAACTGTGATGGACCCAGAATAAAATTCCAGTTCTAGCTTCACATGTAGCCTGCGTTTCTTGCTGATTCACATCATTGTTAGCTGGATTAAAGTTTCTCTCCCAATTCTTGTGTTTTCTACCCTTGACATGGGTTTCAAACACCTTTTCCATATGATGCTGCCAATGGCGCACTAGGCAGCTGTGCCTGGAAAAGGGCTGTAAAGCAAAACCCAAACCCGAGATCCTCCTCACAAGTCTTACAGGCAGCAGTATAGACTACTGATAATCAACTTTTATTAAAACCCTACTCTGACCAAAACTAACTTTCAAGATAGCCACTGACACTTTTGATGCTATTTTTCAATGTATTTTATGACTGACTAACCTTCCACATCGTTTTAGGAATCTAAATTCAACATCTCCAACTTTTATTATCTTAGCTGCCCACTTGTCCTGTAAAAAAGGGAAAAAGTGTGACCATAATGAAAGTCTAATCAATTTTTATGCGATATCACAGAATGGATTGACATACTGACCTCATCAAATGCCTTCATACCCTCAACCACAACATTGGGACGGAATCTTTCCATTGTCACAGGAGATGAAAGTTCAGTATTCACAGCTTCTAATGAGGCCTCAGTTGCAATCAAGTACGGAGCAAAATCTCCAAATGCTGCCTGGATTGAACAACAAACAAGATATATAAGATGTAAAGAAGAAAAATAAATGAGGTAAGTCTTACTCTAAGAGCCTCGCCATTTTTCTTCCTTAATCAAAAATGTCAGATGGCTCTGGACTTTGAGAGCATCCATTATGTGGTCCAACATGGCCAACAAAAGGTAAAAGGAAAGTCTGTACACAAGCCCTTTGGCCCTCCCCTGGATGGGGTGCAAATCCATTGCAAGGTTAGCCCCTACATTTCATCAGACTTCCCTGATAATTTGCCAGGACCCATTTATACTCCTGGGTGGAGAGAGAGAGAGCTTTGCCCAAGAACATCACACATTCACCTAACCAGGTCTTGGACCCAGACCTCTTGACTCAGAATTCAGTGCACTGACAAGTAGAACACTGCGTCTTTAGCCTAGGTGTAGCCACACCCTCCCCAAAAGTGGCACAGGGGCTCCCTCGCCTCCATTTTACCTTTGTGGAGGGGAGGGTGTTGTTACTTGTAGGCTACTGCATCTTCCACACGCAGCCAACAAGACTGTTCTATACACATCTGATCCCTTTTGTTATGTTATATTTACCTTGTCACCTGGAAGAGCAACATCACCCCACTTGTCATCTTCACATATCACTCTTGGTTTGGAAAGTTTATACATCTTATATCCAGGTTTATTTAAAAAAGTAGATACCCACTCTGCTGCTTCATCTCCACAATAGAGACCTTCTCCATAAACCCTCCAAACCCTGGATTAGTTAAAACAAAAAAAAAACAAATCAGAGTTAAATGCAAATGTAAATAAAAAGAAATTGAAATAACATTTAACTCACTTTTTTACCATATTTTGCATATAGAGGATAATCTACAAAATCCCACAAACTTGAAACCTGCTAAATTTTCACTGCTCACCATAATAAAAAAAAATACATATTAAATAAAACTTGAAACCTAAAGAAAACCAAGAATAGACCACCAGGTTTGTGTACAGTGCACAGAAATTCTTTCCTTAAATAAATTGCATAATTGCATGAGCTGAAATACAGGTTGTAATTAGAAATGTGTAGGCAGTGGAAAACTGTCGTCTGTCAGACTATTTTGTGCTATACTTTGAAAATTGTGATCAGTGACAGAAAAGAAGTAAAATAAAGCACTAAAATCGGTCATAGTATGCTGGAAATCATGTATCAGAGAGTTTGAAGTTTCAAATTTTTCTGGGGGGGGGGGGGGGGAAGAGAGAGCTTGTCCCAGGGCCACCCTAGAAGGACATGCTCCAAAGCAACACACCTTGCTTGTATAGATCATATACCTATAACATTTGCTAACGATAACCTGTACACAATGAACATGTTTTACTTTATCCTCTTGTATTCTTGTTCATCTGCAGCTACATGTAATCCTATGTCCAGTTTCAAAGTTTCCATTCCTGGAGCATCAAGACAAAGATATTTTCCATCCTCAAACCGAGGAACAATCAGTGCTAGCTTTGGATCTTTACGCTGGGACACAAAGGTATCATTGGCATCCACTAGAATCCAACGCCTGTTGAAAAAGAAAAAATTCATTTGTAAACTCAAGTAATACCTCAGATCTAAATTTTCTTAGATCTACAGTTAAACCCTCCCTCACGTGGTACGGTGATGCCTTCACCCGCCTAAATCTTCTATGCAACAAATGATCATGAATGTTATCTTTATAAGGCAAAGTCATGGGAAGAGCAATGTGATTCATTAATTAACAAAGTTTAAAAGTTTTACACTCTAAAATCTGAATGAATATATAGTCTCCGCATTGTTCTCTATACATTTCCAATGATATTGGCAAGTTGTTCCATTAGCATCTTTGATATATGGCTGTTATTTCCTTTATTCTCACGATCTTACTGACTAAAAGGAGCCTTTTCACAGCAATGTCAGAGCATTTTTGTTCACTGGTTCATGGTGAAATCTCTCCTGTCTAACCTGTCATATTCCATTCCTATTTTGTAACACTTAACATCATCCACAGGAATTCCTTTGCAAGATTTCACGGGATAAATGATCAGGCTAGAAACCCGCCCCACTTCATGATAGGACCGTTTTTTCTCCTTTCTCTGCCACCATAGCGCAGCAAAACCCACCAAAGCGACAGCAGGTAAAGCGATCAGCAGATATTTTGAGTACGAAATCTGCGCCACCATCTTTAGAATCCTTCGACTGACTTGGTAACCGAACACTTACCCTACCCCAGACCCAAAAGGCACTGCAACGGGCGCGGTCAGCAGAGTTGATCTCCCTCGAACTAACGAGAGAGGTTCGAAGATTGAATCCGATATAACGGCAGAAATTGAGCCAGGGGGATGGAGGGAGGGTGTGTGTGAAGTGAAATGCGTCAGAGGAGACTAATTACAGGTGATGGTGGGTGTTGAAAGGTGGAGGGTGAAGGTGAAAAATGAGGGAAGATGAGTGTGCATGAGTAACAAAACTGGTATTCCTGTCACAAACCACTGTTTGATGTAAAAGGACCAACTATTTTCCCAATAACAAGGGCTAATTATAAGAGGAAAAAGACCAAAAATGGAAATTTGAATACATATTGCTGAAAAACAGCTTTATTATTATTATTAATGATATATTATTTACTACTAATTGAAACTTTCCACGTATAATAATCTACATTATCATGTAATTGATCCAAAAACTCTTAGACTAGCCATAAAATTATTTAATTTGTAAATCAAATAAATCTGTGATTATAATTGAATTGATTTTTAAAAGTGTTTTGCATACACTATCAGTATGTATGTATAGGAAACTGCATGGGACCTAGTAAAATTAATAATGGTAAACTCTACTCAGTCCTTTTGTAGGACTGAGTGGACTCCAATTCAGACAGTAATCATAAAAATGTTTAACAAAATAGATGACCACAGGGCGAGAGTATAATTTGTTAACTTCCAATATGATTACAGACAGAATTGGATGGCACAAAGTACTGTTACCAATTAATCTTAACCTTTAAAATCCCTTCCCTCCCCCCCCTAAAAAAAAAAATTAATTAAAAAAATAAGGCAGCTAATGCACCAATCACATTTGAGAAAATGTTAATGGTTATGATTAAGGATTTAATACCATGTGTGTTTTTAGAAGTTGCAGAAATTTCAGCTGTCTTTTTCCTTCAACAGAGACAATCATCCTAAGGTCAATGTTTTCTCTGAATCTGCTGTCAGTTGATACTCCCAACCCGTACCAATGATAAAGTAAATTACAGTATAAATTATTTCTTCACAGAGCTCTCAAGTTAATTGGCTAGTAGAGAGTGAGGGCTAACGCTCAAAATGTCAGCTTTTAAACTCTTTGCAGTAGCCAATTTACATTTTGTAACTAAGTTGATAATACTAATTAAAATTACCCTATGATAATCTTAGTTGAGTGAGGTGCAGTGAAATTTTGGCAACCAGTATGTTTTGATGTGAGCAAACTCACGTAACTGGCTCTGTTTCCAGTGGTAACATGTTTTTTGATCTCTTTTGGCAAGATTTCAAGTTTGATGAACAATAAATAAAAACAATAAAAACTTCCCCATGACAATACAATTATTTTAAGGTCAAAACCCTGTCAGCAGATTATTACCCCACCTCACCCAACTGAAAATCATAATTATAGTGGGGTTCTACTATCAGCTGACCTACATAGCTACACATGGAGAATTAGGCAACTTTCTAGTGAGCTCTCAGTGTTCCCTGAGGAAGAATCTACTAAAAAAAATAGTATGCATGAAATATATGGTCCAGCATTATATTACCACAAACTACTTTTTTAATTAGTTCAAGGCATGCTGAGCTGCCAACACTACTTAATTTTCCAGTCATGCAGAGACCATCACTATATCTCCTATCCTTACAACCCCTATCCTATCTCCATCAAGGGCAAACTGTACTCCAAAAAGAGGAGCTTTTCCCTGCCTGGGATCTCTGTCCTCAGGGAGCCTTATCCTGTGAAAAGACACATTGATTAAAGCAGTTACTTGCCATGATCCCCTCATAATTTGTTATTTAACTTGTATCAATGTAATTTGATATTATCAATCAGGTAAACATAAATTGGCCACATTTTGAGCATTAGCCCTTCCTCCTTCATCCTTTGCTCTGATGAAGGGCTTAACACTCAAAACATTAGCTTGGATACTTTTTACAGTGGCCAATTTAAGTTATCAATTTGGTTCATAATACCAAACTACTTTGTTATACTCTCCCACAGTTTCTTTAGAAACTTACCCCCTTTATCAACTTGTACCCAGAACTGCTATCTACTTTTCATAGTCATGCTATCAAGCTGTGGCCAATGGCTTTTGACTGAAAACAATTTTCCCAATATGAAATTGGCTTTTACAAGAAGCCAATTGGTAAAACTAAAATAGAAAACCAATTTTCCTAAGATGAGCTCACTGAGCTTTTTTTCTGATGCATCCTCAAGAAACTTTTTTCTAAATACAATAAAAAATTTTCTCTCAGCAAAAGAAATTTTGCTGACTCTCTGGCCAAGGGTAACTGTTAAATAGCAGTCAACAAAGTAGAGGACAAGCAATACGTACCTTTATTAACAAGTAAGAAATTACCTTTGCAGAGTAGCTAAGGGTTCATTTCCTTCTTTTTCTCCTGTTGCAGGGTTTACAGTTGTCAATGAACATCTGGGAAAAAAAATCATTTTAAACATTTTAATATTTTAATCAAATCTCTAAGCTTTCAAATTATGCCATTGATTAAAAGACTGGAAATTCTCAAACTGTAAAATCTGGATGTCAATGGATCAGGACTACTTCTTGGAGACATCACTCACTCACCTTCCACAGTTCTTCAGAAATCTGAATTCTACATCCCCTATCTTAATTATCTTTTTTGTCCACTTATCCTGTGGAAAGAAAAATAGAACATGGATCACCTTTTAATATATTTACTGTATTTATTTAAATAAGAGCTCAACCTTGGGTAAGTGCCCACCCTCTCAGTAGTAAAATCTTATGGGTGCCCAGCCTTGAATAAATGCCAAACTCCCTATCCCCCTATCCCCCAACTCTCCCCCCCCTCCAAAAAAAAAAAAAAAAAAAAAAAAAAAAAGCTGAAGTGCATGAGAGACTGGGTTACACGTCACAAGTTTGTTGTACATCTTAAAATTTTGTTATTACTCGTCGTTTCATTGCAAAATAATTTACCACTTGCTGAAAATGGTGAGAATTTTATAAGCACCCAGCCTCCAATAAGCTCCCAACTTAAATAGGCACCCACTCTGGATCTCAAGCTCTATAGATTTAATAAGTGCTCAAGGCGCTACAGTGGTAGCATTAATTTCTTTCACAAGAAATATGAGATGGAACACAGACCTCATCGTATGCCTTCAAACCGTCAACCACAACATTTGGACGGAATCTTTCCATAGTAACTGGTGATGGAAGTACTCCATTCAAAGCTACAAGTGATTGTTCAGTTGTAATCATGAAAGGAGAAAAATTTCCAAATGATGCCTTGGTTAAGGAAAAAAGGAAGAGAAAACAAAATGAGGAATACATTGACAATTGAAACTTCTCACAACTCTAAAATTCCTCCATGTTTGCATGACATTCATTTGCTGATATGAATTATGAAAGAGGTAAAAGTTTTTACTTTCCTTTTGACAGTGATCCAATGCCATAACTGACTTCTTCTTAAGCATAATTTTATAATAGATATACATCAAACCCAAAGAATGTTATCATCTTAAGTCTTCTTGGCCCTGTGACCTTGAAAGCCTACTAATAAACTTTACTCTGACTGACTGTTATTTATGTATCTTGAAGTGATGTGAAGTCTTGTTATTTCCCTTTCACATGAACAGAATAATCAGTGCAGCTGTAATTCAGTCCATCCCAGTTATTTCCCAAGTGTGCCTAAAAGTTTACTGGCACCATTATTTGCAAATTTACACTCTTGGATGAAAAGAAGCCTCGCCAGAGTAACATGTCCTCTTAATAAAGAGTAATATCAATACGGTAGCTGGGCCAGGGCTAAAATCTCCCTCCCCATCCTTTCCCCCTTGCATGGGTTTTCACTTAAAAAAAAAAAAAAAAAAAAAGTAACAGGAGGATATGCTAAAAGAATGAATAGAAAATAGTTTGCTTGAGGCTGTAAAGATTAAATCAGAGTTTTCTGACTTAAGACCACCTGATTTTAAACTTAGGGTGTAACATTACACATAATGTTAAAATTACCTTGTCTCCTGGCAAAGCAACATCACCCCACTTTTCATCCTCACAGATTAACTTAGGCTGAGAGAGTTTATACAACTTGCATCCAGGTCTTTTCAAATAACTTGAGAACCATTCAGCAGCTTCATCTCCAACATACTGACCTCCTCCATAAACCCTATACACCCTGAAAAATTACAGAAATGTAAAAATTGGCTTGGATACTACCTGCACAGACACCACATTTGAGTCTTTTCTAACAGGTTAGTATATTTATCTGATCTGCCAACCTTTATGAACCTGGAATCTGCCGATAGAGTCAATATTGGAACACATCCCTATTCTCACCTAACCCCCACAATTCTAATTCTTGATTGCTCTATGCCAATCTCTTCCCAAAAAAGAAAATTAATTGTTTTCGTATCCAGTCCAAAAACAAACAAAGTCCCACCATCCTTGGACAAAGATGTAGTTTTTTGATAGGGATAACTTCAAATCTATTTTATTTTTAAATTACCTCGTCTCTAAATATCCATATTTACCTTAATTTACATGGTAAATTTCAAGAAAATTGTCAAGGTGATAGGAAGACTGGCTTTTGATCGAGGCAACATGCAGGTTATCCAGGAGATGAAGTATACATGACCATTAAAATTCTAATCTAAACTGGTATAGAAGAGACAGCATTTTGTAGTCTGCAAACACCTTTTGAAATTTCTTTGCCATTTTCCAGTCATGGAAACATGTTTTGCAAATTAAATATTGTTGACTCTCTTTCATAAGAATTGTTTTCCTTCTGCTTATATACAGAATGTTTGGTAATCTCAATTAGAATTTTACAACTGACACTTCTCTTGGACTACAGTTTCTAAGTCAAATTGAGATTAAGAGTGTTTATTTCTGCTAAGTATTAACTAGTAATGAAACTGTACAACTTAACTGCAAAGACTATCCTATTATCTATGTAAAAAGGAATGTTCAACTAAAACTAAAAACTGTGCATGCTAGATGACTCACCGTATCCTCTTGGACTCCTGTTGATTTTCTGGTAAGTCTATATTCAGCTTCAAGGTTTTCATTCCAGGGGCATCAAGACAAAGATATTTTCCACCTTCAAAATGAGGAACAACCAAAGCCAGCTTTGGATCTACCCGTTGAGAAATAAAAATATCATTCTCATCCAAAAGAATCCAACGCCTATAAAAAAAAATAATCAAATCAAATCATCATATGTAGCAGTCACAGTCAGGTGACAAGAAACCATTACAGTCATGTGACAAGTTGATGCTTTACTTAAGCTGCTTCCAAGAGTGCAAGGATATATCTTCAAAGCCTTGGGAGAATGGGGGCCTAGAGCTAGAGTAAATGGTCGAGAAAAAGTGGTTCACAAAAATATTATCATTGTAATGTGGCATAACTAGGAGTTTTCAAAAGGTGGTGGTGGTGGGGGGGAGAGGTGGGGGAGGAGGGTCACAGCCATAAATCACTATCATGCACTTTTATAACATAGCTTCCCCCAATGCTCTGCCTTGGGTGAAGGAAGGTTGGTATTTGTGATGAGAAGGACTTCAAAATTGAGTATCTAGCTTGGGAGCATTGGAGAATATTTATCTTGTGCAGATTCTCTGGAGTCACGAATTTTCACCTGAATTAAGGGATTTGTACGTTGTTCACTTATAAGGGGAAAAAATGTATTTGCTCAAAAAGGTAGATAATGGGCACCTCGGTTCCCCTTAAGCTAAGTCTCTGTTTTACGTAGTATGTCCCAAATGCCAGACAGATGCTTCTATATTTTTTTGGTCCCCTAGACTGAAGGATTAATTGAAAACATCCCAATAATGTGCGCAGCCGAAGGATTTCATTAAGAAAAAATTGCGATGCAAATAGGCGAAAAACAGGATCAACCATGATAGTAATCCACTGAATTCGAATCAAATTGATACAGTCTTTTCCCCACTGAAATGTTCCGTAAGAAAATTTGACACTGGAAATACGTGCCCTAAATCACGCAACCCAAACTAAAATCACGCGAAGACATAAAACACACGCAACCCAAACTAAATAACCTCGTTCTGGGCTTATGTCTCTTTCTTTCTGGTCCTTGTGAGCTGTTTCAGTGCTCATTTAGATGATTTTTGCGCACGCAGTTCCGTTTCTTTGGCTTTTTTTCTTTGTATCGTAACTTTGGACACAAGCTAAGCCAGGCTTACCTATCATATTCCATTCCTTCTTTGAAGCACTTTGCATTATCCACGCGAATTCCTTTGCAAGATTTCACGGGATAAATGATCAGGCTAGAAACACGACCCACTTCTGTATAAGACCTCTCTCTCTTTTCCCGTTGCCACCACAATGCTGCAATACCCGCCAGGGCCACCACGGGCACAGAGATCAACAAATATTTTGAGAAAGCCGCCATATTTTCAACTTTATGACCTTGGCTTAGTAACCAAGCGCACCTCTTCAAAACAATAATGGCGTCGGATTTGTCTCTGGAACCTGCAGAAAAGAAAGCCAGATTGAATAATATAAGTGAGGGATTACTTGGTAAGAACTCCAAAGTGAAATATCAGTAAAATATCACCTTCGATTTTACACTGATCAGTTTCTGTCCTCATCCATTGAAGAAAATATGAAAGAAGGAGTAACATTTCCTCGACCTGTTCTGGCAAATGAGTACACGCGCGATTTTCAAACAGGTATGAAGCGGAACTGCTCTCGATTCTTTGCCTCATCTGCTTCGTTGACTAAATTCATGTATTTGGAAATTTTCAGTGCAAGTTTACGCAGCTGATGTAACGGACAAAACACAAACATCGCAACTGATAAGGTAAAAATAAAAAACGAATTTAAAAAAAACATACGAGTGCTAAATTTCCGCGCGGATTTTTCGATTTCTTGCGATTTTCCTCCATTATTTGATTTTGTTACGTTAATAGACAAAATTTTTATGTCTCAGAGATTTAAATGAAATATTGCCATTGAAGGAATTAGGACATTTAAGACGAGTGCGATGCCACAAAGTCAACGACGGTAAGTTATGACTTTAATGAGGCAGCCGTGAAATTCCCACTCACTTTGTAATATAAGTAGATTAAGATTTCAAATTGAATTAGATATTTATGACTCAAAATGTTTCCTACGTTCATAGAAAGTATAGAAGGAGCCATTTTTTGAAAAACGGCCATATCATTCTATGTGTGAATGACATTAACATACACAAAAGGGATTTCTATGATAAATTTCTTGCACATAGTATGTGATCTCCCATATGGTCTAGCGGTTAGGATTCCTGGCTTTCACCCAGGCGGCCCGGGTTCGACTCCCGGTATGGGAACGCGATATCTTTTTCATTTCGCATGATTTTTTTTAAATATGTATTTCTTCTATTTCACCAATTCTTTTAAATTCTTTTTTCGAAATTTTATTATGAAAATTACGTTTTCTTATCAACCTTTTTTCAAATTTCAGAATCACTTCTACAAATAATCTTATTTGTAAGGAATGAGGTAACAGCAGACAATTCATTTACTCAACTTATACAACAAAACAAGACAGCAGCAAATTTTCTTGGGGAGCCCTTTGTGGCTAATGTGGCAAAACATCCACCTTTGACTAGAGAGCAGTTTAACCAAGCATCTCTCCTTTGGCCTGTCAATTTTCATGAAGACAAATAGTAAGTTATTAATTAATATTTGGTTATTTAAAATCATGGAATGGCCTGATGTGTTAGCTGTGTTATGTATATTCAGAAACCCCTATTCTATTTCTTATTCATCAGATAAAAATATAAGAATATTTTGTGGCAAATTTTTTCTATATTTTAGAATAGTACATTATTAAACTTTTGAGTTTATTGTCTGGATTTTTAAAGTTACATATGATTTGAGATCAAGCAGGCTTGTGACTAGCATATTATTCCTTCTGACAATATCACCCCTGAATCAAATATCAAGGTCACAAGAATAAAAGAAATATCACCAACTGAGGAAGCTCTTGATTGTTAAACAAGTTCTCCTTGTCAGCACCTCAGGAATGTATAAAGAACAGTATAGAGAATATGCATGCTAATGTTAGGGTGTAAAAGGTTAAATTTCCTGTGAGAGTTGTTTTGCTGGTAAACCAAGACCAGGCATCTTTTATTGTTCAGAGAAACAATTAAGATTTTAGATGGGCAATTACTATGCCCTTTTGGAGACCTGATGCATTTGTCTTCTATTTATGGTTTGATATAAAAGCAGTGAATTTCTGGGCACCTTAGAGGCTGTTAATAAGATCCTATAATTCAGTGCACAGCTGTGGCCTGGTAAAATATATCTCTATGTAAACTGCATTTAGTGTTGATCTTCTTCATTTACTTTGAAAATGTTATTTAGTGTTTCAAGAGCATTAAAAGGGGAATTATTTAACAAAGATGAAGTGGCATTGATTGAAAAGTTCATGAGAATGGCAATAGTGGAAACACAGAATATGACATCCAGAAAGGTAAGATTAAAAGAGAACATGAGTCATTTTCATAACCAGTGATACATCATTATCTCAGGTGAGGATCAAGACATCAGTATCTCAGGTGAGGATCAAAGTGTTTGTTTATTTACCCATCTAAAACTCAGTTCCTTGTTCAGATATCTTCCAGCTCCAGTCCCAGGATGTTCCTTCAATTAATGACTAAATCAAATTATTGTTCAGTGCATATTGCTTACTAGTTTGCCCTTGTTCAATAAATTAGTCAGACATTCAACAACTTTGAGATGTTAATCCAGAAGTTGTGTTGGAGTGGCTGCTTTGATTTTGCAGATAGCCTCTTCTTTGTTATCATAGTGTTGAGACTAGGAGAGACATGACTGATGTAAATTTTAGATATTGGCTCCTGATCACATCACCTTTTTTATCTAGTCATTCTGGAAGTACTTTTAGTGCTCATGGGTTTTGTGAGTTTCTCAGGAATCCTGTATAGTGGCTAGTGTCAGAATGTCATTGTGTAAACTTTCTTTTTTATTATCCTCATACAAACAAGCTAACATAAATCTCTGAATCTTTTATTAACAGTTTCCTATTGGAGCTGTGATTGTTGATCCACAGAAGAACCAGCCTATAGCTGTGTGTCATGACTTAAGATGTGCAGGACACCCACTCCAACATGCTGTCATGGTTTGCCTGGATCTAGTGGCACACAGTCAGTCATCAGGTGCTTGGAAACTTGACTGCCAAGAGGTAAATGAAACATGGAAATTGAAAGAAAAAGGATCACAATTACAGCAAAGAACTTGCTGCTTTTGTTCTAAAAATGATTCTAAAGACTGCAGCCCAATGGAAAAAGGTTCAGTGGGTGAGAGATTTATTCATTATGGTGAGCTGTGCAACTCGCTGAAAAATGCTGACAACAAATGCAAGTCATTGCCTTATCTATGTACTGGATATGATCTTTATGTTACAAGGGAACCTTGTGCTATGTAAGTATATGACATTTTTTAGAGATATTCAACTTAAATAAAGACATGCAAATCCTAAGAGAGAACCCAGAGCTTGTCTTTGTACCTCACTTTTGTCAGATTCATTATCAGCTTTAATATATATATATAAATATATATGTATATATATATTAAAGAGAAAAAAAAATTTATACAAAGCAACCTCTTTCAGGTGTAAATGTACCTATGCACTCCATATTTCACAACCCTCTTGTGAACTTTGGGAAAATTTATTTGCCTAAAAATTGTGAGTTATTTCACCCTGACTCCCATGAGTGACCAAGAAACAGTTTCTCCCAACAATGTCAAAACAATATAAAGCATACAAGTGATGAGAATGAAGAAAAATATAAATTAGGGGATTATTAGTTGATTCAATGCCCAATCATCTCACTTAACTTTACAAGAATTATAAGGTAGACAGATAAAAGATCTTGGGCATGAATTGAACAGGTAAAACTTAAATGTTTCTGTCTCTATTTTGTTACATGACCCACAGTTTGTTAGAATCTTATTTGTCTATTCCTTTCCAAGGTGTGCAATGGCATTGGTGCACTCAAGAATCAGACGGGTTTTCTATGGTTGTAGTGACAATAAAACTGGTGCTCTAGGCAGCAGATATAAGATTCACACTCAAACTGGACTTAACCATCATTATGAGGTGTTCTGTGGAGTGCTGGAGGATGAGTGTAGAGCTTTATTTGAGAGAACTCCTTCTTAGCAAATCAGTCGCATGCAAGTGACAGAAGCTGTGACACCCCAGGACTCCTTAGAGTCATGTCCCATGCTTTGCTGAGTTTTAACTTAGTTGAGTTTTATTGAGTTTTAATGGTTAAAAGTTTTTGTTAATTGAGAAGATGAAAGTTACCACTTAAGTGATTTTGTCTGCTACTGGAACAAAAACTTGGTCTTAAGATAAAAAATTTAAAATTTTGCCATACATTTTTTCAACACAAAACATTGTTCTTTTCTTTTTCTTTTCTTAATTTTTTTTTTTTGTCACCATAAAAAATAGTTAAAATTTCTTTTTGAATGATAACATATCAAAATGAAAAATTCCAAATTCATGAAAGCAAAGTGAAATTATTAAGCAGAAGGGACATTCATGCATTCATGTGATGTTTAATTGTCAAAACTGTACTAAAATTTCATTTTGTCCGGTAGTCATACTATTGAAAAGTGTCTCAATCTTTTTCATCTAAAAAAAATTGCCTTCTGTGGATAGTACCCATGTAAAAAAAAAAAAAGGAAGCAGTTGAAGGAGAAGAAGGAAAGAAAAGCCTACGCTGCTCAGACATCTTTTTACTACACAAATAGAGTACTTAGCCTATATTCGCAGCTTTAATTACTTTCGAGTATGAATTATTAATTGTGTCAATATCGGACAAAAGCCATTGAGGGAACTGGCAATAATGTGACGTCATACATTCCGAGTCTCTACTGCATTACACGGTAGGTTATCGGGCTGTTAAAGATAATTTACCCGGTTCAAAGTTCTTTATCGTCTTGTAAACGATTCGGGAGATATTGTAAAGAATCTCAGTCACTCGAGGAACTTGTGAGGTATTGTTAAGTGCCATTTTGTGGTGAAACATTTTTATATTTTCAACGAAAATATGTACAAGAACTACGGACACTACGTGTTGGCCATTTCAGCGGCAATTACAGTTCTGATTTCTCTGTGGACTTCGCACACGAACGCTGTTCCTTTGAATGGAACCAATATTACAGGGAATTTTTCATCTGTGAACACGACATCTAGAAATAATAATTCTTCGCTGCAGAATTCAACAGCTGCTAACTCGATGACTACGTGTAATGCCACAATTTCCAACTGCACGACGCAGAATTCTACTTTGCAGGGCAACGGAACTGTGGTCTATGTCCAAGTTAATTTGACAAATGTATGCGAGTCAAATAGAACTCAGCGTCTCTTACCATGCAACGGGACAGCGTTAAATCTCACAAAACACTGTGAGATTGCTAAAGCTGGTAATTTATCGCTTGTTTGCAGAAATGGAAGTGTCATAAATAGTTCCTTTATCGCTGATCTGGTTTCTAATGCAACAAAATCTTCCATCACATCAAACAACACAATTAATTCTGGAAATCGCACTATCGAAAATATAACATCCTCGATTAACGCCACTACAGCGACGCCATCGATTCAAACTCCAAATGGGACTTTAACAAATGGATCGCTAGTTAATGGCACCTCTTCGCAAAACGCCACAGAAGGGAATGTCACCACAACTTCAAGCTCGATCTCCGTTAACGCTTCCGCTAATGCTACCGTTGCTGCACCAACTACAACAAATTTGGAGGGTGCAATCTCAAACGCAACGGAATCTCCGACAACTAAGGCACAAGAAGGCAACGAAATATCGAGTACAGCAACTCAGCAATCGACAACTACGGTAACTAAAGCGGAAGAGACAACTACCGAAAAATCAACTACTCCAAGTACCACAGCGAAGGAGACAACTACCGAAAAATCAACTACTCCAAGCACTACAGCGAAAGAGACAACTACCGAAAAATCGACTACTCCAAGTACTACAGCCGAGGAGACAACGACCGAGAGATCGACAGCATCTATCACCACTCAGGAAGCCTCGTCTCCTCCAAGCGCTAAGGAAACTACCACAAAAGAAAGCACAACTCAGACCACCACAACCAAGGAAACAGTGAAAACAGTCCAGACTACTACGACAACACAAGAATCCTTGCAAAGAACAACTTCTTCGAAAGATGATCAACAGCATTCGTGTAAGTTTTTAATTTCCTTTTTTTAATTCAGAGGTTGTTAAATGAGAAAACGTTTCAAGAACACCAGATCTTTCAAAATTGACGACAACAGGAGAATTACCTAAAATAACGACTGTCAAATATGATGGTTAAAAGTTATGTTAATTTGTATGACAGCTTTGCAGACACCTGCAACTCATTTTACATTTAAGTCCGGGTTTATGCAGTACATTTACAATGGAAATCTACAGTAGAAGCAAACAATTTTCGTTGTGATATTGAGTTGCACTGCATTTTCTACAGAATGCAGATATCAATGATATTAGTGTCAATATCAGTAAAAAATAGTCAAGTGGAGGAGTAGGAAGATAGCAAAATGTGGTTTTGGAGACGTTTTTAGCCTTTGGTCTCTCGGAGATTTACTTAAGTAGTGATAACCGCACAAACACTAACAAGGTATAAAAGTTGAATTCATTGCAAATAAGCACTGCATGTAGGAATATACATGTTACATTTCCACCCTTGAGTGAAAAACTGTGCATATTGCTACTAAAATGTTAGCCCTAACAGAAGGGTTGTAGCAATTCACAAGAAGTCTGATTCACTAAATATGCGGCCAAAGTTTTTTGGTTGCTACCACAACAGCATGTCCATGTAATTGGTAGGAATGAATTTTTAAGCAATGTTAGCTGTCCAAATACATTTAAACTAAACCAATTAAAAGGGAAGAAATTCAAACAGATATAACTTGTAAGAATGATTGTAATGGTGGAGATGATAATAAATAATAGAAATGACAACAATAACAATAGTATTTATAATATTTGTAATGGCAATATTCACAGTAACAAGAGCAGTTGAAATAATGAACTTAGTTGTTTTGTAAATCAATGTACAGTAATAGCAGGTAATTTAGTGTTAACAACTGAGTTGAAAACATAAATGAAACCGTAAAGGGTAAAAAAAGCTGAAGTTTCAACATTTCAAGATGAAGGGCTAACACTCGAAATGTCAGCTATATAACACTAAATTACCTGCTATACTCTCCCATTGACACAGCACCACAGTTTCTTTAGAAACTTACCCCCTTTATTTAATGTACAGTAATGTCAATTGTGGTAATAAAATGTTGATAGTTTGTTCAGTATTTTAGTCAGTCCTTTATAGAACTAATTTGATCACTTTAACTTTAACATGAGTTAGTTGCATTAACGAGAGTGCATGTACTATGTTTCTGCTATTATATTTTGGCACAGACTCAGTGGTGACGTTTCAATACAGTTGTCATCTGCCTTTTTTAATGTTGCTTATTACTTCATTCCCTCTAATTTGTTTTTTTCTTAATCATTGATGAAATGTTTATGTTATTTTCTCTTTCAGTGCCATCTCCTTTGGATGATGAAAAGGTATTTTCAGTGATAATTTCTATGTAATATTCAGTATTTATTGTAATTGAATAATTAATTACCTTAGCCAATATTAATAAGAGTTGTTGTATTCTTTTCCTCTTAAGCTAGCTTGACATAATTTCTTAAGTAGCTTCTTAAATTGACTAATCATTTTCAATAATTTCTTTACAGAGTGTGCAATTTTTCTATGTTAATGTGCTCACCCCAATTGGTGCAGGAGCCTGTGCAGCACTGCTCATTGCATTCCTGGTTGTGCTGTGCAGATGTTGCCGTCGACGAAAGCTAAAGAAAGTGCGCTACTTTGGAAAGGTAATTCATTTCCAAACTTAAGTTTTTAATGGGTTTCAAAATGTTAAATGGTTATGTCCATAGCTCCTCCTGGAGCAAAGACCATCAATGATCTCCATTCTCCACCCTGTCCTGTCCTGGGCTAGCCTTTCAAAGTTGGTTGAGGTGTGGCCATAATGTTTCATCTTAGCCTGAACATTTTTCTGCAAGGTGTCTTTAGAGCATTTCAACATGGAATCCTTCATTCCTTGTCACTTGTGTGGTGTTTTCACAAGAAGCTGTTTTAAATTAGTGCTGTCTTGAATTAATGATTGGTTGAGAAGTGCCTGTAACCTGTGATTGACTATCCTCTGATTCAGAGAAGGGAAGAAGCTGTGAAATATTTTTCAAAGCATTTTGAGCTCACTTTGAAAGTTAGAGTACTGGCACAGCATTAGTGTCTTAAAATAGAGTTGGCTGAATGTGGAATCCCAGAGTTTGTCTGTGAGTTTAGAGGAACTTTCCTCCTAGAGAGTGTCTGTAATAGGTAAAGAAAACATAACCAGTTGTGGCTGTTTTGTGGGACTTTAAATAGTAGGAAACACTTACACCTGAATTATTTTAGAGTTTTTATGGTATAAATGATTTATTATTGTGGAGATTAAGCATGCAAGCTGTTACCATCTCAAATTAATCTGTCTCTTTGGGTATGGTTTAGTTTATCATTTCCAGAAAAGAGAATCAAGAATCTGTGTAAGGTGAAACATTTGTGTAAATGTACCTTAAGTGTCTTTTTCATTTTATGTCTTTACAGGCTCCAGGACATGTTAACATGGATGAGTTGAATTTGCTTTCACATTCCAGTGATGAAGAGTGATTAAGTTCCTCTTGGGTCCTTCTCCATAATTTACCTATTTTCAGAAAATCCACCTTCACTAAAATCTAGAGCAGTCCAGCTCGACTGTACAATTTTATAATGGCTACACTGGATGTAAATTTTTTCCACTACAATTCTTTTGGAAAGAAGTTTTAGTGATGCAGAGTTTTTGACAAACTGGAAGCTTTCTCAGTCCATCAAAGTTTACCCAGGGTTGTCAAGGTTATGCATTAAATTATATGCATGGAAATCTCAGGAGGTTAATAAAGTGGAAGTCAGTGATTCTTGCCAGCCTTTATCAACAGGAACAGTTTGGTTAAGACTAAAGAATCTTTTAAGCTAACTTATTGCTTGTTAGCAGAAGCACAATAGCATATACCAAGAATTCTGGCTAATATTCCATGATGTGTTTGGTACAAGAGAACACTTGTTATTGAGCTAGTACGTTTTTATACTGCAGTGAGTGAACAATAATTGTCAATCAACCACCACCTATGAAAATAGATTTTGTAAGTAAAATGGCTTTGAAATAATTGAACCGTTTAAGCTCTCTTTTGCAACATTTATTTGATTTAACAGCAATTTAAATCAAAATGATGATGATGAGGAAGGTTTTGATGCAGTGTTCCAGTTTTCACAATATGATTCATCAGTATTTATACATGTATAACAATTTTATTCTTGTTGATTGAACCATATTTAACTGTAAAATAAACATTTGAAGTAATAAAATTACAATGGAGTAATCTTGATTAAAGTGTTGATCAACCTGCAAATTCTTAAAGGGGGTAAGTTTCTAAAGAAACTGTAGTGCTGTGTCTGTAGGAGAGTATAGCAGGTAATTTAGTGTTAACGACTGAGTTGAAAACGTAAATTGGCCACCGTAAAGGGGAAGCGTTAGCCCTTCGTTAGAGCACGAGTCATGCTTAGCTAGTTCCAGGCCTTCAGTCAGTAAAAATTATGTTTATGAAGAGTTAAGGGTTGAAGCTGTTCCTCAAGTTAGTCCCGGAATAAAGGTTTCAGTTTTACGTTTTAATTCTGTATCAGCCCAACAAATGTTTTGTGTTGAACCAAGGCACAATGGCGACATAGCGAGATCTGATATCTTGTTGATTTTATGTGTAAAGCTTTAATTTATACGAGACAATTTGGTTTTGTTTACTGAATTGATAATGTTCGAGCGTAGCTCTTGATCAGAGCTTTCGCTCTGACAAAGGGCTAACGATCAAAATATCAGCTATGGATGGTCTTTACAGTTACAAATTTAGATTATCAACTCAGTTGAATGAACCAACACCCCACCGACGCAAAACCCCAGTATCCCTGGAAACCTACCCACTTTATGTCTTTATACGACTCCGTTGAACTGGTAATATCTCGCTTTATTAATTGGCCGTGAAAATGCGAAACTAGAGGATGTAACATTCCGGTTGCCAAAAGCACTGCTCTCGATAAGCCCATCGCCGTCTTCACCGTTTTACTCGTTTATATCAAAATATATGGACCAAAGACAAAACAATCAGGGTCTTAGTTGAATATGTGGGCATGCATGCATGCAAAAATAGTTCGAAAAGTGATTTGAATTTATTAAATCGCAGTATTACTGCTCACAAGTCGGCCGTCCAACTATTTTTCATCAGAAAGACAGCTATATTGTGAGCAGATCTTCAAAGTCCATGATAATTTCTTCACAGGACACTGCACAGTGAATAAAATTAAAAATAATCTTAAACTTGGAACTTGTCTATTGGATGTCGCTCAGTGAGAGCAAGAAAATACGAGTTGTGTTTGACGATGATAACTTACAATAACGTGGCAAAATCATCATAATCGGTAATTCAGAGACTGAGCAACACAGAAAATATTTTCCAAAGTCAATTAATTCTTAAGATGCGCTTGCTGTTTGCAGTTTATTTCATCGCAAGTGTCCTTGCGCCGTTCGCTGTTTTAAGCGACGCCAGACAACAGTCATGTACCGCTAGTCACTGCGGTGAGATCACCAAAGCCATTAGGACGCTTGGAACAAAAGTGAACAATCTTATTGCAATGGTAAAGGACGCTTTGCCTTCGAAGCCTACAGGTACTTTTCCGATGATATTTTGGGATACGGCGTTTAATGTTTTCATGATTTCTCAACACGCTCAGATCTTAAAATGGCGGTCTTATTTCTCTCACAGCCAGTCCCTTCTCCTCTTGCAAGGAACAGTACCACATAGGAAGGTAAGTACAGAGCAATCTGTTATAATTGCAAGATTCCAAATCACTTGCTTGATGCGTATACACATGCCATTTTGGTAGATATAAGGACTCTGCGTTTGCGTACAAGCTGACTAAATTTTTTTTACTTCCTCTTTTTACATAAGATCGAGACGAAGCCAAGTATACCCGCTAAAGTTTGGTTCACAAAAGATCCCTGTTTACTGTCACATGGGAAACTTTGGATGTGGGGATGGAGGATGGACACTAGCCATGAAGATCAATGGCGCGAAGGTTAACTCCCTCCCTCCTTTAAGAACCTCTCGTTATTACTGAAATTCACAAGGGCAAATCAAAAATGTAATTCTTTTTTTTAAGAGAACCTTCCATTACGATTCCAATTTCTGGAGGAACAGAAATGCCTATAACTTTTTTGGAGGCAGGACTGGCTTTGACTCACAAGAGACCAAGTTACCAACCTACTGGAGCACACCCTTCTCCAAGATCTGCCTCGGTATGAAGATTGGTTATCAGCTCAGGTTCATTGTCATCAACAGGCACGCCAACTCACTGTACTCACTGATCGCTGATGGGAAATATCGCGCCACCTCACTGGGTCGTAACAAGTGGAAGACATTGATTGGTTCGCAGGCCTCATTGCAGACCCGCTGCAGTAAGGAAGGATTCAATGCAGTGGGAAGCGACCCTCGTCATTCCAAAGCAAGAATCGGCATCATTGCTAACCAGGAGAATAACTGTGATTCCTGTGACTCCCGAATTGGTTTTGGCACAGGGGGTAATCATGATGACTCAAACACATGTGGAAATCAGGCAACATACTCCCCTGATAATGGACACAAGCACATCAAAGCCATGGGGTACATCCTGGTACAGTAATAGGGGACGCAGTTTAACCTCCCAAATTTTAAGCCGAGAAGCCATAATGAAGAAGAAAATGTCGTGTCCTAAAGCTTAAAGGTTAATAAAGCAATGAGTTTAACCTTATATTCTTCTCTGGTTAGCTTTTTTCTAATATAATTTTTTTCAATGAAATTCAGAGGAATTCATTTTAGCAAAGCCAATTCAGGAATTGTTTACGAAGTAAATATTGGCAAAGACGCCATATTCGATGTTATGATACATCCACGTCGTTGACTGTGAGCGAATCAAGGAAGTGTAACAGAAGAGAAGAAGCACGGAAAATGTGACTTCCTTCATGTTTTTTTTTCTTTCACGCGTTACTCCTTACGCTCACCTCACGCATCTTTCTGCTCGAGTGAAAAACTTAAAAAATGACGCCAGTTCTACAAAGTAACCAGCAGCCCACGGACGTTAACGATTTTTATAGAAAATAATCAGCTCAGATATGAGAACTAACAGAATGCAAAAGTAATGCCCTCCCGAAGTATTGCTTATCTTTCTCGCTTTCACCAGAATGACCAAAGTTTTGTGTACCATTTGAGAGGTCAGTCTGTAAGTTAAATATGATTAATAATTGTAAGCTCACCATTCGAACGGATTTCTTTCCTGAATATTTCCAGAGGTCATGACTTCCCTCACCAAAATTTCAGATATCCTCCGTTAAATTCGAAAAATTGGCTTAAAAAGATCAGTACGATCTCATCTCGTGATGTCATCGGCTTTTCTACTCGAGCCGCGTAAATCGGTCCAGATTGGTTTAAAGTTCAGATCATGGGGAAGAGATAAAATCAGGAAGTAACGGACATTTTAAAAAACCGATGGAGAAGAATGCCACAAAACTATCTTTTTCTGTCTGTAATTACACGTTTAGCTCGCGATTTTTGGATTTTATGATTCTAGGGAAACAAAAGTTACACCAACACCACTCTTAAGCCAAACTGTTCATGAGATGGTGTCAGTTGTCTCTTTTCGCAGACGCACACGTGTAATGAAAAAAAAGGAAACGAAAATCCAAAATTGCACTATTTCATCATAGAACTAGCATGATGAAAGTTAGCCATTGGTATCCTTATCTTCGGCAGGCCACCAAATTTGGCAATTTCGTGATGTTGTTTCAAAAGGATGTTAATTTTATCTATCACAACCTATTAGATCCCGTACAACCATTTTTTGCCTTTCTTCAGTCTTTTGAGAACTGTAGCAATTAAATGAACAAACTCATCTGGAAAATTTTCAATTCATTAATCGATATATCATGAAAGCATGATTGAAAACTATTGCTCTTTCTTTTCTTTCCTTTCTGGGGTAAACTTCATGGCAGTTCTCAGGCCCTTCCTAATAGTCTCCTGGTTACGACTCCGACAATTCGATAGGATTTCACTGGAACCTAATCGACGGAGTTGTGAGAGATAACGATATTTTTCTTCCGTTTCTTTGTTTTGATTTTCACCCGATCATATCGCTCTGCTCTTTTGATTACGACTGCAATCGAATGTATAATAAAACCTCTGGAAGTGTTGGCTTGATGCAGCCTTTGGATCACAGAGGGTTCAATCTTAATAAACGCGGGGTGCTGACCACAAAATAAATTTTGTAAGTAAAATGGCTTTGAAATGATTGAACCATTTAATTAAGCTCTCTTTTGCAACATTTATTTCATTAAACAGCGATTAAAACCGAAATGATAATGATCATGATGCGGAAAGTTTTCATGCAGTGTTCCAGTTTTCACAATATGATTAATAAGAATTTATACATATATAACAACTTTATTCTTGCTGGTTGAACCGTATTTAACTGTAAAATTAACATATTTGAAATAATTTATTTACAATTGAGTAATCTCAATAAAAGTGTTGATGTGCCTACAAATTCTTAGACGTGTTACTTGACGCACGACTACCGCATGAGTCATACTTAGCCAGTTCCAGGCCTTTAGTCAGTAAAACCGAGCGAA